TGCTTATTAAGAATCTATTTTCTCTTAAAATTTTTCTCCTGTAAGTCAAATTTACCTATTAAAAATTTATTTTTTTTAAAAAATTTTTCTCTTGCAAGTCAAATTTACCTATTAAGAATCATCATTCTCTTAGAATTCTTCTTTTGTAAGTCTTATTATCCACAAGCAATATCTAATAAATCTCAAACAAATCTCTAACAAATCTCTTATGAGATTTGAGTCATTATTCCCAATAATCTTTACCTTGACTTAAATTCTATCAATCATCTGTTTCATGTTAGACATGTTTAGCTCCACCTGCAGTGAAAGTCTCACAATCATCTTCTCTTCTCTTATGTCTTCACGCTTCATACAAACTAATCTTCAATCTTTAAAATTTAAACTCGAATTTTTCTCTTGAATCGAGCTCTTCTGGACTTGCTTCTTTTCATGTTTCAAACCATACATTTTTTACATCTTAAACCTTTAGCTCTTCTCACATCTCAAACTTTCAGCTCTTTCACATCTCGAACCTTCAGCTCTTTTCACATCTTGAATCTTCAACTCTTCTTACGTTTCAAACCTTCAGCTCTGATACCACTTGTTAGGGAATACCACAGTTTTGATACTATTTGTTAGAGATCACTATAGCTATGATACCATTTGTTAGGCTAAAAGCTTTTAATTCAATCACATCAGCGAAAATGAAATCAAATAATAAATCAAACACACAAGAGACAATAATTTAACGTGGTTCGATCCAACTAACCTACATCCACGGATAAAAAATAAGATCCACTAGTTGTAGAGAATTACAAACATACATCAAATCATCAACTTCACTCAACAATCAATATTTATAAGACACTCTCAATCTTCTCTAGTCTTATGAAGTATTCTTAACCTAAATAAATATAAACCCAAACTCTTATGCACCTTTTTAACATAAGCAAACACGTAACTATATGCTTTCATATATTATACCTATGTGAACTTTCTCAGTCTCTTCTAGTTTATTCATAAACAAATATACACACCCATAAAATGTAAAGCTTCAATGCTCGTATAGGGTATTTATCTCATAAAACTCTATAACTCTATTACATCTTTTTCTCATCTCTAACCCTGTAGAGACTTCACCTATTTATAACCATACAAACTTACCCATTAAGAATCTTTTTTCTCTTAAAATTCTTCTCCTGTAAGTCAAACTTGCCCATTAAGAATCTCTTTCTTTTTAGAATTCTTCTCTTGCAAGTTAAACTTATCTATTAAGAATCATCTTTCTCTTAAAATTTTTCTTTTAAAAGTCTTCTTATCCACAAATAATATCTGACAAATCTCAAATAAATCTCTTATGAGATTTGAGTCATTATTTTCAACAATCTCTATTTTGACTCAAATTTCATTAATCATCTGTCTTTATGCTAGACATATTTAGCTCCACCTGTAATGAAAGTCTCACAATCATCTTCTCTTCTCTTGTGTCTTCACGGTTCATACAAACTAATCCTCAATCTTCAAAACTTAAACTCGAACTCTTCTCTTGAATCGAGTTCTTCTGGACTTACTTCTTCTCATGTTTCAAACTATGCACTTCTCACATCTCAAACTTTCAGCTCTTCCACGTCTCGAACCTTCAATTTTTTTCATATCTTGGATCTTCAACTCTTTTCACGTTTTGAACCTTCAGCTTTGATACTTGTTAAAGAATACCATAGCTCTAATACTATTTGTTAGGGATCACCACAGCTCTGATACCATTTATTAGACTAAAAGCCTCCAATCTAATCACACCAGCGAAAGCGAAATCAAATAATAAATCAAACACACAAGAGACAATAATTTAACGTTGTTTGATCCAACTAACATACATCAATGGATAAGAAACAAGATCTACTAGTTGTAGAGAATTATAAACATACATCAAATCATTAACCTCACTCAACAATCAATACTCATAAGACACTCTCAATCTTCTTTAGTCCTATGAAATATTCTCAACCCAAACAAACATAAACCCAAACCCTTGTGCACCCTTGCAACATAACCAAACACATACCCATATGTTCTCATATATCATACCTATGTGGACCTTCTCAGTCTCCTCTAGTATACTCACAAATAAACATACACACCCATAATACGTAAAGCTTTAATGCTTTTATGGGTTATCTATCCCACAAAACCTTATAACTCTATTACATCTTTTTCTCATCCCTAGTCCTGTAGAGACTTCATCTATTTATAACCATACAAATTTACCCATTAAGAATATTTTTTCTCTTAAAATTTTTCTCGTGTAAGTCAAACTTACCTATTAAGAATCTTTTTTCTTTTAGAATTCTTCTATTGTAAATCAAACTTACGTATTAAGAATCATCTTTCTCTTAGAATTTTTCTTTTGTAAGTCTTATTGTCCACAAGTAATATCTGACAAATCTCAAACAAATCTTAAATAAATCTCTTATGGGATTTGAGTCATTATTCCCAATAATAACTCATTCAATATTCTATAATAAACTACTATTTGATCAGAAACTAATATATAAGATGAATCAAAATTTAAAAAAACCCATCTAATTCATATTTGATTTAAAGATTATTACCCCTTCATTTATATAAAAATTAAGGTTTAAGATTCAAATTTCGTTTTATCATCAACGTAAGTTGATAATATATAGCAAATTGTTCAAGATAGTTTCAAAATATCATGTCGAAGTTATTGCTTGAGACTAACAATACACAAACTCTATAAACATTAAAATTTTCAAAAAATATGGAAAGATTGAAAGGATTTAAGGTATAAGGACAGGGCAGTGTTAGAGGGGGTAGGTAAGACGACGATCTCCTTTCAATTTTATCTAATTATTACTTTAATCTTTTTTTATTTATTTTAAAATTATTGTTTGGTTTTTTTTTATCAATTTTTTAGTTTCTCTTCTGTTTAAGGATAGTAACAATTAAAATGAGCAATTTACTTATGGTAATTTTGATTGCCTGATGGGAATTGGGAAAGACTCTCATAGTACCATAGCTATACATTTTATGATTGAATTTCTAAAAATTCAATTAGAAAATGACATGCACGACGCAATGAGAGTACTCCAATCATACATCAATGCATCTAAATGAAACATTAATCTGTTAAAATTTTTTATGATTATTCCATGAAAATTGTCCTCTGTCATGCACTTTTCTTACTAGCTAGCTAGCACTTCAAATTAAATAAGATTTTCCAATACTGTGGAATGTCGGTTAAGGGGCTATGTCTAAACGTATTTGGCGTTTTGGCATAGTCTCAACAAGAATTATGTATAGTGCGTTTCAATCATGTGACACTCATTGATTGATGAATGAGGCTAGCTCGACTGGTTTTGTATGTTTCTCATTGTTCTCATCATCCATGTTTAGCTCTACTTTGATGTGCTTTGTTTTAATTTTGACCCATTTTCACACTATTTTTTGAGGGGTCCCTATCAAGCTTGAGAGAGCTGAAAATCGCACGAAAAGATGAACGAATTGAGTATCGGAGTATAAACGTTGGAAAAACCGTTAACCTTTGTTATTAACAGACTTCTATCTTGTGATTTCAAATTTCTCTCGATATCAAAACAGCTCGTTATTAATTAACCTATCATCTTATAATTTTAAATTGTTATCTTCATCAAGATAGTTTATATGGAGACCTATATCTAATCTATGAGATATTATTTACTTTAATTTCAAAGTCTTATGATTTTGTTTCACAAAAAAATGTCTCACTAATTTATGATTAGATTTTTACGTATATATCATATCATATTCATGCATTCTTTCAATGTGGGATTAGAGTCATTACAATCTCGTCACCTTTAAAGTTTAATGTCCTTATTAAGCGGAGTCAAATCACAAGATCAAAATCACACCAGACTTTGAGATTCTAGAATTGACTCCTCACTTTGTGATACTTAGTAACTTCTATGATGTAATATTTAGTTTCTATCGATTAGTGACCACTCTGATACCATTTTTGAAAATCCTCACCTAACATGTAAGATATTATTTGCTTTGATCTGAAGACTCATGATTTTATCTCAAAAAAGACACTTCACAAGTTTTGAAATTAAGTCTTAACTTATTTATTATGCTATATTTACACATTTTTCCAATATAAAATTAGAAACATTACGATTCGACACTAATAAAATGATCTTTGGTTTTAATTGGTCATTCAAATTCTAAAAACTTCAAGGTTAGGATTAGCATGGATATGTTAATATATCTTATACATTAATTGCTTTTATGAGTATACAACAAGTAGTTCAAAACTCAAGACATAAGTAATTTCTTTTTTATTTTTATTTATACAAGGCAAAGAACAACCTCAAAATTTTAAATCTTTCTTTTCCTTTAGTGGATAAAATTCAAACATCTTACAACCAAAAAAAAAATAAAAAAAAAGAGAAAAGAGCTTGCATATAATTCCTATGTGGGACTGAAAAACCACAAACAAAAAGTAAAAGGTTTTCCAAGGAAGCAGGCGTGTATGTGTGTCAACTTTGATGATTTTCTTGGCCTACTTTGATGATTTTCCAATCCATGATAAAATTCTCCCTTTCATCATATTTCTTAAATATGAAGATTTGTACATTTAGTATCATTAATATTTCGTATCAAATAAATATTAATATAAAAATTATTATGTTATAATTTATATTGATACATCAAAATATATTTTTTATTTTTATCTAATTTATATAAATTTTTATCAATTTTAAGCGTTATATATTTTTTTATTTTATTTTATTTTATTGTTTACTGTATAAAATTAACATGATTCTTCCTTTATACAAAATCATCATTAATCTTAAAATCCCTTTAAACATAATTCAATTACCAAAAAAAGAAAACGATAACCCTAAACCTTTTTGGTTAAAGTCACTTTTCTTTTTTTTTTTTCTCTATCATTTATTATTAATTATTATATATAAGTAATCTTTGTTCTTTGCAAAACCCAAACCTCAAATTCCTTCTTTTCATTTTTTTTTGTCTTGCAAAAGCTTTTGACATAGAGCTCTCCCTAAGTCACATGGAGGAGTCTTGGAGAAAGTCCATGGGAATGTCAAGTACACAACATCTTCCACGTCGAAAATCCATAGAAAACTCCATTTTTTCAATGAACCACGTTACCATGGTGATGGCTGATCATAACCTTGACGCAAATGACTTTTCCGACGTCTTTGGCGGTCCTCCACGGAGCGTGCTCTGCCGGAAGTTGTCCCGCAACTTCACCCAGTCGTCATCCTTTTACGAAGAGGTTTTCCGGCCACCAGAGTTTAATTCGTCTCATTCAATGAAGGGTGGCCGGAGTTTGCAGGTATTTAGGATTCCGGCGAGAGGGGAAGGGTTCTATAGAGGCATATTCGGGTCCGATGATGATCTCCGGCAGTCGAGGGAACGGTCAAGGTCGAGTTCTAAGGCGAAGTCAAAGTCAAACTCGTCGTCACTTCTGAGTTCGGAAGAACTGAGCCCTATTCGACCGGTGATTGAAGATGATGCCGGGTTGTCGTCTTTTGCTTCAAAGCTCAGGTAGTCTGCTTTTTAAGTTAAAAAAAAAAAACATAAACAGTTTCTGTCTAACTGTTTTTCTCGTTGCAACTGTTTTTTTTTTTTTTTTTTTTTAAATTCTGTTGTGTTGATTAGACGTTTATAATCAATACTCGTAAGTTTAAGTTGTTCGGACAGGGAGAATTCGAGAATTTTAATATTTTATTTAAATAATTTTTAAAATTAATTAAAATTTTAATATATTTTAATTATTTTAATTAAAAATTATTATATATATAAATGTAAGTTAAAATTTAAATATTCACCTATTTTTTATTAAATTAAATTAATTGTGAGATTAAATAGTTTAACTTTTATTTTAAGTTGAATTTTAATTAAAAAATTAAAATTTGATCGAATTCGAATTAAATTTTAAATTAAGTTTTAAATTTTTTATTATATTAATTTGATTTAACTCAATTTTATTATTGTGTTACAAACTTTTTTTTAAGTGAATTTAAGGGTAGGAAAGAGGAAATAATAAAACACTTTCTTAGTTTCCAACAATTACATCGGATTTTATCACCCAAAATTTCCTTTTGTTAGACTATAGTTTTATCCAATTCTGATTTTTCATAGTTTTATACTCTTCACGTTGAATTTTGACATTACTGAAAATTATCAAATTATATCAAATGGTCTAATTGGAGTGTAATTTTTGGTTTGGGGCCAAATTGAATAGTTAATTAATGTTAGTAATTGTCAATGTTAAAGCTTACTCCGATGGATGATGCTCTACTTCTGACCCTACTTTACATCACCAAATTGTTGGCAGTCTGATTTATTATCTGTAACTCAACCTGATATTGCTTATTTGAACTATGGTGGTGCAGGCCAATCAATGTTCCAGGCGGATGGAAGTCAACAACAATGATGGCAGATCAGGAACCAGCAAAGCAACAAGGGAGGCCAGCATTTCCGAGCAGTGGTTCTTTCTTTCATGAAAATCTTTACATGAAAAATGAATACAACGTCAATAACTTTATGAGAAGTTCATCATATCATGGATTCCGTCGACGAGCCTCTTCCCCAGAAATCATTAGCTTGGAACCTCATTCTTTCCGAAGTGTAAAAATATCAGCTGATGATTTGGAGATTAACTCCCCTCCATCCCCTGCCTCTTCACTTTGTCAAGAACCAGAGGGGAGACCTGGTGTCCAAGGAGATTCATTGCTGCAACAAGAAGAAGAAGAAGATGATGAAGATGATGAAATTATGAGTTCTTATGTTATTGAGATCAATTCTGATCTTAGAGAGGGAACCGGTGAAGAGGCTTCAATTGATGAAGCAATTGCTTGGGCAAAGGAGAGATATAACACACAAAGTTCAGAAAGGGAACATGGAAAAGACCAGCCAGTTGGAACAGAAGGTGAGATTGTAAATTAAATAAATCTGATCAGAAATTTTTATGATGAAGCTCAATTGGCTGGCTGGATTAGTGACAAAATTTTTATATATGGTTTGCAGCAAGGTCTAATGCACATGAATCTTTTGACCGGCAAATGGATGGCCATGGAACAATGCAATCTCAAATGGTAAAGTTGTATTTTGCCTTTTTTTCCTTTTCAGAATCAAAATCTATATCTCTTGTTAGTATAAAAAATGTTGAATAATATGTTTTGCTTCTACTTCTTGATTTGCAGGAAGAAGAACAAAAGAAATCGAAAGCAGAAGAAGAAAAAGAGAGATCAGAAGAATATGTAAGATCAAAAGAAATAAAGGCATAGTCATTGTGGCTTTGTATATATTCATTAGTTTATGATCAAGATTTGACCAACACGTAATGTTTTAGTTCGACGAAAACTTCAGATTAAAATGGGGTGTTTTGGATGAAGATGTTAAGCTTTGGTCAACTGGCAAGGAAAATAACATCTGATTGACGCTTTCAACACTTCATCATGTATTATATTAAACTTTTTTAGTGTTTAAGGATTTCATTGAATTGCAATGGGACATTCGAGTGAATTTAAAATTGGTTGATTGAAAATGAATTTCAGATTCTGTGGCCCAATAGCGGTTGCCACATTATCCCTCTAACAAGCCTTGCAGAAATCTGGCAAGTGAAAAAAGCTTATCACAAAGCCAGGCTATGTCTTCACCCAGACAAACTGCAACAAAGAGCAACACTTTGACAAAACTACGTAGCAGTTTTGTCTTGTTTGGATTCCTCTTGCAACATGAAAAAAAGTTCAATGAAACCCAGAGAGGGTATCCCAATAAATTTTCAGAATGCCAATGTCTTCTTCAACAAGTCGACGAAACAGGGAATTTTGGAACCTTTCTGAGAAGCTTGGAGCAAACAAGGAGTCCCCGGACTCAAAGGGATTGAGGGCTCTGTTAGGTTAAAAAGCATGGGAATATGCAAGACGTATCTGTTACTGTTAATCGGGTAGATATAGTAAGAGCAGCAATAGAACATATATGCCAGGATTTCGTATGGTTGTTTGATGTTTTCGCAAGATGCCTACATTCTACTCCATCCAGGTCATAAAAAGTAGGTAAATACAGATACAGCAAATTCAACCTAATCCGCTAATACTAGTACAGTCTTTGCCCAGAAACTATAATTTACAAAAAGAAAATACATATTAATATGAAAAATTCTAAAAATCGAAACTATAGATGAAAACACGGGCTAGATCTAAATCTTCATCTTATTAGCAGCATCATCACAATTTCCAATTCATGAAATGAGAATTGTAAAACTAGATCACATTTTTTATTAACAGAAATGTTTACTGTCACATCACTGATCAAGTGAATAAGATAGTCAGAAGATCCTGCTTAAAGAAAGCAAAGAGATAATTTATGCAGTATAGACATGTATCTAACTTGAATAACACAAATTACTTTACCATGAAATAAGTTTTTAATAAGAACTTCCCCTGGCAGAAGTTCCAGTGGCAACAACTGAAAAGCTCCCAATTTGCTCCAACCATTGGATGCTATTCCATCCTACATGACATTGGCATACATGAAGAACAAAGGGTAGTCATAATTACATTGCTGCATGCTTAAAGTAAACCTGTGCCACAGTAGAGCATGTTCTGTCATGTCCAGATTACTTGTTTTACTACTTCTCTTATAAAGCAAAGCACAAATATAGTTGACTATGTTGGCACATATAGTTGAAAATATCTGAACAGAATCTTTGTTCTTTTTTTTTTTAATTTCAAAGAAGGTTACATTCATTGATAACAGTTGCAGGTATTTAACTTGGGATGCCAATTAAACTTGTAATGTTAATGTAAATTTTTTTTTTTTTTTTTTGTTGGAGTTCAAAAGAAGGTAGCATTGTTTGCAATATTTAACTCTAGAGGATTAAATGCATAATTCTTATATATATTTCTATCTTTTCTTTATTTATCCTTGTACTCTTGGGTTTGGCCATGATTAACGAATTTTTTCTTTAATAATAGGCATTAATGACCTAAATTCTGTATTTTTTTTTCCCAAACTTCAGCTCCAAATCACCTATTTTATTGTGTTGCTATTCCAAAAATCAAAAAGTGTTTTGCCGCATCTAGACTTTCAAATTACATCATAATTCTCATAAGAGCATTGAAGTGTAATCAGACTAACAGTCAAGATCCTCCTTTTTTTTGGTCAATAAGATCATACTTTCAAACAATTAAAGATATGTAAAGAATTTTTATTTCCCTGCCAAAATCAAACGCTAGTAACAGCTGTGTAACCAACAATGAATTGCATAAAAGCTAGCAAACATAAAATCACGCCCCTTTGGAAGAGAACTCTCTAGTTTTTTCAACCTAAGATCAATTATTCTGAATTTTTTATACATAACATAGACATTGTTAATTTGGAACAGTATTAAATGTTAGACCTTTTCAACTATTTTTTCATATTGAGAAAACAAACGATAAAATACTGCAGGTTTGGTCACATCCTCCCTAACTAAAATTTGTTCCATACCTAAAAGGATCTATCCTAAACTTGTTCCAGTGAGATGATCCCAAATCTAGTTAAAAGCAGGATCACATGAAGATGTATGATTAAAGGGAGCTACAACCAATCATTTTACACTAAGTGACGTACTTACTAGTCATTGCAGGTGTCTTTATGTTTGACTGTCAATGTTTCCTGTGACTTTTGTTCATAGAGTGCCGCCGAAGGAGCTTTTTACCAGGAGTTTGGTGATCATCCTGTGTAAGGATGTTGGCAATTAGTTGTGGAAATAAGGGGTTAGAGTAGCAGCATCAAGCAGATCAAAGGTGCCAGTAGCCTGCAGCAGCTGCTCCCATAATTGTCAAAATGATAAGGCATAAACCATAACTACCTAGATATTAGATGACTTGGTTCTTTCCTAAAGAAAACAAGTTCAATCAAAGAAATTATTAACAAACATTTGACAAGAAGCAATGACCACCAATTACTAGTTAGAAAAAAAAGTCCAAATAGAGACCTTATACTCTCCTTTGCTAAAGATATAATAACTGCTACAATAGTATTGCTTTAAACGAACATGAACTACCAAATTTTTTTACTCTCCTTTGCTTAAGGTATGCTAACTGCTACAACAGCATTGATTTAGAATGAATATGAACTGAATGAGGAAGCTGTGAAAATACCACAATCCACATAGATTAAATCTTTAAATGCCTCAATAAAGCATGACTGTCATGTATAAAGCAGTATGTCATAGCTCAGAAGTAAAATTTAGTCAAAGAATTTTCACAACCTGAACTAAAGCAAGGACACACCAATAAGGACAGTAAATAATTCACAAAACCATGCATGTAAGAATGGGAACCAGATTCATGACTTGACAGCAGGTACTACCTAACCATCTATTTCTAATTCAAAAGATATATGTATTCCAGTAATCAATGAGAGCATTCTACAAACTGTTCAATCAAGAAAACAAAAGTTACACCCCAGATCCACCATATTTCAGAATTAAGACCACTAACCTTATACAATGATGCCGCTGACTCAGACTGCACTGTCTGCACAGGAATATGACCCAGTGATCGCAGGGCATCCAGGGCATCCAAGGTCAGCTGCCATCCACAAAGTGCAACAACATCAGCACTTGTGCTGGAGCCAGAACCGGAGCTACTACAGCCAGCAGCAGCAACATTTCCATTCACCCAGGGGCAGTACTGGTTGTGATGAATAATTGGATCAAATTCTATAGCTTCTTCATAATTGCTTTCTCCTTTTGGCGGCCCTAAAAGTCAATTAGTCTTGATAAGGCATCCAGAAAAGAAAAAGAATGAACCACAAACAAATAAACACCATTAGAGATGAAACACCATCTTTGAAAGTTCAAGTAGTTGAAGAAAACACATAGGCTACAACCTGGGCTTGTACATTATCAATTCCAAAACAAAGACTGATATGATTAGAAGAATGCTAACTACATATAGATCTAGAAATCAATATAAACAAGAACGTGACCCGAAAAGATTGAATTATTTCTAGCACAGAAGACAAAAATCTTTATCATCCTGAGAATAGCTAATTTTTTCTGCTTCAGCAGGCTGAATGAAAGCAATTTACCAAACTACAAGGTTTACCGTTGAAACCCAGATAAATTGAATTAATTTCAGCACAGAAGACACAATTTTTATGATCATGAGAATAGCTAATTTTACTGTTTCAGCAGGCTGAATGAAAGCAATTTCAAACAAACCTACAGGGGTTACCATTGAAAGCTAATGATTTGAAGAAAGATTACATCATATAATTCAGTTCATAAAAAACTTTTATGTCAGAAAGTTCCCGAAAAGCTATTTCAAACAATTCCACTCACAACTCACAAAGTTAAATTCCATGCATGCAGCATAATATCATTCTAAATCCAATAAATGCAATATTACCTATTAGTCTTTCAATTGGTAGGTCAACCAATAATAGCTATTAGATTGTTTAATTAAAAAATACAGTAAAAGATATTTAAATTACCCCAAAAAAAGTATGCAAACTGAATAGTCATTTCACGCATAGATGCTAACATTTGGAAATCTACTAAAAACTAGGCAAAGGAACTATTGTTCAAAATCAGATCCAGAACCATAAGGTTTATAGTTCACAAAGGAATCGTATGACCAACCACATTTTACATTCACTGCAAGTATCCAGTACAATATAAAGTATATCAGGTTTCAAGAATCAAGAAAACCTGAAAATATGCGGGAAACGAATCGTTAAAAAGACAAACCAAACTTACAAAAACCATGGACAACAGAATAAATTTATGCATACCGAGCACCTAAGAGGGGAGTCTTACTTTTGTTTAACAGCCAGTTTTCTTGACAAACTAGTTTGGCCATCTTATCTATGTGTTACTGAGGTGTAATAAATAAACAAAAAAGAGGGCCAAACCTTGAGAAGTATAATCAATGCAAATTCTATGCGTTGGATCTACCAAATATGGCACATAGAATTTACCTATCCCATTTGCAACGGCATAATCTGACTCTGGGTCTCGGTATGGACAATTGTTTATGGAAGATGATTTTTCAGCATCTTTTACCTCTTTCTTCGACGTTTCATTACCAGAGTACAAATAAGCATTGCAGGAAAGAGAAGGACGAGCACTGTTATCTGGAACTAGTCTGAAGCTTTGGATTATCTTTTCACCACTTTCAACAGACTCTGTCTTGGCAGAACCATCAACTTTCGAACCACTGTCAGCCCTTCCTAGAGAACGAGACAACATTTCTTGGCTGTCACCATGAGGGTTTTCCCTATTTATTTCATCAGGGACAACCTCATCCATCAACCCAGGAAATGGAGTAGATTCACCTGTTTGACCCTGAATTTCAGCATCTTCTATTCTGGGTTCCACATCACCAACTACACTATGTGTTCTATGCACAGAGGCATCTGCTCCGTGGAATTCAGCTTCATGGCTGGCACACATACCAACACTCCCCCCACTAATTCCAAAACTAAGCCCATCCCTAGCCTGAGCTGTCACAGTTTCAGCATTGAAAATTTCCTCACCATAATTTGTACTGCTGATGCCCATTTCACCCGGAGCTGCTTCAGCAGCTGGTTGGAAACAAATACTCTGCTGAGCTTGGTTACTATAATTCAACTCCGATGTGTCATTCATGTCAAGGTGGCCATATGTACTAGAAGAAGGAAAATGGATATCATCAACACCTCCAGGATAATTTTCGACACTTTCCATTGAGTCATCATCTGCATTGTGGCACACGGTATCCATCGCAATGACAGATGATGCACGTGTTGAATCTCTAGCTGAGGAGATTCCAATAACATGGTTGCTTCCTTGCCTAAACAGAGCAACTTTATTGCCATCTGCATAAGTTTCAAAACCCATTGAATGGCTTGGACCTGCATCAGATGAGTCTCTCGGATACGGTGAGCAGTAAGTATCAAAAATATCTGAATCACGAGCACGCTTTGAAGGCCCAGCAGAATATTGTCTGCCATCAGTGACTTCATCAACATCACGATCGATGACAGTTCCTTCAGCACTATCAGCCCGTTGTGTGCGTAACTGTGGCCTGTCATCTGAACTGGCACCTATTTCCAAGTTTCGCTTGCGAGAACTAGGACCCCGAGATTCATACGAAGCTGCTCGATCACCAACCTCACTACCTGATGGTTGCCCAATCATTAGATCCCGTCCCATGTCTGCATCATTCATATTTCTGAATGTTGTGGTTCTACCCAACTGATTAAAAGATAGACCCCCAGCCATTGTAAGATTCAAATCAACATCTGTTGTTTGCATCAATTTTCTCTCATCAGTTGTTCCTACTTCATCACGGTCTTCAGTCGGTTCTTTCTCCGGATCATCAGCAGCAACCCAACCACTAGTTCCACTGGCTGCACTTACTCCACGTGTCAATCCCATTTTTTTTATTGTATCAGGGATATCAATGTTAGGAGCAACACGAGCAGGTTGAGGAACAGTTAAAAAATCCAATATCCTGACAGTAGCACCACATAAGCTACAGTCTAACAAAGGTGATCTGAATTCAGATCTAGACTCCACAACTAACAATTTACTTTTTCCAGCATCCTTGGCTAAAGCAGCAAGAGCATTTTTGCTTGGTCCAGGATCCTGTGGAAGATGGACCTGGGCTGCACTAGGACCAAAAGAACATCCATTTCTAGCTGATTGAGCAGAATGTTCTTCACAGTCTTGGACATTTAGAAGCCATCTCGGTTCCCATCCGCACAAGCTTATGAGCTTTTGTGACTACAAAAGGGTAAAGCACATAAGAACATTGAAACATTGCCAATTACCAGCACATGAGAAACCATTAAAATATCTTACACAAGAATATAGACAAAATGCACCATCTTGAGCATTATCAAGTTCTGGTATACTCTCTGATCTAGATTCAAATTCCGCCACACTATTCTGCAACTGAGACAAAAGGCGATCAACATGGGGACCCCGTGACACTCGCATATGCTCCATTGCAGATGCAGCTATGACAGGAAGACAATGAAACTGCAAAAGACCATCACATCTATCCTTGTATCCTGCAATTAGGGCAGACTGAGGTGTTGGCGGGAATTGAACCAAGCTTTCTGGACATCTGTTTCCTGTCCAAGGACAAGTAACTTTGTGCCCAACATCCAACTGCTTAGAAAAGGCTACACCAGCATCCTCAGCTTCAGAAAGAAAAGAAGATCAAAAAGAAGATAATGATCATTATCATTTGAAAAATAGCAAAGAAGAGAGACCAAAGCATAGTGTATCGTTAGTCATTTACTGCTAGCAAAATCTTGATAAATGCAAACCCCCCAGAAGAACACCATCCATAATATTTACTTCATAACAACCCCCAAAACAGTTCAATTCCACTTCTATTTCACCTAAACCAGAATTTTTAAAGCTATTAACTGACCATAATATGAAAAAGCTAATGCAACATCAAATATGACTCAAAACAAACACAAATGGTTTAATTCATAATTTCTCTTGTGGGTCTAAAGAAACTGAATGAGAGTAGAAGCAAGTGCCAGGCATCAGCCACCACATGTATAAAGGTTCCAGTAATTTATGTTTCTTAGCTATAACTATGTGAAATTATTGTCATAAACTATTCCTTAGACAGGCGAAGAACTATAGTTTCCATTTCCTATTAGCACAGTTAGTTTAAGGGAAAAAGAAAAGCATAACTGCTCCAAAAATGAGCTCTTTTATCTATCTGTCCATTTATCACACCATTCCTCATCTATTTTCTTATATATCATTAAGCATATCTCAAAGCATTAAACACCTAGAATCGTCTAAGTTTTTTAGATGGTCATTGGTCACACTACAATGATTATATATTCCAGGAAGCTGTAAATAAAGAAAAGGGAAATAGTCGAATTATAGCAGCTAACCTTCAGAAGCAGCCCACAATGCGGAGGAAGTAAAATGCAGATATGCCCCACATGTTTCGCATTCAATTTTATCAACATCTATATTTATCCAACCTCTCTGAGCACATGCCAACGAGCTCACAACCTGCAATTCATTTAAAAAGCAGTTTGCCTTAACATCATTTAAGTATATTCCATAAATAAGAGGAAAGTGAATCTTTTTAAGTACTAGATTTGATGCAATCACTTTAACTCCAAGGGCAAACTTCATAGTTTGAAACTTTGCATTTAAGCATTTCTATAACTAAAAGGAAAATGAATCTTTTAAATACTAGATTTGATGCTATCACTTTAACTCCAAGGGTAAACTTAGAAGTTTGTAACTTTGCATTTAAAAGAGTATTCTTGATGTCCTTTGTGATGGGAAATTGTCAAATTGTGATGTATATCAGAGATCAATACACATAAGGAAAAAAAAACAACATGTCACTATAATGCAAACTCCACTAGTACATTTCTACTAAGGAGATACCACATCAAGTGCGTACCTTAGGTTTCCCAAACCAATTCATAGGCTTAAATGTAGCCAAACGCCTAAGAAGATCCCCTCTTTCCCATGGTCGACAAGAAGTTCTTGTTGATCCAAGAGCAGATCCACCAGCATTAGTACTGAGTGAAATCCATGGTGCTTGAGATCCAACACATGATTGAGAAGCTGCTTTGGAAGTTTGGCCATGACCAGACCAATCTACACTGCCAACATTTGTTGGAACGGCAAGTGAGGATGCCCCAGCAGAACTGATAAAGAACAAGAAGCATAAATCCCTTTTTTCCAGAATTCTTAATGAAGCATTTTGAATATGATTATTTCATATAAAATGAATGAATAAATAAACAAATAGGAATGTCCATACCTCCTCATATTGTAAATTAACAAGTTCCTTATAAGTCAGTTTCTTTAACTGGAAACAAACTTTCCTGCTAATGAAATGACACCTTCCTAGTGGATATGGACCCATTTTCCATCCTCTATTCACCTCTCCCCTCAAAAATAACCACAAAATACTGTACTTAAGGACTTAGCACATTGACAAAAAAAACCATTGAAAAGATGAACCATATCTTTTCTAGATCATCATGACTTTCTCACTCAGTTCTTCCTTTACATCACTTAAAACTAGAGCAACAATTTTTGACGCAGAACAAATATCCTCATTTATTTGAGTTCCTTATATTATTGCTTATTTCCATGGGGCAAAAAATTTCCAGCTTCAAAAATTCATAATCTTAAAGACAAATATGAGCAACCCAGTTTACATTGGCCAACAAAAGGAAAAAAAACAAGCAATATAGATGGGTTAAAAGAGAGTAGAACCGGTTCAGTTCCATAGAAAGCCATGATTAGTGTCTACAGAGATACATACATAAACCGTTGACCTAATTAAGACTCTGAATACAAAACCTGCGTCAAATTCATTGTTTCAAATTTTCCTTTTTTTCTTTTTCGGGTTCAAGAGAAAGTGCGATCTTTAGCCAAACCGCACCCCTCATTAATTGTCCTTCACTTTCCCAACGAACAAAAATCTTTGCTTTAACTAAATCTCAAATAATTTTTTTCTCTTTACAAAACAAAGAACCTCAACTGTAACTCCCAATCTTCTTCTCTACCTGCTTTTCTCAGCTGCCAAACATCGCCAACAAACCTAACCCTAAAACCCTATAAATCGAACAGAAAGACAGCAAATAAAAACCCTAGCTTCAACAAAACAGACAAGGATTGCGAAAAGAAAACCCTAATTTGAGAATTTGAGATGAAAAGAAAGTAAAAGGAGAGAGTAAGAGTCGGTACCTCGCAGCAGGAGTGGGATCTATGGTCCCAGCAGAGCTAATTACCTCTTCTCTCATTGCAGAGCCTTCCCTCCTTCCTCTTTTGGCCCAACTAATAATTTCGAAACGAAACAGTGTTGCAACACGAGAACTTCACATCGTCAGCTCCATTTATAGCGAGTATACTTGCCAAGCGCGCGTAACTCATTACGATTGGGTTTCCTTTTCAGTGTCAGGGATGGGCCTGTGAGTATTTGGGCCTGCCAGGCCTCGCTTCTATTTTAGGCCTTCAAGTTATAAGGCAAATTAGGAGGAGATTTTACGACTAGAAAATCTACTTAAATCGTTTTTAATCTTTGCTTTCAAAGGCTTTACATATTTATTTAGAATTAATATTCCATATGGTACTGAAAAGAATATTTATTCGTTAAATATTATTATTTAAAATTAGTCATTAAATATCATCATTTAAAATTAGTTAGTCGAAAAATAATATTATATTAATTACAAAATCATAATTCAAATATTACATTAAAAATTTTTAAATTCAAATATTATATTAAATATATTTTTATAATTTAAAAATTATTCATGTATCACATTTGGACTTTGAAGTCTAAACTTGATCGCTTGGTTGTCCCCACTTCCTAATTTGCCTAATTATAAGAAAATTAAAAAAAAAAAAACACTCATTTTAATATTGATAATTTTTGACTGACAATATATGAAAATAATACAAAGAAAAATAAATAATACGATTTAAAATTTTAATAAAAGCTATATATGAATTTGAAAAAAAAAACAAAAAATATGTTTCCTAATTAACATACTTATACAAATTATGAAACAATATTTTTTGTATTTTGCACGTATTTAATACGAAATAAACATCATAAAAATACACAAAATTGTCAGATCTATTTAATTTCTATTTTCTTTCTGTTTTTTCATTTTATTTATTCATAAATTCAATTCATAGGTACGATTAGTCTCCAAACAGCAGTGCAAATATGATACACAGTAAGTTCTTTCTGAATCACAGCATCCAGCAGAGGCAGACGTCAGCTGGTTGGAATATGTATACAGTGGTTTAGAGAAAATGAAGTTACAACAATGGAAGAACAGGATAAACACCAGTAATCGGGATGGAGAAGAAGAGCCAGTAGCAGGCCCTGAAATTGTTGAAAGAAACCCAAAATTAAAGAGTCAAATTTTATCGTCATCTGTACAACAAGCTATTTGTAACATATAAAGATAAACACCAAGACAGACACTTGCTAACTGCTAAATGGTGGCCATACTACAAGCCACCCACATTAAGTTCATATCTATACACTATAATTTTCCAATGGCTGCAGCCCTAGTGTAAACGTATTTTGAATTTAGATTCTCCTTCGAAAAAAAATTCATACGAGGATAGGTAATCGACGCTTCAAAATAGATTCATGATCTACTAACTGGTTAGATATACTAACCATCCTTTTCTTCTGTTTTTCCTTCCCCAGTTGTTTTCCAAACGATATCTTTTAGCCCAGTAGAGAGATTATTATAGAACTGTAAATATAAGAAAGCAGAGTGTAAATTCAAGGTATTATAAAGCCAACTGGGAAAATAAAAAGAAAAAAGAAAACTTAGGTGTACTAGGAATCATGGAAGGACACCAAATTGGCATGCTTTGCATGCTTTTACATGATAAAGTGACCCTGGTTATCAGCATTTTCACAAGTAAACAACACAGCAGCAAACTTAACATAAGGTCTAATATACCTCGTGAAATTCCAGGGTATCTCCTCCAGACTTTCGGAGTTCAACCATGCAAAGTGAAGGAGCTACCTCAAAAATCTGAAAAGGGAAAGAAGCAGTGTCAGGGGGGTTACGAACAGATCTTTAATAACCATGTTCAAAAAACTTTAAATGAAAGTGGTACTGAAACTATGCTCAAAAGATAAAGTGGTACCTCTGTTGTAACAGCCAAATGACCCTTGCATCCAGTTTTTTCTCCAAGAAGCTTCATCTAAGATGGGTAAAAGAAAGGGAATTCATCAGAAATTAGAAAATAATTTAACTTTTGATGATCTAAAGAGCTTACATATCATCTCAATTTAGTTACATAAGAATCTTTCCATTTCAGCCAACAATACCCAAAGAAATGGAAATTTGAAGTGCCTAATGCAGATACGAAATACATCATCCCCATGAGAAAGAACTTGAAACCAAGACAATCTTTACCGAGGCTGGTAAAACAACTGAATCCAATTCAATCAGTGTCCATCAAATATAGAATCACCGCTACACTAAGCAGGTAATAAAGTTATTAACAAATGATAAAATATGATAAAGAAGACCGTATGAAGAATGGTAATTCTTTTCACATAAACATTAACCACAAATTCATCCATCTAAATTTCTTAGGAAGATTAAAAGCAGTCAAAAACACAGAGGTTGGCAAGAGATTAAACCTTGTAGTTATTTTTGTTCACATCAAAACCCAAGGGCATTGCAACTTCCTCTATTTTTTAGATTATCTCGTTAGCAGGGCGTTTTGATGTGAATTTTGTTTCCCGTTTAACAAGGTCCTGTAATCAGAGGAAATTGCAACCATTTTATCTTTCAAGGTTACATATTGAGTAAGATAGCAAATAATATCCCGAGATGTACCCAAAGTATGCAATTATAACATAACATATCCTATCAGAGTTGACAGATAGTCTAAACCTTTTTTACAGTGAATATTCAACCAGGCTGCATTGTCAAGAACTAAATTTCAATTGCAGTAAAAAGGACCAGTAAACAATGAATAAAACAGGTGAATTATCTATCACATACTTCACTGGATGAATCAAAGTGTTCTCAAGGGTTCTTTTTTGCATCTTGTGTTTAATATTATCACAAATTAGATCAGATATAATTGGCTAACATACCATTTGCCTCTCAAACAGAATACTGAGGTTGAGACCCTCAGATGTTGAGATAAGTTCAAATGCATTCATCGTAGCAGGTAGTACAGGCCCTTCTTCTCGCCGTTCGAGAACAAGGTTTTGAGAATCCTACTACCGAAATCATGTACACAGAATCATCCCATTGCAGCAACACCACAATACCATGTTCCATATATGAAAAACACAACTCTTACCCCTGATTCATTGAAAATGGCATCCACATCATCAAGAGTAATATCAGCTTGCTCAAACCTAGGTAACATTATCCTTTCTTAAACCACTCATTCTCAATAAGCTCAGCAACTGTTATCCTCTGGTTTAGTCACACAAGTAATGAAGAGTGAAAACTTTATCCAAAAACAACTTAAGCAAGGCCAGAAACCTTTTGGCACAAAATGAATTCAAAAATACCACCAGAAAAAAATAAATTTACAATCGGGAGATCGAAAGAAAGCACATGCAAAGGGAAGGGGAGGAGAAAGAACTTACTGTCAATGGATTAGGGTCTAGGATTCTCTTGATTAATTTCTTGGCACTTGAGGAGAACCATGGAGGACAACTGAAGTCAGCCTTAAATATCTGCAATCACATAGGAAACTCCTTCAGACAAAGGATTTTAAATTTAGAAAACACAAATAAAACTTAGCTGCAAGTTAACTGATCAGCAGTATGACAGCATTGTTATACATAGAAACAAACAAGAGAGGCATCTGTTCTTCTGTGCTTATTTGTGTGCTCATGAACTTTTCTTATTGATATTTCCAAGGTACTGTCCTACCTGGCTAAGAGTTATAACTACCTCAATGCAAGAAGTGATGGTTTCCCAAGCCAACAACCATGAGTAACTTAGACTTTTAATATTTTAATTTATTCTTTTAAATAACAATATTGATCGAAAAGATGGAGACTGGTGCACAATAGGATCCGAATCAATATTTATCAGTAGAAAATTGATTATTTCCAGAATATGAAACCATTTGTTTCTTTAATAAACATGTCAATGGTGACTTAACAAGTACATAGCATATAACAGTTATACAAAATTGTTTATTTTGATGTAAACAGAAAAAAGAACTTTGAGAGACACAAATAGAGAGAACAAGCACCTTTTTATATAGAGCCATCAAATTGGAGTCCTCAAAAGGCAAGTAACCAGCCATTAGGACAAAGAGTATCACCCCGCATGACCACAAATCTGCCTTAGCTCCATCATAGCCTTTATTGTTGATCACCTAAAAATTGATAGCACAAAAACAATAAAGAAAAGCTAATGATCATAAAGAAAAGGAATCTTGTTTGCAACAAAAGCAGATGTACCTCTGGAGCAACATAATTTGGTGTTCCACATGTTGTGTGAAGTAACCCATCCTCCTATGTGAAAAGGATAAGATAATCAATTTTGAAATGTTTTATCAGTATATTATGAAAAGTGGCATGATAAATGGCTAACCATCAACATGGTAGGCAATGGAAAAACCAAATAAAATGTGCTTCTGGGATTTTGCTACCCACAAAATTCAAGTGCCCAAGTAAGACTAAAACCACACATGTGCAAAGAGGAAACAAAGTCATCTTTCACAAAAGTGACAGAGCGAAGTGGCATTATAAGACAACACAGAGCAAGCAGTCATAAAAGTACTCCATATTGGACAAAAGATCTTGGGTAAATATTATCATTAAGAGAGAGAGAGAGAGATGTCATAAGATGTGAAAAAGGCACACTCACTCGAACTTGCTGAGGTAAAGCACTCAAACCAAAATCTGAAACTTTAAGAACTCCATTGGCATCCAGCAGCAAATTCTCTGGCTGTAAATTACAAAAACAAAGCTATGCTATATTAAAGAAATTTACATATTTAACAGTTATAGGCAAAGAGCTAATGAACACAAAATATATCCCATACCTTGAGGTCTCGATGGCAAACACCTCTGCTATGGCAGTAATCCACAGCATTAATAAGCTGCTGAAAATACTTTCTAGCTTCATCTTCCTTTAACCTCCCTCTGCTAGCCTGGCACAGGAAGATAACCAGGACAAAATTCCAGATTAATATGCAGTAATCAAACATTGATAAACAGCTGAGATTTGATTCCTCATTGCACTTTTACATTCCAAGAGTAAAACACATTAATTTTTCAATTGCTATCTTATAATTTTGTCAAAAAGTTCACCGTCAGTCACAAATTCCAGAACAATGTATATTTTCGTCTTGCTAGCCATCACCTATACCAAGAATATTGCTGGAAGTTACCAAGAAGCATAGACTTACCATAATTGTATTAGTTCTAAAGCCAAGTGGAGTATTCTTCTGACAAAATGCCAATCGGATTCGAAAGAGACCAAACCAGATACAAGGAAGGAATGCATGGAGATCAACAAAGTGACTAAATTAAGATGTACAGAGAAAAACTTTGCGCCAAACCTCATACATACGGATGACATTTGGGTGTCTGATGAGTTTCATTGTTGAAATTTCACGTTTAATCTGCACAGGACAAAGAAAAAGAACAATGTAGCATGTGCAAAGTAAAACAGAAATGAGATTCAAAGGGAAAGTAAGTTTGTGAAAGTTAAAAAGGATGTCAATTGCATAGTCAGCTAACTGTCGGTAGTGAACAATGGTAAGAATCAAGGGAGGTAGTAAAAGTTGTCAAAACGGAAATATTTTTAAGGAAAAATTTATCATGATTTTACTGTTTATTACCATTTCAAAGATTTTTTTTTTTTTTGGGTAAAATATGGAGCAACCAAATGATAGACATTCAAATAAATTAATTTCAATTCAGAACATTTGAATGCAGAATTAAGTCAAGGTCAAAAATAAAACATGTAGAATAGCTGTCAACCTAAAGGGAATTGAACCATGTAGAAAATACTAATTGTCTCATATTGACTTATTAAGTTGAATTATACATTCTTTAGCAAGCTAATCCTATTGTGCATAAAGTCTAGGAAAATTGCGGATTTTGAAACAATGAATCATCTTTTTTATTCTAAATATATAAAATTAGTCAACTGAGAAACTATTAAGATTATTCCTTATTGACAAGTTAAGTTTAATACTCTATTTGTTCCCCCAACCAATCATTTTCTCACAAACCAAACAAAATGAATAAAAATAAGGAACTGTCAAAAAATGAAATTACAAAGTCAAATCATGTTTAGCATCCTGATTAGTCAAAAACTAAAAAAATTAATAACTAAAAGACCAGAAAAATCATTCACATAACTGATAATCAGTAATTAGTTGAATTAATTGGAAATCAATCAACCAGTTAGACATTACAACAGAATAATCAAATTAACAAAGAATTAAGATCCCATACCAAGAAAAAGTTCACAAATCAAATCAACTGTAGTGTGATTATTTAAATAAATACTAATAAAGTACCTGAGCAATAATATTATGCTTCAAAACTTTCTCTTTATCAAGAATCTTGATTGCTACATTCTCTCCAGTCTCTATGTTCCTGGCAAATTTCACCTTCGCGAATATTCCTTCTCCCAACGTCCTCCTAGCTCATACCATCCCACACGGGTCCTGTTCGTTGCGCTCGTGCGAGTCGCCATCACCTTCTTTCCGGTTCCTTTTTATTTCTTTTCCCTATTATTTTTTTCCAAAAAAAAGTCCTCTTTTTCTCTCTGTTTCTTATCAAGCTTGCTATTAATCAAAGACCTCTTCTTCTTGCATGGTTGCCAAACCTGAGACTCAGCCACCCTCATTTTTTTTCCTCAAAAATAAAATGGAATTCAAGATTAAAACGGAAAGAAATTTATAGCTCGATGATAAAGAGGAAAATGGTGGACGAGAGAGCAAGCAGAGGCGGTGGCAGTAGGATCAGACTTGGTACCGGATAAATCAAACGGCGGAGATATTGGTACGTGGACAAAATTAATGGAAAAGGAGTTTTAATCATAGTAATAAATAAATAAATGGAGTTGATTTGGAGATTAATTTCTAAACTAAGTATGATCGGTGAGATATAGTTTTTAATTTGAAATTGTGATTAATTTTGATTTAACACTGAAATCGAGTTTTAACTTACTAAAAAATTTTGATATAACACCTAATTACATGAAATAAATAATCTTTGTAGAAAAAAACAACAAGATTATAACTGACGTTCATGTGCTTTTCTCAAAATTTTTTTAATCGTTACACCAAAAGGTGGAAGATTATAATTTTTATTCTCTGTGTAGCCTTTACCATTCGTTTTTGGTGATTTCATTGAGTATAAGCTATAGAATATAAACTTTACCTTTCCTTTTAATGGAGATACTGTTGGATTGGTGATTTAGACACAGATCTAGATTTGGTGCAAAAGGAATTGTTTTTTTGACAAGTTGAGTCGTGTATATATTGTTTTTATGGACTACCATTATACCAAATTGTATTTCTTCAACTTATTTTATAGTCTTCTGAATTGGTCTGAAGCTATGAGATTAATTCTAAAGTTGTTATGATAGTTGATTACATGATAAATTTGATGATTCATGTATTAGTATTATATAAAATATTAATAATTTATATATTTATATTATATTTTATATGAAAATTATATATTATAATTCGTATTATCATAAAAATATAAAATATATTTATAAATTTTATTAAAATTTTAAAATATATCACTTATCGATTTTATATCATATTATTATATTTTATTTTAGATTACTAACCTTCTTCGTATCTGATATACTCTTAGTTAAATCATTATGGTTTTTCCATTTATATAATGCAATCCTAAAATTTTAGACTATTGGAAGATTTCCCATTTCTTGAGGAATCTGTCTATTGATGCCATGCTACCTTCTTTGAAATCATCACGTGAACTACCTCTTCACCGAGGCTGTCATACATAAAAATCGATCTCAGTGATTATTGAAAATTGAAAAACTTGAGACTCCTTTGAGAAAATACTTGGGGGGCAGAAGCAGAGGCAGCAGCAGCCATAGCAACCACAGGGAGTGAAGTTGGTGAGCTCTTGGAAGTATGATAAAGAGAATCAATGTTGCTGCCATCTCTATCCTCTTCACTGATCGTCTCCAACATCTTTCTTGTTCTGTGCCTCGTGACAGTAACAAACTGCGGTGGAGCAACCTCCATAATGAACCTCGGGAGACGCGAATTGTCCATGTCTAGGAGCTCAGCAAGAAAAAAGAAGAAGGCTGAAACAATATGGAAATCCCAAGAAGGAACAAGAATTACTAGGGGAAGCACCCTGGTTTTGGATGAGCACAAGCTGAAGCCATGGGGAAGATTTATAAGAACATTGCTAGGCTTAAATTGTACGAGGGTTCCTAATCAAGTGCCGCCACTTACTGTTTGATATAAAAAGTTTGATGATGTTTGCATTACAAGTACCAAGACATAACTTTAATTGTGGGACCTTTTCTCTTTATGTGTCAAAGCTTGAATGGAAAATGAGATAATCTTTGCAGATATGCATTTTGATGGTATCAATGGCTTCCAAATTGCACTTTTCTGAGCACAACTGCCACCAACAGGTTGTGTGCCATCTGTCAATTGATTTTTCTCTACTGATCGACAGGTTGTGGGCAAACTGGTTTGTCTGAGGCTGACATTGACAATGTTGCTTCTGTTCAAAGAATGGTCCACTCCACTATAGTTGGCTGGAAACTCATGGGAGGCATCAGTTGAAGAGATCTCTCAATCATGCATCATCTCCTCTTACGTGTTTGTTCGTGTAACATAACATACGGATTGAAGTGAACAAGAAAATCTTGAAAAAAAAAATGAAGATCGAAAACTTGGAAAATCTAAAATTAACCAATCATTGTCTTAAAAAAAGATTTTAAAAAAATCAGCCCAACTTGAATTAATAGAAGGAATTTGATTGTCTTTGTCCAAATTCTTGGCCCAATTTCGAGGATATCTGTTCTGAAGCCTGTAGTGGCCCATCACCACTCACCTTCTAAAACCCTAAAATTCACCATCTTTCATATCCCTTGGTTGCTTCGCCAAACCCCCATCAGAGAAGGTTCGTTTCGATCAAAGATTCACACTTTCCTTTCTCTTCTTGGTTTTTCTTCCTGGGTTTCCTTTTAATTTCATGAAAGTTCTAAACTTTCTCTTCTTTTTGCAGTTGCTATTCCTTTTGTTTGGATAAGATGTATCTCCAGTTCTACATAAATGAGAATGGTGACAAAGTTTACACCACTAAGGTAAAATCCCATACTTTATTCCTTTTCTTTTTAATTGATAATTAGTTAAAACTAAAAATCATCTCAGGTTAAATCCTTTTCCAAACTTGGAATTTTTAACCCTTTTTCTTCTTAATTTCAAAGCTGAGTTTTTAGCTTACTTTGCTGTAAAACTTGTAGCATATCTGAGGTATTTTCTGTGGAATGTCAAGAACTTTTTCTTCTTGGTAGGATTTCTTTTCCATAATATTGAGGGAGTTGATGGCTGAAAAAACTTGTACTATCCTGAGAAATGCATTTAAATGTGAAAGCTGAGACTAGGATTAGGTTTTAATCTTTATGCTGCAGTCATGCAACGTCTGGCTTTCATCTTATTGTCTTCTTCTTAGCAATATTTTAGGGTTCTAATTTATGTATAGTCTATATTTTGACCAGTTATTTCTCTATATTTACATGTGTATGGATTTTGTATGCAGAAAGAATCTCCACTGGGGATGCCTACTCAGTCTGCTCATCCAGGTAATATGGCCTGATGTATTTATGTCATATGATTAGTAGTTTTATAGTTTTTTGGTCTTTTTTTGTTTTTCTTGATGGTCTTCCTGATTGTATCCCCTTTTGAGAAATTCTTACACTTTTATGTTTGATCTGGTCTATTGAGGCAACTGAATAAATTCATATGGGTACTTTAACCTTTACCTATATAGTTTATTTTCTGTAAGCTGCTTTGATCAACATTTATTTGTTTTGTCCATTTTGCTGTGAAAATCAATACAAGAAGTCCATTTGGAGAACTGATAGTGTTCTGACTACATGGTTATTAGCTATTTAGCTATCTATCTGTTTCTTTTTTTTTTTTTACGTCATTGGCAAGTTGGTACCAGATCGTCTCATACTGTCATTCGTGGCACTCAACTGTAATGGGTGATAAGCATTGGCTTGAATACATGTTAGGCTGTTTTTTTTTTTTTTTTTCCTGGTTATGTCAAAATTTGTAATAGGATCAAGACTTTTTTTTTTTTTTTTTGGAAAGTGCTGTTATGGTTTCAAATGATTTTTTTTTCTTTTACCAACATTCATGCAGCTCGATTCTCCCCTGATGACAAATATTCAAGACAAAGAGTTCTTTTGAAGAAGCGATTTGGTTTGCTGCCAACCCAGCAGCCACCTCTAAAATATTGAATGATTAGATATGTCATGCTGAACTTTAATGAAGCTTTACTCTTAGTGTAACAATTAGCGTCCGTTGCTGTATAATGCAGTTTCTTTTTAGCTCATAGCAGAGTCTCTTTAGGATGATGATTTAAAATAACAAACAGTTTAATGTCTGGTTGTAAGAACATCTCAAGTATATGAATGCAAGTAGTACCTTTTGTTCCAGGTTTATTGTTTGTTTTTATACATATCTTGACTTGGTTATTTTCAAAGATGCCTGTTTGGTCGGTGCATCGGAACATCTTTTAGACAGGCAGTCTCACTGAAATTGCTTTGAGCCATGGGAACGATGATACAATTAAGTTGCTCTTATAATGTTTCGTACTCAATGTCGATGCCAAAACATCTATTGTTGCGAGATATAATGTAATTTGGTTAGTTGAGTATAATGTTATTGTCTTCCTTCCTCTGCATGAAGGGAAAAAAATGGTAACTAAGGAAGGAAATTAAAAGAATTGTCTCTCTTGAAGCATTTTAGTTTTAGTCCCAAGTGTGGCAGAAATTAGATGGAAATATTCTGGGATAATGAAAATGCTTGATCATAATCATGTAAAACTCATTAGGCATACCTGGTACTCTTCTTGAACTGAAGAGAAAAGTTCTTGGAACAATTCATTGTTATTGGATTTTGCATTATTTTTTATTTAAAGTAGATGAGTTTCTATTTGAATTTATAGTTAAGATGGTGTATATAGTTACTTTTAGGAGGTATCCTTCAATAGGTTTGAAATTAAAATTTAAGTACCTGCAATCTTTATTTTTATCCTTAAATTTTTAGACTTATTCAAGGGTCAAGTTATCCGTTCAAATTCAAAGATCCGCTCAAGTTTTGAGAGGGTTTAGACAAAAATTAAAGTTAGTTTATATCTATTTAAATTTTAGATCAGATTTTGGATAAAAAACTTAAAGCTCGAATGTTGTTTGATTCAATTCAAATTCATATATATATATATATTTATTTATATATATGTGAATTATATAAAAATTAATTCACATATATATAAAATAAAAATTATATATTTTTTATTGAGCTTAATTTTTATGTTTATATAAGTTTTATTTTTACTTTATATATATATAAATTAAATAAAATCTCATTAAATTTAATTTAATTACATTTTTAAAATTTTTATTATATAAATTAAGTTTAATAAATAAGATTAAAATTTATTTTTTTTAATTTAAATTGAATCTAAGTAAATATATAAATTATTAATACTAAATAAGAGTTCGATTCGAATATAATTGAAAAGGGTTGTGAACATTTTTTCTGTAGCCTCTTTTATACCCAAAAAAACAAAATGTGTTTCTATTTTTTATTTTTTAAGGCAAGGAAAGAAAAGGTATAAACTGGGTATAAAGCTCTAAATTAATTGTTTAGTTGTTTGAACTAAAATGCGCCAAAACTATGCTTTTTCCTAAATCTTGTGACTTGTCCTTTGACATTTTCAAACGTTTGCCACATGGCTTTCTGTCCCTTTGATTAGCCCTGCTTATGCAACCAACTTTCTCTCACATTTCCTTACTTCTCTCAAAGCTTCCCCTGTATATAACAACACATTAACTTACCATTTCTCTAACCAAAACAAAATTTTCAAACTTTTCTATAATTCATCCTTGGCTGCCACCATTGATTTTGTACTACTTGGCAGAGAATTTCAGAAAAGATTGATTGCTGGCGAACGTTATGGGATACTTGCAAACTACTTGTGAAAAGGCACCAGCCCTGGTTATTTCTCACAGGAAACCATCTACTTCTCCAAGATTAGAGACCATTTTTGAAGAAGGGTCTGAATTAAATTTCTTTGGAATTGGACAGAAGACTGTGTTTTCTCTTCTAATTCCTGTATCTCTTTCTATTATCTCTTATGTTTTGTTGTATAGAGACATTGCTTGATGTGGGAATTTAATAAATTTTCAACCCTTTTCTTTCATATTTAATTCTCTTTATATTTTAATTTTGGGTGCTTTTGGAATTATCAGAAAAAAGAATATGAAATTGGTAATTAAACCCTTTATTCCTCCTTTGGAGTAATTCAATATATACGAGCATTGGTGAGAAAAGGCTTTGATCCTGTTACAGGACAACATTGACATGAAACTTTTTCTAATCCTGAAATGGTAAAATAAAAAGAGAGAATTTAACGCAATGAGCAAAGCTTTTTAACTGGTTTATTTCAGATAATTTTGTTATATATACAATGAGTTAAAAATGAAAAGTAAGCCCTGCGAAAGACCAATGAAGCAGATTTAATTAATTTACGTGTAGTGAACAACAAGTGCTACGTATTGTTTTGTCCTCAGGCAAGTTGTTCTGTCCAACAGACATAGTCAAACGTTCCTTGGCCACTGATTCCTCTTGTCTGATGCAAATCTCCCTTTCTTTCACTGCTCTTCCAACATATTTAAGTTCTGTACTTTCTCTATGCGTTCTTAGTTTATTTGATCTCAAAGATCATATTAAGGCTTTTTAACTTTATTAACCAGAAGTTTCAGTCATCTTCTACTCAATCTGTTCCATACATACAAGGGTCAAACAAGAAAATTCATCCACATCAGAAGTTTCATTTTCTTTTTCAAACTGAAAAACAAATGTAACAAAAAAATTTTGGACCATCCGTTCGGGAATGCCTATCATTTTCATTGGATATACATTGAGACAGACAGTCATCCACTTTATTTGACAACGAGTCAAGCTGTGTTTATCCTATATGGTTAAACTCCATGTTCTAATTTAGTCGGTTATGTTCTGATTTTATGACATTCTTCCCTATTCTAACTCATTTAGTTAAAATTTTGATGTTCTAAATTTAGTACTCTGTCTGAAATTTAACTGTCCTTATACATTCCAAGACATGGCTTACCTGGCCTTAGTCCAACATGGTTACCAACAACCAGCTGTTTTGATATCTCCCCATTGAATCAAACTCTATATAATTCCAAGCTTTGTACAAACGATTCTTCCCTGGAATTCCATAAGCAATAACATTTCCATTGCATAATAGAAACCTCTTGATCAGCACACAGTTTCTTTCTCCATAGCCCGGTTTTTGCATCAGAAGAAAGAATTGTCGAAAGCTTTTGTTGCGTACAAAAAATGGCGAAGGATGTCAGATACATGCAAAACTGGGGTGAAGTAGCACCAGCCCTTCTGATATCTCATCAGAAACCATCGAGTTGTCCAAGATTGGAGACCATTGCGGAGGAGGAATGTGGCAGTGTTGGCCTGCCAAAGAGGGTCTTTATTCTTCTTCCTGTATTGTTTTCTTTCTCCTTCTACGCTTTGTTGTATAGGTACATTGCTTAACATCAAAATATCCATAGCTGTACACTACATACAAAGTTAATAGTTTCAGGTTTCATAATCATTTTCTCTTGTTATGACTTTAGAAACCAGTTTACCTCGGAATATTAGAACTTTTGTTAATTGGCGGCTTGTGACATTGGTTAAAGTGATTTGAAGAAAGAAAATTACGATTAATGGATTATATCCTCTAAAATTCGACGAAAATAGTGCATTAAACATAATTTTTTTAAAACAATATTTGAACTATCCTTAACAATGAACATTTTCATCGAAAAGGAACATGAAAATCCCCTGCTGCCACGAAAACAGGCAGCTAAGGGAGCAGAAATGGAGAAAGAAAAGTTAACAAAGCAAAAGCCAAGGAAAACAAGACAGATCCTGCTTCCAAAAGAATAATAACATAAGCAATTAGAAAAGCACTAGAATCAAATGCAACAACTGCAAATGTCTAACGTAAGGAACTTAATCTTAAAAGGCATATTCTTAGGATGTCAGTGGTTTTAAGTCATAATACATCATAAGACAAAGAATTTCCAAACGAAAGTCATTAATTTTGGTGTCATGATAATGGAGATTTCTTGTCTTGGTGCACACGACAAATCTATAGTTGACAATCACATATTTTAATAAGAAAATGAGATTTCAAATTCAAAGTTTCCTTTCTGATTTAAATATGGAAAATGAGAAGTGGAAATTAACTGCAAACTTGGAGTAACCCCCAAGACTCCAACTCATGCAAACCAGGCCAAGAGACAGTCAAGTGATACAATGATTTCAAGCTGAAATATTTTAGGTGATATCTAGAAGCAAACATTGGACGTGCCGCCATAATAAAATGCCTAGTTGGATCATGTCAGCAGATGATCTTTAAGCTCAAGGAAGTTTCTAAATGTCAAACTCCTTTGAAATGGAGAAATTAAACATGAAGGAAATCAAAACAAATAGAAAAGAATCAGGATTCTTGAACGTGGCTTTGGCCTTACACCATCTGTAACTATACCTTTACTTTGTCCACAAAAGTGGAAACAAGTTTTCATTTGGATTTATGATTTGATGACTTGGTGGTTGCATGCCTTTAAAATTCAAAAAAGAAAAAAGAACAAATTGTTGGATAATAACCATTATTGGCATTCAATGCTTCAATCTGTTAACCAAAAATCATTACAAGTTCAAGTGAATACTCTATAATGGCCAAAATGACAAAAGTAGAAACTCTTAAAATCAGAAGCTTTCAGAAACCAGAGACTGAGAGTAGTTTTTGGATTGATATAATAAACCATTATATACAAAATTTGAACATTCCACAGAAAATTACCCAAAATCAGTAACCAAACAATACCCCATCTCACATTCTCACAGATTACAATGCTATATGAACTTATTGAACATTGATTCTCCTTAAGCATTGATTTTTTTTGGTTCGTCCATTTCCATGCTTCTGGTCACGAGCCCAAAACTATTATCTTTCAAGCCTCTCTCAAGCAAAGAAAATTAGAGCCACTGTTCTCCAAATACCTTTCAAGCAGAAACGTTGGAAGGTTCATGCGCAATGAATCACATCCTCGTATAGCAAGAAATAGACAACCGTAGACAAGACCACGGGAAGAAAAAGGAAGACTTTCTTTGAGAAAGCTGCATGATCTTCGTACTCTTCTTCAAGAATGGTCTCTAGCTTTGGACAACTTGAAGATTTTCCTGGGGATATGAGAAGGGCAGGTGCCACTTCACCCCAGTTTTGCTTGTATCCCACCTCTTTCATCATCTCTAAAACTGAGAAAAGCTGATCAAGATTGTTTTTTTTTTTTTTTTCTCTTGAAACAAAAGCTGCCTTTCTTTGGTTTTTGATGATGGGTTTTGGAGGTTGAAGGAGATTGTTAATGGGGGCTCTTGAGGGAGAGACTGATACTCGAGGAATTGGCTGTGGAGAGCTTGGAGGTCAAAGTAGATTTATATAAGGGGGTTTAAAGAGGGGTTCAGTGCTTAAAATAAGGAAAGATGAAGGAGAAAAGCCTGGAAGTTGGTTGGCAATTCAGCCATAACAGACAAAAGTGTTTGAAGATGGAGGTTAACCCACGTGAGCAACGATCTAAGGTTTCTGACCTTGTCTTTTCTATTTTTTATTCCATTTTTGGTTAGAACAGACAAAATGATTTTAAAGATGGAGGTTAACCCACATGCGCAATGATCTCAGGTTTCTGACCTTGTCTTTCCTATTTTTTTATCGACATCTCGATCCGATAAATATTTTAAGTCTAGATTAATTTAGAGAAGAGTAGAATTGAATCTCAAGATAAATTCTTCTAAATTTGGTTTTTTTTCATCGATAACATTTGAAATTAAGATTTTACTTTTAAAAAATTAAATTTCTTATCATTCAAATCAACGAGAATTGATCATTTCATTTTTTGTTCTAGCAAACAGTCTTTCTAATTTTGATAGATGAAAATCTTCATATGAGCTTTAACAATAAAAAATAAAAAACTATGATGCTATCCTTGAAGAAGATTTCATTGGTCAAAGAAAAATTTTCTAACTCATTTTTTTATATTTATATAGAATTTTATACAAAAATTATATTATAATTTATGTTAATAAAAAATATAAATTACTTCCCATAGATGAGATCCTACATTATCAGTATGATCAAGACAGACAAGACAAGGAAAATTCCCCTAGGAAGAGGCAACTAATTGGATGCCTTTCTTTGGTCATATGATCACACTGATCCACTATTGTCAAATTAAATTAATCAACTATCGACCTATAAATTCTTGGATACATTATGATAGATTCTGATATTTTTCAAACGATATATATAATATAATGTTTAAAATAAGAGAAGATGATAATATAAATCAGAAAAATGAAAACCAATAGTGTTTTGCGGGGCCACTGAAGGCCTAACGTCAGTCCTTACCTACGGGGAAAAGGGGTGTTTTAACATTATTGTATGCTACGTATAGGGAAATTCAAAGGGTAATATCTATTCTACATTGATTTGTCACCTATAGTACTGGCCTGATCATGTTTCTTTTGTTCTATTAACATGTATAACCAGCTCAAGACACTCAAATTTTTCTCTTGCCTTGTACCCAACTATTTCAGAAAGTGAATAGCTAACTGTTTTTCTGAATCATGGTTTGAAATCACTCACTGGTTTCCAAGTTCAAATGTAAGATGGATCTCATCCCTTGAATCACCCTGAAAGGCTTTTTCTGTTCCAAGGTAAACAAGTCTTGTCCCCGTAAGGCCTGCAAACCGAAAAATTATGGATAATTAACTTTTTCAGAAATCTGAAAACGGGGCAAGGCAATATCCGGCCAGAGTATTTTGCAACTCTAATACTTTGTACATGAAAAAGAATTCCAGATAATAATAAGTCTTTGGATGAAAGAGTAGAGAATTGAAAATTATGTTGTATATTACCTCTTGAATTTTTACCTTTGAAATTTTAGGTGTAGCAGCATGAAGACAATGGCGAGGATAAGAGAAGAAGAACCAACAAAGACACACGCGAGACCAAAGAAATCATTCTTTCCTCCCAACCAACTTGATGTTGAAAGAACAAGCTTCTTTTTACCACCAAAACTGTAAGTGTTGTAGTTGTTCATTAGTTGAACCAGGACAACGTCATCAGCATCTAAATCCTCTTCAATTCTTCCATACAATTTTCGGAAGCTAGGGAGAGCAGATGTACGCATCCATACAATAAGATCCTCCTGATCGCTTAGCTATAATGCATCCATTCATCAATGCCAAAAGAAGAGCAAGAAAAAACAAAACCAAAAGATTATTTCATATCGCAAGCTTTAGCTGAATACATAACTGAAAACGAGAAGGCTGTATTAACATAATGAAATGAAGAAAAGTGATTATTGAAGGATATCTGGCAGTTAGTTGTTTCAGAAACAGGTATTTTGAGTAGTGAATAAGTATTTTCATGATTGACAAAAGAATCAGAAAGACCAAAGTAGAAAGTCTCTGTACAGAGCTCATACTTACAGGAATTCTTGGATTCAGCTTTCCACCTCCGATCAAGGTTCCATTTTGGAAATTGGAAGGATATACATTCTTTCCAAACTTGTGATCCCGGTCACTCTTCCAGGCAATGTTCTTCCTGTTGACCTTGAGTTCTGCTCTCTCACGAATAAATGTAAATGTATCATTAAATAAGCTCCATGCTATCAATCCACAAGGAACAATAGGTCGAGCATTGTTGAACTCTACAGGTTGACAGGAACTTGTGGCTTGATACTTCTGTCCATTTAAGAGTTGCTGATCACTTCTGCTTTTCACATACCTGGAAATCATTTAAACCAACAAAGTGCAAATTGAAGAAACAAGGGACATTAAACCAAGAAATTTTTGAAATTTGGGTTAGTTGTAAACAACAAATCAGTAAACTGCTAAGGCAAAAATAAAAAAAATGTAAGCCGGCCTCAACCATGAATAGACTGCCAAAAGCAAAAGTAATGCGACTCATTTAAACAATTTAAAGTTGCTGGATCAATGTATCATAAATGTTGTTATCAAGTGAGAGAGCCCACACCGTCGATGGTTCTGATAATAATTATCGAGTTGATAGTAAATGTAAATTGGAGCTTTCATGTACTTGTGCACCTACAAAGAAGTTATAGAGGCAAAATAAACAAATATGAAAAAAAAAAAGGGAACAAGCATTCCACAGTGAATCAAAGTTTTTAACAGAATCCATGGAGTATACAAACAAAGAGGTGTTAACAAAAACCAGTTACATGCAGCTTATTAAAGACCTCAGGTATTCTATTAAGAATAATGCACCTAAACTTTAAGTGACTAGCTGTTTCTCTGAGTATATATTTCATAAAATAAAAATAACGTACTAAGTATATGGCAGAAGGATAGAAAGAATACTATCTACAGGTAACCAGATGTCAAAGGGTTGGATACTTAAAAGAAAGAAAAAGTGAAAAGAAAAAGTTTTAAGCTTGCTCAAAGGTAAATTTAATTTAACTGGAAGAGAAAATTTAATTTCATCAACTATTTCGAGTTTGATAGACAAAGTAGCACATCTAGAAGTCAATCTAGAAATAAAGATGCTGTAAGGCTATGCATTAGTTCAGTTACCCTTCCTTCCAATTCTAATAAAATCCACTTCCATAGATAATAAAAGGTGTTATTTCATATTCATAGTAAATTTCCAACCCTTGTTAGAGGAATTTGTACTTCTCCAGAAAGAAAGAGACACTCAGCTGCTGACGGTCTCTACTGCAGTCTAATGCATTGTAATGACTGAAAAAGAAACGGTTGAAGATAGAGCTTGGCATATATTGAAATGCAACACTTTCCCATAGCAACTCCAATGGTCAGGAATACATGTGAAAAGGAAACAAAAATTTTCATAGATAACAAGAGGTTTTATTTCATAGTAAATTTGAAACCCTTGTGACAGGAATTTTTACTTCTCCAGAAAGAAAGAGACACTCAATTGCTGACAGTCTTTACTGCAGTGTAATGCATTGTAATGACTGAAAAAGAAGCGGTTGAAGATATAGCTTGGCATAGATTGAAATGCAACACTTTCCCATAGCAACTCCAATGGTCAGGGGAATACATGTGAAAAGGAAGCAAAAATTTTCACACTGAAGATATAGTCAACGCAGAAAGGAAGTATCACCTTCAAGAAAAGAGAACAATTCTTGGGAATTGAGTCATCCTGGATATATGAAACTTTATCAATTCTAAATGGCTCAGGTACACATTCAGTATCATATCGTTCCACAATCTCAATGACCTACCAATCAAACAAAAATGATTATTCACAAGTATGTTCTCAATATAACAATGGATGCTCTGAAAAGGAGTATAATAAATAGCCATGCAATATGACAAGAGCCATAGAATGGAAAATTACACTACGAGAAGCACGCAGAGTAACAAGGCCAAGAGGAATGAAAATGAAACCTGTAAACAAAAATATTGTAATAACCTGCAGAAATGAAGATGGCACCCATCACTAGCATTAAATATAGCCAACATCCAAAAAGTACAAGTTAGATATTAGCCAATAACCAGAGATTAATGAAAAATCCAGGTATTAAAGAGTGTTATCATGCCCTCACCCAAGCTGGAGTCAAAACGGGTTTGCAAGCCGGAAGCTTTTGCTGAGTAAACAGATAGAAAGCTGCAAAACAAACATAACAAGACCAACAAAATGTTAATGAGGCAATATTTGATTGCTCACCAGACCAAATACCAAGCTGCAACCAGAAACCATAATGAGATTAATACTAAAAACAAAATAGAAGATGATTGTAGACAGCTTTGCTACCAGTTCAAATAATAGATTATTTCTGATATGAAGCCAAAGTTGCAATGAAAGGCAGCCCCAGACTCACAATTGTATATCTACACATATGCATTGATGATTGTCTACATATCACCCAACCTTATGCTGTTGGCAAAACTATCAATTCATTTCAATTTTCAATGTGTTTTAACCAAGAATAGTCCAACAAATAACAGACCATTTTTACTTAATGATGATTATGGAGAAACAATTCCCCAAGTAGAAAAGACTCAACTATACATGCGTGCATACACGGACACAAGAAGAGCCACTTGTGCATGTGCGGACACAGCCACATGGAAGAACAAATTTGCTTACTTATTTTTGCATTCACACGCTCATAGAAAAATGCAAACAATGCAGGTAGCGCACGTATATAAAGAACAAAAGGACTTAATGTTGTATCAGCTATGTTTGTTTATATGTCTTCACATGTACAGGGAGCTTGAGCACATGCATGAAAGATAGGCAGGCATGTGTATTCATGCCTCTGCATCCACTAAGTGGTAGTGTGTTAGGATCTGCCCGTGTGTGTGTATGTGCAGGAATTTAAAATAAAACCAAAAGAAACAAAATTATTAAGCAAAAGCCGCAAAGGCCAAAAAGAAAACAAGTGTTAAAATAGACAAAAAAAAAACCTGTTTTCGTGTCTCTGTGTCTCACTCTATCTGTATCCGTCATTTCCAAAACTCAGTTGTGATGTTCTACCACTCCACTAAATATCGATAGCCTTTCAACTAACCTTCGAGTTCCTATATAACAACACAATAATAACAGCAGTAAAGCACAATCCTTTACACAAGCCACACCAGAATCAAGAACCTTATTTCTATGTATGCACTTTTTACTTAAAACTCAGTATTAAACCTCTATTATAATAGAAGATAATTCAACTACATTCTACACTTCATCAACTTCATGGTTCAGTTAACTCCCAACATTTTTCTGGACACATACATTTTATAGTGTTAATTCCCAGATTCCATTTTCTTTCCTTATCTCGGTTTCCTTTCCTAGGTTAAAAACGGGTAAGTACACCGCCAAACAGATATTAAACTTATCTTAGCTCCAAATCTACATCTTTATTTTGCAATTTCCGAGCAACCAAGCAGAGCATAAAGTTGCAAAATTCAATCTATAGTAGTTTCACCAATTCTGAATCCAGAACTCCGCCTTAAAAGATAAATCAATAAAGAGAGAAAAATCTGATCTGTTAACCTACATTATGCTTTATTCAATGGAAATTTTCTTGCACTCATTTGTTCAGAAGGCAAGCAATAAAACGATCCAAAACATGAACTTTTTTTTTTTTACTTTCCATTCCCTCACATTTTCTTGTTAACCAAACAGGGAATAAGAAGAATCGTACCGAGAAAGTCAACTTGAGAGAACTTTTGGCAATCTCTGCAGCTCTGATCAGCTAAAAATAAGAAATTGAAAAACAGGAGGGAAGATCGAATTAAACGAAAATTGAAGCTAAGAAAGAAAGAAAGAGAATTTTACCTAATGTGATGAGAGATTTGAAAATTGACTTCCGTTAGGGCCTTTTTTTTTCTTTTATTCGTTAATTGAAGTGGAATTGAAAGTTTGCTTTGGTTGAGGAAATTGGAATCTTTTCAATCCATAAAGAGAAAGAGAATAACTGTCTTTCAATTTTCAAAAACGAAGGGGTAGGGAAGATGCCAACCGTCAAGCAATGGAAAAATAAATAAATAAATAAATAAATAGAGGTTGAAATTTTATTTTCTTTTTTAATATTCTTTGATTATCGTAAGTTTTGTTATTTATTTTTTTATTTTCCCATTACAAAAAAAAGGGTTTAGCATTAAAAAACAAATAATTTGAAATGTGTTATATTTATTATATATAAATTAACTCTGAATTAACGTGACATTAAAATTAATATTTAAAAATTTTAAATTTAAAAAAAAATTATGTACGTAATATTTTTTAATTATGTAATTATAAGAGTAGGAATGGTTCTAAGTAAATTAGGAATTAAAATAAAAAAATTGTTGTACATGTAAATAAATTTAAAAAATTTATTATTAACAAAATTTATTGTTTATTTTTTGTATTTAAAGTTTTAACCAAGTGCAACTCTTTGATTTTATCAACCCAAGTTCACATCTTTGCAACACAATTTAAAGAAATTTAGCAACTTTGTGTGAATATTTTGTTATTGTCAACTTGCAGACCATTTTTCTGCATGGGTCACAGTTGCTGATTGATTTGGGATGAATACTTTGCTTTGGCCATGGTGTTCTAAGCAAGCGATAAGAGGCAGCTTCACTCTTGCATGAACCCAAGGAAGATTGTTGAATGCTTTTCCTCACTGCATAAACAGCATTGCTTTTTATCATTTCAGTTTCAAGACAAGATGTAGTAAAAATTTTTGGGGCCTGATATTAATTGGTCTCCACCCTAAAGATTCTCTCTTGCTATCCTCTTGGGGACTTCTGGTTCACGAAAAGTTAAATTACCTTACCTTTTTAAATTTGGTCCATTCAATCATATCATATGCATATACATAATGGAAATTTTGGTGAAAATCTCAACTAAAGTATAAAATTAAATGAAAATGATACCATATAACATTGAAAATCAATATGAACAGAATTATCAATTGTCAAAATTTGTTCCTTGGATCAACAAGACCCAACACTGACAGGAGTTTTTCAGCAACCATGAGGGAGCTCAATTGCACAATTTGTTATACTTCTTTTACCGAATCTTGCTCTTCTTTAGGAGCACTCTTTCCAATCTGTGGTCGTTTCGAAGCTGAGAAAGAAAGAAATACTAAATCGTTGAATAGCAATTCACAGTAAACCAAGCATGAGATTCAGAAATGTCTACAAATCATTCGTATAATAATGCCAGCAAAAAGTAAGATTACGGGGCACTTTCACTATCATAATCTTTTGGCATTGTCAGCATATCAAGTTATGAGGTAAAAGCATCACAATTAATGCATATATTTGCAATCCAAACTAGTTAACAGAGCCAAGGAGGTCAATGCCATCAAAAGAAGTTGTCATAATAATTTCAGATTAGATAATTCCATCATTTCCGATAACACACGACACAATTAGAATGGTTACATTGATAGCAAAGTAAGACAACATCATGGCCATAAGTTTACCAATACGTATATAAGAACAAGCAGGAATACTCACATTTGAGAGATGATCCAGCAAGACAAGTCAACCTGGATTTCGTATTAGCCTCAGCTAATGGATTTGGCTTCCCCTTGATGGCCATGCGAGCATCCCAAACATGTATAAACCCATCGGAAGATGCAGATGCCAGTAAATATGGATCTTCATCAACACCGCCATCTTTGGTAAGCACAACAATACCTTTTACACGGGTAGAATGCGCATCCTCGATGCAATAAGCAACCTTCCCACTTTTAGTGTCCCATGCCGTAATACTGCGGCTCTCACCACCAGTAAATAAAATTCCACTCTGGCAAAATCATATTCATAACATCCCTTCAGAAAATCAAGTTATAAATAACAAGAGAGCAAGAAACATGCATCATGGGACATGGAACAAGTAGCATAAGACTACTTAAAGAAATTCCCATAAATTATGCAACACTAGGATCCTAGAAGTTCACCCAGATTAGGAAGCACGCTGACATCTGAAAGAACAGCTTATCTATGAAATAAAACTATGTACATCAAAATCATGTTATTCAATCTTCTAAGACGCTAGCTAACACAATGTTGTATAAATAAAAGCAGTGGATTTGTACCAAAAGATGGCTCAGCTACAAGGTGAATGAACTAAGCTTCTAGCTTTTGACCTTTTAACTCTCTTATTCCATCAACTTTTATTCAGAACACCATAAAATCTTACTCAATTCAATCAACCAAGAACCAAAATATTCAAATCCTAACACAATGACAATTGGATTTGACACCCCAGACAATTTAAATCAGTGAATTTTCTATCAAAAAATTTTCATTTTCCTCCATTTCCCCAACTAACAAGTGCAATAATTATATTAAAAAATTACGCTTTTACTAATATTAAAAAGGCAAAAAAAAAAAAAAAGTAAACTCTCCTGGAGCAGCACAAAGAACTCGTTTTTCATTCTCCAACTCAAACAACAATCTAGCATCTTCAGCCAAATGAACTCCAATTTTCTCCCCGGACACCATGAAAACCCTCTCTCCATTTCCATCAAATTTAACGATGGTCGCTTCTTTTCCCAGCCTACAACAAAAGCTCCTTTTCCCTCTCATCAAATTCGACATAGCCAAACACCCATCACGGGAAACACTCAAAGCAAGCTTCCCGGAAGGATGAACAACCAAGTCATTGATACCCTTTTTATGGGACCTAAAGGACTTGAGAAGAACAAAGGGCTCGGTGTCAAAGATGGAGATGGAGCCGTCAGCAGTGGCTGAGAGGAAGTTGCGAGGGAATGAGAGGTTGGGAGGGGAGTAGAAGACGAGGGAAGTTATAGAGGAGGAGAAGTGGTGGAGAGGACCGAGGGAAGCGGCGGAGGAGAGGTCGTAGATGTGGATTGTGTCATCGGAGGAGCCGGATGCGGCTACTGACCGGCGGCAGCTACGGTGGTTATAGGGGCGGTGTGGGACGGGTAGGAGAAGAGTTGGGTTAGAGTAAGGGTTTGAGAATAAGGGTCGTGGGTTAGCGGTTTTAATTTGAAACCCCAAATAAAACGTTCGTAGGAGCCGGCAATAAGAGACATGGCAATGGCGGAGGCGGTGGCTGCGGGGATTTTGGGAGGCAGAGTTGGAGACAAGGGTTTAGTTCGGGTTTAAACTATGTATTATGTAGGGCCCCAGAGGGGACAGTCAGCCTTGTCTTCGACAAAAATACCATTACTTTTTGTCTTCTTTTTTTTTAAATAAAATAAATTATGTGTTACCGCGGGTTTAGCGGCTAAATAGATTTTACGAGAATATAGAAGTCTTAATTTCAAATCAAAATATTTTTTTATTTTTTTAAAATAAAAAAATTAAAATATTAATATTATCTTTTAATAATTTAAATATATTTTATAAAATAATTTATAAATTTATATTTGATATATTATTAGTATATAAATTTAATATATCATTAATAAATCAAATGATATTATTTTGTAATAAATAAATATATAAAAATTAATATTATTTAAAATTTTATTATTTAATAAAATAATATAATTTAATTCATTTTATTAATAAAATTACAATAAATCAAATAAAAATTTTTATATTATAAAATTTTGATATTCATTGGACCAAAAAAGTATATTTGTTTGAAAATATTTAATTATACCAATGACAAGGCAAAAGTAAAGGTAAATTGAGCTCGAAACAATTTTTTTTTTTTTTACTTTTCAATTTTCTTGTTTGAACATTCCAAATATCTGTTCAGAGTTATTCGACTCCCCCCCGGTTCAACAGGGAGCAGAGTAGAGAGTTGCAAAAATGTTGACTTTGTTAAGAAGGTCAATTCCAAAGCCGAAATTGAAAACCCATAAGCAAAACCCCAGTTTAACATTATTGCTTTCTTTTTGTACCTTCAGCCATGTAAAAGAAAAAAAGTAACAAATAAAAGCAAAATCCTGAAACTGTGTGGCCTCTGCATAGTAATAACGGAGGAATCCTTGGACTGGGAGGTTAATTTCACTGTTCTTTCTTCCGGGCATACCAAACAAACAATCCCCAAAGTCCAAGCCATGAGCCAAGAACAGAAACAACCTTCTGCTGCTCGTACTTCTCAGCCAGATCATCCTTCTCCTCCTCCTCCATTCGATCCCTGTCGAAGTAACTCTTTTTTCTCTGTTATTTTTGCTTTCTGGGTTTTTTTTTTAAGAGGTTTTGATTCTTTTGCTTCTTGTTTTCTGTTTATTCTCTCTTATGTAAATTTGGGTTTCTGTTGGTTAGTCGATTCAGATTAAAAAGGAGTAATCTTTAATAGAGTATTGCTCGGTTTGTAATTTTGAGAAAAAATAGTGTTTTTTTTTTCTTGTAGTTAGTTGCTTTCTGTGCTGATATGTTGGCAAAGTTCAAAATTTTGGTTTCGGAATGCTAAGTAATCAATTGTGAAGTATGTTAATGGTACTTGAAATAGTTCTGATTATTTGTTGAAACTTTCTGTGCTGATATGTTGGCAAAGTTCAAAATTTTGGTTTCGGAATGCTAAGTAATCAATTGTGAAGTATGTTAATGGTACTTGAAATAGTTCTGATTATTTGTTGAAACTTTCTGTGCTGATATGTTGGCAAAGTTCTAAATTTTGATTTCAGGATGCCGAGTAATCAATTGTGAAGTATGTTTATAGTACTTGAAATAGTTCTGATTGTTTGTTAAAATTATCTGTTGGTTTAATGGTCCTCTCTGGGTTGACTTAATTCTTTTGCTTTAACCTAGATATTAAATGTTCCTGCTTGATTTTTTCATATTGAGAAGTAATTAGTAGTAAACTTATCACAGTCACAATAGTTTTATGCTAAAGCACTGAGCCTTTGTAAGGCTAATAGTTGATTAATCCTTACAGGCAGTTGCTTCAATAGAAAACTAGCTAAAATTGGTTTTACTCATATGAATTTATGCAAATTTTTAGTATTTCAATTACTTCAATTTGCAAATGGTTCGAGATTATAGCTATTATGGTGTTGGTGAGAGCAAGGGTTATGGTTTAACATTACCTTTAGTCAACCAGAGCGGTAAGCTTTGTTAATGGGTTTAGGGTTATTTGGCCCGGGAGGATTTGCAATTTTGTGATTGTCCTTGATATATTCTACGAACTTCACACACTCTGTGTTTCACTATCTCTCACAAAACATACTTATGTTTATGCAGTGATTGGCATCATTAAGAGGAAGGGGTTAATAAAAGAGTTAGCTGCTGCATACCACGCAGAATGCCTTGCATACTGTCAAGAACTTTTGGAGCTTCAGAAAAAGTGGGATGAGGTATTTTATTTATGTACCTTTTGTGTAACACTTTCTTCTCATCAATTTTGATAACTATAGAGCAAAATTCTTAGCTTTAAAGTGCTGCATAATTATGATTATCTGTGACCTTACTACAATTAATTAATCTAGTTGTTATTTGATCTTTGGATCTCCTAGGTGCAACTTTAGCATAGATTCTTCCTCCAGTATGTAATATGAGGAATCTGTTATACGAAACCTCAGTCTGTGCTTCTTTTTGTTTTCCAATATCTAGTCTGTAGGATATGCAAATGTTTTCTACATACCTGAACATATGTCAACCATTCCGAAGTGCTGCTAATCATAGTTGGCTTTTGAGAACTCAGTGGGGAAATTTTATCTTGAACTTGTTTGTTTAGCAGCAAATTCTGAAAGTAACAGCAAATATCACTTTCAATTTATAATGCTGTTATCCTAACCCTGGGTTCATAGAGATCCATTGATAATCTCCTTGCTGCAGCTGTTTAGAACCTGTAATATTAGTTATCAATCCAAAGGACTTTTATGGCAATATGGTTCTGGTAGTAGTAGTATTCCTCTGTAGTAATCATTTTCTTACCGTTTGCAGCCATTTATCGATGTTAAAAGTCCTGATGATTTGAGGAAAGAGAAAATGAGGCCTCCAAAACGTCTAAAGAAGTCTCGCTAAGAATATGGTACTATTCGTGCCTAATCTTATACACAATGTTACATCTATTAACATTGGGATTTTTTTTTTTTTTAAACTCTGATGAATTAATAAATGCGAGTGCAACATGCATCATTTTACCCAATTTTCAGTTTGTTGAGTGGCCAGCAATACCCATCCCTCATTTTTCTGAAGTAGTCAAATAGATTCACAGCATTTGTATTTATTCAGTGTTGATATGTGTATTTACAGATGATGTGATGGATCTGGGATTTCATCTCTTTCCTGCATCCACATTAGAAGCATCTCTCTAGATGCCTAAACGACCAAGCAGAGGCAAAAAAACAACAGGGATCTATCTGGATATGCATCTATGTTCTGTATTATATGTAACATTATGACAGGTTGCTTCATTGTTTATCAGATACACAATCACATTTATGGTGCTGACACTTTGTATCATAGTCAAGCTAAATAGTGTTCTTAACTTGTGCTACCTTGTCATTGAGCATCAAAATAGTAGTTGGGAGTCCGGAGTTTATTCTACATTTGTGTTTTACTAGCAAGGAATTCACTTATCATCCATTGAGCCAAATGTTCCGTCACACAAAGATCAGCTTGTGCCAACATAGCGTTCATGTTCTATATTTGGATGTTAGAAAAGGGTCATTTGCCTGTAAACTTAGGTCATAAATCATAAATACAGTTTCACACAACATACTTGTGAAGACCACAACTCATGCTCAAGCTCTGAATTTTACCTTCTAGTAAAAAGTTATAAAAAAATGAAGATAATCGGAATAAACAAACTAGCAAGTAGCGGTAAACCTGGTGCTATCAGGATAATATTAATGCCTCTGCTATCTTTTTCTTGTTTTGTTTACATGAGAGTTCAAAATCTGCAACTACAGCAAAACTGTCGATTGTACATTTACCATGGTTATATTTCTCCAAAACCATTATCGTATCTTTGGAAAGAAATGTCTGGTTCTTGTAAGGTTGAATTGTCATCGTTATCGTTACCTGCAAAACAGAAAAAATGTATGTAGTAAGGCAAAAAAAAAGAAAGAAAGGCCAAACAGCCATTTACAGACATTACAAGCAAGGATGTCAATAATGTCTCACCTATGTCTTAACTATTGATGCCATACCCTTTGGACTAGGCTATTCAACTTAGTAGGAGAAGGTATCTTTCCTTCAACGAGCTTTTCAGCTGCCGGCCCCATTTCGTGGACAAACTTTACAGTCTCAGATAGTCGATAGAGTAGATTCATCAGGGCAATCACTTCATTCCGTTGCAACTGCAACCAAGGGTAATGAAAATGAACTTCAGCTAGAATGAAAAGTTCTATACCTGTGAAAAAGTACTTTAGACACATATACTTACAACTAGTTGCTAATGGAAACATAGAAATATCCCACAACCGAAAATAAAAACATAAACCAGCTTCATAAAGATAACTGAGAAACTGATCTTTGTAGGGGTCGAAACCATTTCCCATGTCAAACAATGGCATTTAGATAGGCCATTTTATTGGAAATAAAGAAATAAATAAATTGTGCACAAGATGGAAACCATATCAACCACAATGGTGAACCCAAAATAGCATTCAGCCCTGTGACGATTTCGACAATTTCCAATTGAACTGGTAGATCGAAGTGGCCATGTCTATGCCAACTTTGAGAAACTTGTAGCTACTCCTCTCATTAAATTTCCTTACTGTTATTTTTGCTTATTATGGGCTAGCAGTTAGCTAGGAGTTACTTGTTGGTGTCAGCCCATGAAAGGCAGAATAGACATTCAAGAGTCTGTTAACTGTTATGATCAGTACAAATGATAATCTTGGAATGTTATATGGAAGTCAGTGAATGAATCAGTATTGCCGTTATTCCTTTCATCATTGGATTTTCTCTCTCTTTTTCCTCTCTCACGATTCTCATGAAACCATTTCCCATGTCAAACAATGGCATTTAGATAGGCCATTTTATTGGAAATAAAGAAATAAATAAATTGTGCACAAGATGGAAACCATATCAACCACAATGGTGAACCCAAAATAGCATTCAGTCCTGTGACGATTTCGACAATTTCCAATTGAACTGGTAGATCGAAGTGGCCATGTCTATGCCAACTTTGAGAAACTTGTAGCTACTCCTCTCATTAAATTTCCTTACTGTTATTTTTGCTTATTATGGGCTAGCAGTTAGCTAGGAGTTACTTGTTGGTGTCAGCCCATGAAAGGCAGAATAGACATTCAAGAGTCTGTTAACTGTTATGATCAGTACAAATGATAATCTTGGAATGTTATATGGAAGTCAGTGAATGAATCAGTATTGCCGTTATTCCTTTCATCATTGGATTTTCTCTCTCTTTTTCCTCTCTCACGATTCTTTCTTCTTTCTTCTTCTTTACCGTGACTCCAACCTATTTCAGGTGACGTCCATAGAAGGCTTGCATCAATTCTGTTTCAGAAAATGAGACAATCATGGTCAAGTATGTTGTCTCATACAGAATCATATCCTTTCTTACCCATGACTATGATTTCACAAAGGGATTTTTCATTAACTCCCGGAAAACCACATGGAAAATTATTGCTTTGACCATGTAATCATTTTTTCCTGCTAACTTTCATCGTCTGCCACTTGTCTCCTGCTGCTCCATCTCTGCTCCAACCAACAGTGCCAATTGCGCCTTGCTCGATCGATCTTCCCTCCCTCTCTAAAAGAAAATTAAGTTCGAAAGTTATATCAAAATTACCCAACAAAACTGGATATCATATCCATCATATGGTTAAGGATTTCATTAAGGAATTAATGTTTTAAAAATCATGTCACATTAACAACTTAATCAAGCATATTGATCAGACCTGCTTTTTTTTGGTTTTGGATCAAACCCATCTTCACTTGGGGGAAGCTTAATTGATCAGTTTCTGTTCAAATAACAAATAATCGGTAGCATACCGATCATATTAATGGAAAAACAAATGAACTCAGATTAGAGCTAGGCTTGTCATCTTCCACAATCATTCATTGCCCATTCTACATGAGCCCTATACCTCAGCAATATCACCATTTACTTTTCTTCTGGACATCGATTCTCAAACATATAAAAATTAACTTCCTAAAATATATTTTACAAGCCCTTAAAATAAAAACTTAATTTAGTTTACCTTGTATGATTCACCGACATATAGAGATTGGTAATAATAAAATATACTTATTTTATTTTCATTTTCCTATAAACTTAAGTGGCAACAATAAAATATACGGGTAGAAAGTGGTTAACTAGATCTCCTGATTATTCAACCAGGTGGAAACAACATGAAGTCATTAAGGCATTTTTTGTCTAATCAAATATATTACGTTCTCATTGAAAGATCAGGCAAACATCAACAAATCATGGCCCAGGATGCTAATAAGTATTCACTTCCATCTAGCCTCTAGGACAGGAAAAGGGAAAAAAGGGTAGATATTTTCTTGCCTCTTCATTTCCATTTCTCTGTTATTGGTACTACATGAAAACATCTAAACGCTTGGATAAACAAAAAAAACTCGATGTTGTGGACAATGATGGATCCATGCCTCAGGCAATGTGCCCAGCCAAAGTAAGGATCTTGACATGCTTTTTCTGCCTCAGCTCATGTGGGACTGGCCCAAATACTCGGGTCCCTATTGGCTGGCCTTGCTTGTCAACGAGAACAACCGCATTGTCGTCAAACTTGACCTCACTCCCATCACAACGACCTCGCTGCATGGCAGCACGCACGACCACACCATATACCACCTTTCCTTTCTTCACCTTTCCGTTAGGCATGGCTTCCTTAACAGATGCAATTATGGTGTCTCCCAATCTTGCCCCTTTCTTTCCCTTCAAAGCTTGTATGCACATCACCTTTTTTGCCCCCGAGTTGTCCACTACTTTGAGAACAGTTCTCATCTGTATAAAAGTCCTTTGTTGCTGCCGAAGGGAAAGAAATATTGATGTTAACTATGGAAGAGGACTTCACAAAGGCAATCATTATAAAGCCATGTGAAAATTGTTGGGCTTAGACCATTTACAGTATAACATCAAACTTTAAACAAAATCTGCATTACTCTTAGATCAAGCTACAAGGAGAGTTATCCCATTCAAATAAGCTATGTAGATCTTAACATAAAACTTGTAATATAGCTTTCATTGACGATTGGTTCAACTCTTATCCACACCATTGAAATTGCATTCAAGGAGTTCAGGCTGCAATTCTATCTGGGCCATATGCAGCTCTGAGAAAGCTGAGTCAATAATTGCTATACATGTTTGATTCTTATCAACAAGTAAAAAGTAGGTAAAAGATCAGAGAAAAATTGATGTATTTTAATTAACAATGCCTTTCTCATTTAGGTTAAAAAATACATGCATCGCCTCAAAATTTAGCCGATCACAAATGACATCATGATGAACCTTGTCAAACCTGCTTCCACAGGAAGTCTATTCCCAGAAAGTGGTAGAAAGTTATCTCAATATTCTAAAGATAGTACTAAATCTAGAATGAACACCGGCATGCACTCCATGTGAACGCATTTAATAGATCATTGTAAAAGAAACATCATGCTAGAAAACATGCTGACCTGAGACAGGAAACTGCCACATGTCATCTCACTTGATGTGCTTGGTAAATTACAGAAGTTGTTTCCAAGGCCACCCATCAATGAACGGCCCACTGCATAAAGTATAGAGTCAAACAAAAGCTAGGAAATCAAGATTAGAAACCAAAAGAATTTATGACATGAAGCTGTTTTAATCTTATGATTCAACAGTTGATACACTTCAATTGTGCCGAGGACCAAAATAAATGCATTTCTGCAGATAGATGGATAACAGGTATTAAGAAGATACATCAAAGAAAATCCCCACGCAAAAGAAATCCTTCCTATTGCACTGCTCTAGTAATATTAAAAGATGAAAATTACAGGAAAAAAAATAGCCTCATAGAATAAGAGACTTCTCAATTGTGAAACCCAGAATAAGAGGCTTCTTAAAGCTATGCTCATCAAAAGAAACATAAGTGACTAAAAGAATCAGAAAACACAGTGGAACAAGGTCCAAATATAAGCTTGTAGACAAAATACTAAATGTTAATGAATCACCAAAAGACTTCTGATATTGATGGAAATGACATAAATGGTCATGCGCAGGGACTGGCAATATTCAAATCCCAAGTTCACATGAGGCTAGCTAAGCCTCAATAAGTCCCACCAAACCCCATCCCAACCCCTCCAGAAAAAAAAAAAAAAAAAAAAAAGACCATGAAGTTCCAAGATTCAAGAGTCAATAACCTTTTTCTCATTGGCCCTAACTTATTGCCAAGTACACGGAAATTTCTCTCTGAAGCTAGATTCTTACTGGGTTTTCCTCAAAGAAAAATCTTTTCAAGAAAAAAAGAACTTTATGCATTTGGATATATTGGATTGGAATGCTTTGTATGCTATTCACATCAAACGCCCATCAACAAAGAGAAGGCAAAAAAAAAAAACTTTTAGAGCAAACAAATACCCATGCCAGAAAATTACAACACATACCCCTGGAGCATCTGGAAGCGAAGCTTACAGCCATCTTCCCGCTTATTTCGCCGAACCTTGACAGGGTAAAAAGAAAATGATTAAAAACGTAAGAACCCTAAGAACTGTTAAAATGTTAGGACTAAGGAGGGGGAGAAGGAGATTGGGTTCGGGCTCAAGCTTGATAAACTACCCACGCAAAGAAGTCGGTAAGTGGCTAAGATTTTAATGGACTAGTTGTTGAGGCAGAAAGCTACCCATTTGGGCTTCTAATGGTGGGTTCAAAGTGCAAACCTACAACTCGATCAAGTTGGTTGGACTCAACCAATCCCATTATAGTAACAGGCAAACAGGCCCTTTCCCCACTTGTCAATTTGCTTTCCTCCCTCCCCACCCATCAATAAGAAAAAAAAAATTATATATATGTATATATATATATATATATATATAGTTCTTCACATGGTTTGTGATTCGGCCTTGATTATGACAAATCAAACACATGGTTACGAAGATAAAAGGTAAAATATTTTACAACAAAAAAAATCTTTAAACTACTAAGTTAATAGCTTTATGGAATCTTAGGAGCACAATTTTCATGCGATATATACAGAGAAGCCCACAATCAAGCGATTGGTCAGAACAATAGAACAAAGAAAAAACCAACTTCTAATCAATCAACTTATCCAAGTTTGAAGTTTTGTTGCCCCCAAAAAGAATATTACTCTCCCACGCCATCTACTTCACATTAAACAAATACTTTGGGTTCCTTCACAACTCTCAAATCATGGTTTTTGAAGTAAAGTGGAGAAGAATGTTGCATCCTTTGACAGCAAAAGCAAAGACCTAAGACACTAAATAAGACTCTAAGAGTGAGACTCTTTATCTATATCCCATGATAGAAAGGTCTTCCAACCTTTCTCAAAATAGAAAGTTACTTTAGGGTTTCAATCTTGTTTGAAAGAGATATGGCCGAAAATCACCTTTGAAAATTACTACAAGAAATGATCATGTCGCTTTTATTATCTCCTGTATAAGCTGCAGGCAGAAACTTCATTTTCTAAGGAGAGGGCAGCAAATAGTATTAGTTTTGCAAAGTCAGAGGTTGTCTTTTTCTTCTACCTCTTTAGAATATATACGGTGAAATTAAAAATAATAATAATTATTATTATAATTATGATTAAAAAAATTTTATTATAATTGTGAGTGAAAAAAATTCAATGAAAATTTTATACTAAATAAATTTTACTGAAATTAGTATTTGAATTCAACTGATAGTATAATGAATTCAATCGTATCATATTACATATGTGATGAAATCCAAACTAAAGTTTAATAAGGTTTAAAGATTAGGATTTAAAAACTTTGATTTGCAAAAGCAAACTTTGGTGGTTAAAATGAGTTTATTATCTTCATATTCTTAAATTTTTATTATTTTATGCATATAGTTTTGAAAATTTAATTCATCGTAATACTTTTTTTACAATAATAACAAACACTTCAAAATTTTAAATTATATTTTTCATCATATGTTTAAAACAATTTTTTTAATTTAATAGGACAGCAATGCTAAATTATACCTTCAGCTTGAATGTTTGTGTTATATCAAAATAATTAAACTTAACCCAAGTTTAATTTAATGATGATAAAGAAAAAAAGCAAGGTCTAGTTATTAAAACTTTACTGTTGGTAGAAAAAAAATTTACCAATAAAAAGTTATTGAAAAAAAAAAAAAAGTAGAAGAGTGTGAATCATGAATGAAATACTAAAACAAAACGTGGTCCCAAATTGTGGTCAACACGCTTTAATCAGAGAGTCGAGTAGGTGCGGGGGATAGTAATAGGTTTGATGTTCACAAGACAAAGTTGAAGCATAGGTTTTGCTACTTCCCAGATCAAATCTATTCTAAATTATATATATATAAGCTGGAAAAATGATCAACAGGGGACCATTGATAGAATAATGGCTCAGGGTTCATTATAAAAATCACTAAAAAATTTTTATCATAATTTTTTTTCAATGAAAAAGATTTAGAAGTAATGGAGATTATTTTATTTTTAAAATCTGAGTAAATTGTTAATTTAATTAAAATTTACAAATTTATTAAATTTTTTGAATTTACAAATCATTTATTCACAAAAAATCATAAAAAAAATTCAAAGCTAAATATTAATAGACCCAATATTCATTTTATTTTTAAAATCTAAGTAAACTGTTAATTTAATTAGAATTTATAAATCTATTAAATTTTATTTATGATTTTTTAAAATTTACATATCATCTATCAATAAAAAATTATAAAAAAATTCAAAAAACTAAATATTAACATACCTAACATTCATTCCTTAATACTTTTACCATGATTTTAATATGGAGATGGACGACATATCTTTGACATCCCATGTCAGTTTTTTTTTTTTTTTTTCTGTTGTTTTCAGTGTGCCACTGGCTGGCTGGCTGGCTGGCTGGCAATGGCCACCGGTGTCAAAAACAATTCCAGAATCTCTTGTACCAACTCCATCTTTTAAATAAACAAAAATAAAATAAAATAAAATCTACCAAATTCTGACTTGATATTCCAAGCACATTAAATTTAATTCAAGCAAGATTTTGTTTGCCATCAATCAATCATTTTATGCTGGGAGAGATAGTAACATATTATATTATTATTATTGTACTATTTTAATTGCAATAAAATGAAATTAATTAATTTATAAGAAGAAGAATGTATGTACTAGATGATTTGTACTAGATTTAAATTCAGTACAATAAAATTAAAATAAAAGCTAAAATAGTACTAGATGGATTACAATAAACAATTATACACAAATACAAAACTAAAATTTAATGTCAAGTTTACTGTTCTAAAGGCAAATTCTATATATATGCATAACAACCTCTTGGGTGAGCAGCATTAGCTTCCACTAACACTGGTAGTTGAGCACTTTCCGTGGCTCTCCAACAATTGTAATTGTCCAGTTATTGCAAAAATAGATACATTTATGACACGTCTTTATTGGTATGTAGTACATGATTGTTTAATTCTTGTTTAATTACCAACTCAAATTACCAAAAACAATTAAGTACTTGAAAAAAAAAAAAAGTAAACCGTGGAAAAGAATCAGAAGAAGAATTCATTGTTCACACAGATTAAAAAGTGAAAATGAAGGCAGACGGGTACAATTGAAGTAAAGGTAAATGGCAGGTGGCAGGCAAGTACACCAAAAAAAGATTAGCTTTGGTACAAAAGCAACAGTAGAGGTGAAATCATGATTTCATTTCATGGGGGCTGAAAAAAATGCCTTAGAATAAAATTAATAAAATATATGAATATAATATGAATATAATATAAAAATAAAATGTAAAAATGATATAATTTAAAATTATAATAATAATTATATGAGATTAAAAAAATAAATAAAATTATGTTTTATATTTTTTGGTTAATATAAATTATAATATATAATTTTTATAAAATATAATATAAATATATAAATTTTAATATTTTATATTATATAAATATCTAAAATCCTGAAACAAAGCTCTCAATTACCAGGATGAACTTTTTCTTTTCTCTGTTTTTTTTTTTTTTCATATTTTTCACGAAGACCATGACACGTGCAACGGTCTGAAGAATGGAAAGGAAAGACTCATCAAAAATATCCTCTCTCTTTCTCTCATCGAGAAGTCAGCCATCGCATTGATAGATTACACGCCCTTCTGTTTCCCTGCAGACCACGACACGTGCCTTTGCCTCGCTCTCGAGCCGGCCACAAAAAAACTGTGTCATCACCACAACCCACTTGCTCCCCCACTCTCTTTCTTCTGCATTGAACAACTCAAAATAACACAACTTTTCATTTCTTTTCTCATTTGCCATTTTTCATGATATAGCAGCAGTACTAAACAAATATACCAGTACAACTAATCACTGCTGACTACTCAACCCCAAATTTATTCCCTACTCTTTTGTAATTTTCTTGGTTGGGTTTTGTTTAATTTAATGTTAAATTTGTGAAATATTAGAGAAAGTGGGGAGGATCAATGGTTGATTGCACAAAAGGTTTGGCTTCTTTTTAACCGGCAAGTGATTGAACATTGGATTGCGAGAACACGCCTTCGGGTAAGAGGTTTTTTTTTTTTTTTTTGCTTTTATATGGCAACAAAAAAAGTTTTTTTTTTCTTTTAAGACATTACTATGATTTGGATAAGAATCATGGTACATACAATTCACAACCACCATTTTTTTTCTCTTCATCTCCCCACGAATCTGTGGGTTTAAATCAATGAATCCAAGTAGTTTTTTCTTTAGCACTGCCGCATGTGCTGGTTCCTATGTGTCATTTGCTTATAGCCAACTTCCATGTCCTACTGATTTTTATATGAAAAATAAAGATAAAAAAATGGAAATAGGGTCGTACTTAGTACAGAAATAATGGAGGCCATCATCTTTGGGAGAGAAGGTGGCTTTTGCTTTCGTTGGATTGGATTGGATACGATAGATATGGCCTTGGTAGGAGGATTTTCTATATATGCAACTTGATTATACGCACTTTCAAGTTTTTGGAGCATTCACTCCAAAGTTTGTTCTCCTTTTAGAGGTTTCATCCTTTGGTTGGTTGGTTTGAACTATTCTGTTTGATTCATGTATCACTAAGTCAAGACCAATCTCCTGCATAAAAAGATTGCGAGATTTCACATTACTTTTATTCAGTTTCATTCATAAAACCCTTTTTTTTTTCCTGTGAAATAAGCTAACAAATCAATGCAATCAGAAACATTCCAACAAAAAAAATTAAAATCTAATTGTTTCAAATTATAAAAAAAAATTTACAAAGATAATTTTTCATGAATTTATTTAGTTCGTAATTAAATCTATTTGAATTGATATAAAAGAAGATATATGGGTAAAATTCAAAAATTTTTGTCACTTAAACAAAAAAATATTTATACGAATTCAAGATTTAATTTGAATGATTTATCTATCTAAATCATCGTAAAATTGAAATTCGATCCTAACATTTAAATTTTTTTCTTAAAAAAAACATGTTTATAAATGCAGCATGTCTGGTTTTAGTCTTTTAGAGACAATGAAAGAAGCATCTTTGTGTTGGCAACCAAGTGGGTTTTTGTTGCTTCCTTGGCCCATCAAAATTATTTTTTATTTTTCACAAATTTTAAATTTAATTTTACTAAATATTATTTTTTAAGCATGATAGTGTCATGGGAAGTAGGTAAGATACTTCAATTTCATATCGAAAAAGATTATTGGGGTTTAAAAACGTTGACGCTGCACATCCTTATAAGTCAATTTTGAAGGGAGAAGGTAATGATCACGTAATAAGTAGTATCAGAACATAGCCTAAATCGTTTGATCCATGCAAGCGTCTCGAAAAAGAGGTAATCAAGGTGATCGACCTTCGTGATAAGGGTGTTATGAGGTTGGGTGAAAAAAAATATCATGAAAAATAAATAAAGTACTTCAATCCTATATCAAATATAAAAGAAGAATCACTGAGATTTAAAAACGTCGTTCCTACACACTTTGATAAGTCAATTTGAGAGAATAGAGTAATGACCATGTAACTATAGCATGACCTAACTTAGACAAAGTTCAAATTCAAAGCTTTTACTTTCCTCGACTAATTATATCATTATCAATTAATTATATAATTTAAGAGATGGAGGCAAGGAGGAGACACCACTTACTCATACGGACCAATAGGTTTTACCACATTAATTAAATTCCTTAATGCCTTCAAATCTTTGTTTTAAAATGTAATTTAATTATCAAAGTTTTAGTGGCCCCCCAAAAACTTTTTTCCCTTTTTTTTTGTTACTAAAAGTTTTTGAATCAGTGAGTGAAGTTCTCGACTCGACATTTGGTTAAGTGGGAGAAGAAAAGAAGACCTTTTATTTTACATAAGCTTAAGGAAGCTCCATCATCCTAAATTTAACCCCTGAATCTTATAATAATTACTACCAAACCCTCACAAAAGCCAATTAGGGTTTCAAGCTCTTATTATATTTATTTTAGGGTTTTAAAGTAGTTCATATGTTTTTTTTTTTGGCCCTACACTCCAACTAACATTTTTGGGCCAATTTTGATGATTTTTTTTTGTTTTTATTTGTAAAATTAATGATTAAATATCAAAGGACAGGTCAGTACAACTAATTGACTAAATCAAAGCATAAGTAAATGTTTTGTTTCCAAATTCCACACAGTCCATTTAATTTTTTTATAATCAAAATTGGCTTTATTCTTTTGAATGTTTGTAAACATGTTGGTGTCAAATTTGGCAAAATAACGTACAAGTTTATGAATTGATTTAGGGCTATAATTATATCCCCTCTCCATCACCATTTTCACTGTAGATGTAAGATTCAAATGGCACTGCAGGTAATAACATTGTGATTAGGAAAATTTCAGAAATTTTTATTATGAATATAACCCATTAAATCATTTTGTAGAGTACTGCTTTTAATTTTCCCACCACCATTTCATATTTTCTTACATCAACTTTCATTAGAAGAACAGGATTAGAAAAACCGACAAAACTAAAGCTTTAAGGGTATTTTTGGTATATAAAATTGTTATAAGATATGATGAAATGATATTATAATTAACATCAAACTAAATAATGTCATATTATCTTATGTTTGATGTATGTAAATATTAAAATAAATTTATTTATTCATTAGTCAAAAATTTTTTTTTTTAATTTATATAATTTTTAAATGTATAATAAGATGTGTAAATTCAATCACATAGATTAAAAATTCTATCATTAAATTAAATTATTCTATCTAAAAAGATAAGTAATTCTCTTTATAATTCTATCTCTTTCTTTAAATATAAATCAAATATAATATAAAATAATTATTATCATATCTTATCCGTTCTTCTATGCATTAAACACGATGATTTACAATCTTAGCTTGAAGGAAGAAGAATCAGGGGTAAAATATTTGCTTTCTTTTATTTTAATAACAAGGAGGTTATGTGACGAAGATAGCTAAATAGAAAAAAAAATTACAAATGCTAAGATCTCATCTTCGAACTTACTAAATGTTATTAATAATTATATAAATTAATTAAGTTAAACCTTGAGTTCAATACTTTCATTAATTACATTAGTTGGGCTACTGATATTCCTCCCTTTCCAGTTGTATCTTAGTGTATAAATTTGTCTATCCCACCTCCCAAACAACCTTGTTATACACAATTATGAGAGGTATATGTGGGCTATATATCTAAGTATATATTATTGATTTTGCGCGTGTTGGCAATTTTATGACCTTCAATTCAACCCCTATACCACTTGAAGCATGAAATTAATGTTTTTAATAGCTATATTGATGATCTGCCCTTAATTCTATTTTTCTTCAATATGGTAAGTATGGCACCTGTTTTTTTGAATCCGAATTAATCTTCTTTTGTTTAAAAGAGATCATAATTTAAGGATAAGAAAAAAAATTGCAGGCATTTAGATTTTTTTTGATATAATATATATTATTGATTGCAAAAACAGATAAGCTAAACAGAAAAAAAAAAAAAGAGAGTTAAACTTGTTCTACGTAGACTATATATATAATTCTTAATTATATGCGAAGTAACATTTGTTTTAAACTCAAGAGTTGTTGTTTTCCTGTGATGCTTGCTGGATGCCTGCAAGAAATCTGCATTCTCTTGAAAGAAAACCAGGTTTCTGCTGGGAAAAAAGAAAAAACAACCTGACCAATCTCTTTTATTTCCTTCTAATTATCTGGATTTTAATTATTACCATCTAGTTTTATTCATACAGATGATGTCCTATCAATTTGAAAGAGGAAATTAATTTCTCAGTTGGAATTGCAAATATTGACATTCTATGAAGGGTTGATTATTGGCCATAAAAAAGAAGAAGAAGGGGGTTGAGATTAGTAAAAACCCCATTCTGAGTTCAGGTAGAGAAGATGATTAAATTGGAGTAAATTGAAATATGGGATGCACCACTTGCTATTTATTTTTCATACCAGAAGCAATCAATTAAATTCAAACTTTATTCAAGCATCATTATAAATTCTCATCACTTCACAGTCCACATTCTTAATTTGTATGGTTTAGGTTTGTCCAAATTAATTTATTCTTGGTTGATATAACTTGAAGTTTAATTCGTACGGTGCTGAATTCAATTTCCATCAGTTTATAGGGTGAAAACAATCAATATGCAAGTGTCTACATTACTGTTATGACTTTCAATCCTCATTGTTCATAAATTTTTACTATACGTAAAACATGCAGATTTAAAGGCTTAAACAAGGGAGAACTTTGAGTGGTGCATGTATGAAATCCAAGTTCAAGAAATGTGTAATCGATGGTATCTTCTTTATTTCAAGTATTATTATTCATGGTTATTTCTATTAATAGTTGTTATTAAAGTCTTTCATTGATCTAATTATATGAGGCATTTGTCTTTATCATAATTGTTGGTGTCCAACTCCGTAATAAGATCAAAACCTTGAAATCATAAGAAAGAAAAAAAAAAACAGTTAGGGCAAATGTAAGGAATATTTTTTATGTTTGTATTTTGACGTTCGAATTAAAAGTTAAAATTAAAAAGATAAAAAAAAATTGTTAGTACTTGAATAATTTTATTTATCGACGAAGCGAAAAAGTTTAAAAATAAGATAATAATGTAATCGAGTAATTCTGTAAACGTAAGATTAATACAAAAATCGAAAATACTTATAAAGATTTGCTAATAGTCTCTAATAAGCAGAATGATTAATAAGACTTTTAAACCAAAAAAATACGCCTAATAATAGCAAATACAACATGTTTTTATGAGAAAATAGTTTTTATGAAATTATAAGAAATGTACCAAGGGAATGGCAAAGAAGTAAATGTAGCAGGGAGCAGGGGGCAAAGGGTGGAGAAAGAAGACACATATTAAAGATGGGAACGGCGCAGTGTCTGTCCTTTCCCGATAAGCCCGGTTATTTGCTCGAATGGGGATGAAATGAACTGAAAGCTTTTCTTGCTCTCTTTCTCTGATTTTTATCTTCTTCACTTTAAGCCTCATATTCACTGAGTGATATACAAATCACCCTCACTTCCAATTCCCATTTTCTTGGATTCTTCTGTTCCGCTTGTTGTCCTAAGCCTCTCTTGCCAAATAACTCAACCCTAGCTTAGCTGTGAGCTTTTTTTTTTGTTGTAAATATTTTTGTTTTTTGTATGAAAATTCAAGTGAATTCAAGAGCTTTTGTTTACTAATTGAAAGTTTTCTTTTTCATGACTTTGTAGGTAGCTAAAAGGAGATGTGATGTGACTAAGGAAAAAAGAAAAAGAAAAAAAGGAAAGCCAAAGCAGCTAGAGCTACCCATATTTTTATTTGTTTTGGAACACAAAAAAAATCCTGCTCCAAGGTTCTTCATTTCTTTCTTTCTGTCTGCATCTCTCTCTAGTTATGGTAATTTTGTTTCTTTGTTGATTTGCTCTTTAGTTTGTTTTTTGAATTTAAAAAAAATGGACTTGATTATGTAAAGCTTGTGTTTTTAGAAAATTGATCTATGTATAAAAATGAAATCTTTTTTACTAATTACTACTACTAGTTTTGAGATTAAGAAGAGCTGATCTAAAGCACCCATCTTTTTAAATGAGCTGGAAATTGCAGGTACAAAAGGTTTTAGCCTTTTTTATGAGGATTTAATTAGTGATAGGAATTGATTGATAATACTGTTGACATTTATTGAGAAACTAATTATAATATCTCAGGAGTTTTTATTTGTTGTTATTTTGTTGTTGTTGTTGCAGGTACTGTTCTGCTTAGAGCTGAAGCTTCTTCGAAGTATCTTTGAAGAGTTGTAGATCTGTGTATGGCTTTGGATTCTAAGTTGTACTAGAAAAGATCTGTTTTCACTTAAGTCAGTGAAGGGAAACAAAAGAGAGAGAGAAAAAGAGGGACAAAAAAATCAAAATATATCCTTTTTGGTTATATTTATTGTCTGAGAAGTCGACACCTGTAACAACAACCAGCATTGTTCAAAGTGAGCAAAAACTTTTTATTTTTGTATTCTTTGTTGGTAATTTCAGAAACAGCTTGTTTTTTAATGGGGGGTTTGTCATTTACTAGTCCTTTTATTGGCTAAATAGTGGCGGCGGCGGCGGCGGCGGTGGTGGTGGTGGTGTCGTCTGCCATTTTTAGGGTCAGCTGCAAAGAGAGAAGAAAGAAAGAAAGAAAGAAAGAAAAGAGGGTTGGCTTTAGATCGGCACCAATCGTTCCGCAATTAATGCTTTTCTTTAGCTTAATTGTGAAGCTGAAAAAAGGGTGTCCCTCAGATTCAAAGCATACAGCTGCTATACATTGCCAAGGAGCTTTCTATTTCAACTTTTGTTAAAGGCTAATCGTCTTTAAAGTCGGACTTTAGGTTTTTATGTCTTTTTTAGCTCCCATAAATACAGTATAACAACAATATAGAAGAGGTCAGATCTCTCTCAGGTCAGAGTCTTAGGCCCTTCAGGCTTCAGCTGTTGTGTTGTTGCAATGGCCAATGAGTTGCTACTTCCACAAGTTTTATCTTTGTGTGGTTAAAACTTCAAAGCAGTTTGTCAAAGTATCGTACACATATTTGAAGCATCAGATGCTTTTACCTTATCTAAAATTTTATTTTATTTTACTTGTCTTTGCAGGCTGTGGCTGCCATTTTTCAGGCTTTGCTTGGTGCAGCTGCAAAAGCTTAAACAAGAGAGAGAGAGAGAGAGGGGCAGGCTGGCTAATCTTCCGACTTGGACCGTGATATATCAAAGCGTAAAAAAAGGCCTTTTATCACTTACATAGCCAAAGTACTTTCTGTATAATTGTCATCAATGCATAGGACATCTCAACCCCACCTTCACTTCTTCCCTTGCACCATCAGCACCACCATCTCCTCCTTCTATTTCTAACATTACTCCAAAACCGAAGATTTTCTCTCTCTGAAAGTGAAATAAAAAAAAAAAGGTCAGGGGTTATTGTTTGGTAGTGGGAGGTTTTGAGTTCTTGGTTTGTGAGAAAGGAATGAAAGTGGTATGGAGGTAGATGGGATTCAGACACAAGCCCGTAAGTTCTCAAGAGTTGGTAATGGAAGAAACGACTCAAGCAAGATAGGTCAAAAAAGAAGTGAAAACTACCATGATGATGAGGAAGATGGAGAGCTCATCAAAAGGGTTGGTGCAAACAGTGGAGTAGGAGGAGGGGGAGGTGGTGGTGTAGCTGACACTAATCGGCTTCGAGGTTGGAATCACTCTTCGAGAATTATTAGGGTTTCTCGAGCCTCCGGTGGCAAGGACCGGCACAGCAAGGTTTGGACTTCAAAAGGGTTAAGAGACAGGAGGGTAAGGTTGTCTGTCAACACAGCTATACAATTTTATGACCTACAAGATCGGTTGGGCTATGATCAGCCTAGCAAAGCTGTAGAGTGGTTAATTAAAGCAGCTGCTGATGCAATTGCGGAGCTTCCTTCACTTAAAGGTCCATTTCCTGATACTCCAAAGCAATTGAGTTATGAGAAAAGAGCTAGTGGAGGAACTGAACACGGGTTTGAGTCGGCTGAAGTGGAGTTAGATGGTGATCCAAACAATTGCCAACATAACCAAAGTCAGCACCTTTCTTTGTCCAAATCAGCTTGCAGCAGCACATCTGAGACTAGCAAGAATTCAGGTTTATCCCTTTCGAGGTCTGATATCCGTGTGAACCGTGCAAAGGCCAGGGAACGAGCCAGGGAAAGAGCAGCAAAAGAAAAGGAGAAAGAGCAAGAGTCTCGCGTTGCACATCATCAAAATGTGAACCCCATTTCTCAAAACTCCTCCTTTACTGAGTTACTTACCGGTGGCATTGGCAGTGTTAGCAACAATAATACTAGTTCTACAGCTTCAGCTCATCAAAACCCCAATGCGGAGCCTTATTTTTTCCACAAGGCCAATACTGCCAGGCAGTGGCCTGTAACTCAAATGGATTGCTTTACCACGGGGCTCCTTGGACCTTCATCTTCTTCTTCTAGAAGTCATCATTCTTCGGGATTTCCAGGACCAATCCAACTAGGAAACTCTTTACCACAAGCAATACCAATACCACCATTCAATGCGTTGAGTGAAAATCATCAAGAGTTGCAGCATTTTTCGTTTGTTCCAAATCCTGAACATCTGATCCCAGTGGCAACAACACAACCGGGGCCAGGGGGTGATTACAACCTTAACTTCACAATCTCTTCCTTCCTTGCTGGTTTCAATAGGGGGACCCTTCAGTCCAATTCTCCGTCTTTTTTGCCTCATCACCTACAGAGGCTTTCTTCTATGGACGGATCATCACCCTTCTACATTGGCACACCACCAATGGAGAATCACCATCACTATCAGTTCCCAGCTGGATTAGATGGCCGTTTGCAGCTTTGCTATGGGGATGGCAGCAGGAGCTCAGACCAGAAAGGAAAAGGAAAGAACTAATCAGTTTCCTTAAAACGTTTCCTCTTGGCCTCATCTTCTCTGGTAAGCTGAACAGCCTCATTTAATTGAAGTTCTTTACTAGCAATACTTTGACATTCAAATATATTTCATTTGCTTTATGTTTAGCTCTTTTGCTTCATTCTGAACAAGGGTTTTTCATTTTCCCACTCTTTTACTGATGCGTAGAGTTACTTTATTCGTTTTTGGCTTGCTTTTTGGATTTACGTGTTGTGCTTATGCATAGCATAGTACCATGAATCATTCACTTTCTTGGTATTCATAAACAAGTCTCCCATTGGGGCTATTATTTTTGTGGGTACCTAGTAATCTAGTATAATATTGTCTTTCTGTGATTCCTGCATGGATTGATGTGAATAAGGATCGGCTGGTTGTCTCCTTGTTTGTTCTCTTCCTGGCTCCCTTCTCCCTAACATCTGTGAATCCATGCCATGTGTTAGTTTCTTTGTGGCCAAGCCTTGCTGGGCACTGAATAGAACAATTAAAGTTTACTTTTGAAATGGGTGTGACTTTGGTATATATAGCTTTAGAACCTTATTTTATTTTTGCCTCAACTGCTCCACATGGCAATGAATCAGCTTACTGTCAGGTTTTTGAGTTGTTAAAGTGTAGAGAGGATTGGGGGGTAAAGGAAAAATCCATGCACGTAAGCCCTCGAGCTCTCAAACTTCAAGACAAATGGCTACTTCCAAAGTAAGTGTTTTTCTAGGTTTAATTAGAAAGGATGAAGGCAGATTTTAATTTTATATTCTTGACATAAGCTGTCACTGTTCTTACAGTAAAAGTGACAAAAATATAGAGACAACAAAGAGAAATCATCTGTTGTTTGAACTTTGAATTCAATTAAAGCTCTGAGCTTGAAATGTTGAAATATGAACCAAATTATATAATACATCTTTATTCAAATGTATAATTAAATTTGTAAGATCTAACATCAAATCAAAATTAATAATGATAAAAAAAATTAATGATAGAAATTAATTATCAAACTTTCCTTTTAAATAATAATAAATAAGCAACATGAGACAACAATTATAAATTGTACTATTAGAAAAGAAAATCTCACCTAATAAAGAAATTTATTGGCATGTAAGTTTAATCCATGAATTAAAAATAATCTTTTACTTTTTCGAAAGATAAGAGTTATTCTATTGGCATAAGATATTTAATTATTTCGATAATCCAATCTTTTTATTTAAGTGCATAACAAACATGTGATAAGATGATTAGTATCTTATTCTTCAACTAATCTTATGTGCCAAACATAGCCTAAAAGTAAATGAAAGGTTACATGCAAGCTGTTCTAAGGATTTAATAGTTGATTGGAGTTAAGCAAGTATTTATACTTTTGTTAGTGAAGGATATAACTTATATGAAATTTTTTAGATGAAATTTATAAAATTCTTTTTTAAAATGATTTAATAAAATCTTTAATAAAAAATTCAAATTAATAATTGATAGAGTTTGATATGAAGATCAACAATATGTAAAAAAAAATTATTAAAAAAGTTGTTCATAATTCAAATTCGATCGTTACTTATTCAACGGTAAAAATTTTTCAATATTTTTACTAAAATCATTTATCTAAAAAATATATCAAAATTTATTAGAACTTTTTCAAATTTTACATATTTAATCTATGTAACGAGATTTTTTAATTTTTATTTTCGATTTTAGTTTTTATTTAATCGTTTTTAGTAGAAAACATCATGAATTTTACCTAAGAAACTTTATCTAATTCATTCCTTGAGAGCACAAAACATATATAAAATTTTTTAGATGAAATTTGTTAAATTCCTTTTTAAAAATAATTTAAGAAAAATTTAATAAAAAATCCAAACCTGTAACTTAGAGTTTAATGTGAAGATCAATAATATGTAAAAAAAATTAAAAATATTAGTTCTAATTTCAAGTTGATTAATACTTATTCAAAAATTTTATCTACATTTTTACTAAAATTATTTATCTAAAAAGTGTATCAAAATTATTAGATTTTTTTTTTCAAAATTTACATATTTGATCTATGTAATGATATTTTTCAATCCATTGATTTTGATTTTCGATTTTAATTTTAATTTATTATTTTTAGTAAGAAGCATCATCAATTTCATCCAAATCTTTATGAGATTATGCTTATTGCAATAACTAGGGAACACAAGTCACCCTTAGAAGATATTGGTCTGCCTTGTTAATGCATTGAGGTATGCAGAGAAACAATTCTTGGGAAACCGGAAAAATTCTTGTGATTAAGGGATATTACTTCTAGTTTTATACAAATTAAAAATATTACTACCAACTTTATCATCACCCCAAATGAAAGCCACATTTGATTTTGGCTAAGCAAAAATATAATAAAATAGACAAAAAAAAAATTTACTGCTAGCTTTTGCCATAACTTGAACTAATATGGTGAGTGATGACGGCCAAATAATTAGAAACTCATATGGAGTATCCAGAGATTAATCACTGCTTGTGTCATAGCTGGGATATTGAACCTTAGTAAATATACTTTGAGAAAGCATTGTTAGTAAATCTAGAATTTTGGAAAGAGGGAGCAAGAAGTTATCGAAAGTTACGGGTGTTTTTCTTTTAAGAATTGGGTTAGGTGGACAAAGCAAATCTCTTCATCACATGTTTCAATAAAAGATATTGAATCTATATCGAATTGCTCACGTACATCTATTAATCAAATCAAATAAATGAATTTCATTCTGTTCTGATAAGCCGATTATGATCGGCCTTGAAACAGTTCATTGTATTGATATTTATCAAATTCAATGTCAATAAACCCATTTTACCTTCTACACATTGAGTAAATTAGAATTCTCATTCCATTAGGGACTGAGGATGTATAAACGAAGGATTTTGAAGTGTTCTAATATGCTTTGGGGCTGCACAAGAGACTAGAGTGAATTAATTCAAGTGTGGTTGGAGTTATTGCATTATATAAAGCATAATTGTCTTTAAAGTGTGGTTGGAGGCATTGTATTACTGCAAATGGGAAGGATTCATGTGTTTATAATAGGATAAGTTCATTCTTTTCTTTGAGGAAATTAAGGCTGGACAATAGAGACACTAAACAGTTGACAATTATAACTAATTGTGTTTGACATGTTGCTGACTGTTTCATTGTGCATCTTTGGAAGTTGTGCAAGGTTAGTAATGTACTTTATTGGTTGACATCTTATGTGTGTGGGAAAGTGCTGAAGTGGGTTGAATTATTCTGTTAGACATGCATTCTATAATTTTGGAAAAAAGGTGAAGATTCACCTTTTCCAAAAAGCATGTCAGGTTTAGTGGAGAAACTAAGCATGATTCTGCTTTATTTTGCATGGGAGAGGATAAAATGTCATAGCTATTTAGTGTGAAATGGAACTTGTATTTCATCCTTTACCCATTTAATGTGAGCTAGGTTTTCCCAAGTTCATTTCTAAATTTTCTGAAATGCTGGTCTGTGTTTGGCTTGGAGGCATGGAATAGAAAGCAGCACCTTTGAGCTTGATGTGAAATATTTGGTATGAAAGAAATAGGCAGGCAAAGTATATGTTTTCCTTTTTCTTCTCTGCTGATCCAATAGCTGGATTTATACATTGAGTGGTAACACTATCCTATTCATTTTCTCCTTACCTCCTTTTTGAATCAAGAGGTGATCAGTCAACAAGGCAATAATGAAATGGACTGTCAGTTAGAGGGCATCAAAATCTGGGGTTCAAATTCAAGCACTTGCAATCTATTCCCTTAGAATCCGAGGTTTACCCTAGTTGGATCATGAATCACCCTTAAGCACATGCAATCATTTTTTTTTCTCTCCAAATTACGACCTTTTATGTAAAAAAAAAAAAAGTGTAGAGGGCAATGTATGTAAGCTCCCCTTTTTATTGAACATCATGCTGGATTATTTTCACAGTTCTAATCCAAACAAATTCCTATCATGGCACCTGTTTCACACCTTGCCAAGTACCCAACTTTCTGATGATGAAACTTCTTTCACAAACACCTTGCAGTTCCTTTCTCTTCCCAATTTCAAACACACATGCTAATTTTTGGTGCAAAATTTTTGGATGCAGGAAAGCAAAACATTGAGGAAAGCTGCAGTGGCAAGCAGTGAGTGAAAGCACATTTCCTGCCTGCATTTGGGTGATATCTATGTATTTCTGGTTTATCCATTTTGAAGTCATGATTTCGTTGGCATTGGCGTATTGGGATAATATTTATCTATGTATGCAAAAGCATTGTGTGTTTCCAACAAGTGCAACAAAACAACAATTCGATTGAAGTTATTCTTTTTTCCTCTATCTTATTGAAAATTGTCCATATAAACTTATTAGATATTTTAAAAACTATTGCATGAGCTAAACTACGGAATCGAAGTGTGACTGTTTTGCTTGCAAAAGAACATGTTAAAAATTACACTGAGTGGGAGCATTGTATGAGAAAAAAAAGAGCTGAAAATCAGGACTGACATTTGATCTGTGTAACAATAAGAACCCGCCTCTAATTTAGTGAGAAACAGTGATCAAAAGTGAAGCTTAGTTTATATGTATTGCAGAAAAAAAAAAGTGTGGGGGAGCTTAAATCGTGAGTGACTGATCTACTTTACAAGTCACAACCATTGCCGGCCTAAATATTAGCATGTGGGACTTGATTTTCTTTATCTGTTCCTAATATTTTGGTTTCACTTCTTTGTTGTTTAATCGGGATAAAATATATATTTATAGATTAAGACAACCATGAAATCTTCATCAATTCTCTTAAGGCCAAAGTCAAAAGGGAAGAGGAAGGGGGGGTGGGATTGGAGTGCAAGAGTGCAGGAGTTCAGATTTGATTCACGTGGATTGTTGCAAGTATGAAAGGGAAGAAAGCTCATGTGATGAACAGATAAAGGAAAAACAAGAAATGAAATCTATAAAATGCCAAGCAATCAAAATTTTAAAACAAGTGGTGATTGATCTCATGAAAGAGTTCATCTGCCCCTTTCTCTCATGTATGATGAGGAAAATGTTGAAGATTACCGGTTGCTTCTGGAACTATAATAATATTTTGATTGTTCAACCAATTTATAATCTTGAAGATCTTTAAAGATAAAAACTAATCGGTGGAAAGTGGAATTTATGACTCTGGTCTTTGTTTTTTTTGGGATAAATAACGGTTCTGGCCATTAATAAATGGGATTTGAGTTTGACCAAGGATGATTTGAGCAAATATAAATACTAATGATTTCTATTAACAGTATTGAGTAATTACTTTCCAAGTGAAAAAAAAGAAAAATGTAGATGCATCCCTCAATAATAGAGCCAAAAACTGCCATGCTCATGCTCAGATGAAACAAGCAACTTCTGATCATTTCTTGCTTCTAAGTAGGGACATAGAAGCAAATAATGATTCAGAGATGATGATCAATCTTAAATCACATAGGCCATGCTACAATAAGCTAAATTGGCAACTTGAGCTTTAAGAATTATTGACAGCAAACTTTGTTGAAACATTGATGAATCAAAGCTGGATCAAAGTGCACATTGTATTATCAAATCCAGTTTGACTCTATCACACCGGATCCCTTTCATCACCTAACGCAGTTGTTCAAAGTGGCACCCATTGTTTTATCATCAGCAGAATTTTATCAGAACAAATGCAATAATAAATCCTGCAGCTACATCAAAGTTCCAACATGAATCCAACAAATCTGGATAAACACTCTAAATAATTTGCAAAGATAAGACTACGAAGTATCCATGAAACTTTGACAGGACTACCGGAAATCTATTGGGGAAATTAAAAGCTAAGTGCAAACGAATTTCTTGATGAACTTCATAATTATATAACATAGAGCATAACATCTTGATACCTACAATATTCACATATAGAGGGATTATAGAAAGTAAAAGACTACAAACTCAAAGCTCTTACAACATCTATCTAGTAGCAGGTATGCACCCTTACAAGCATATGCCCGAAATAAAAACAACCAGCAGATGCATTTTGGCTATCAGTTGAAGCACAAAAGTTATAATGCTTGCAGTGCATTATCAATATGCATGGATTGCCTTCCACTGGCGGTCCAAAGCAAGGTTTAGCTTTCATAGGACTCTGCCCTGAGATTAAGCTACAACATGTAACAAAATTGTCATCTGATCATCAGCTTTCCAAAAGCATGTTATCTTCTTCCCCTAGACCATTGTGCTTGCTGCTTTCCCTGAAATGCACAAAATGAACTTTAAATGCATAAGAGAAGAGATGCATAAATAAAAAAGGTAATGCAAGCAGATATAAAACTAAAAACAGAAAGAGTGCCAGGCATGCCAGTTTTGTGTTACCACATGCATTGCTAGATGTTTCCTTGCGCAACCATTTCAAGCAAAAGATTTCTCACAACTCAAATGCAAATCAAAATCTAAACCCCCATTCACCAGATACAGTCATGCTTGGTTTCCCCTCTAATATCATAAAAGCAAATTATACTAATCAAAATGATCAAGGAACAAGGTAATTTCAACTCATACATATGCATCACCAAAGACATCAAGAGCATATTTATCACTTATGAGCTAAAACCATGTAACAGAAATGGTCTAATAGTGAATTAAGTGAATGCCTACTAACAGCATACATGCATGTTAACCGGACATAGAATTAATTTACAGGAAGTATTAATTTTCATACTAACATTAACAACTCAAACAACAAATCACTTTTCTAACAAATTAATCAACATCATCCAGCATATACAGCTTCCAGCATTTGAGACATTTACCTGCGCAGAGCAGGAAGCAGACATTAAAACGAGTTCATCTCCAAACAGTAAGTCCTTCTCTTAACCAGCATCTTAGCCGCAGTCCCATAAGGCTCTTCAAAAGCAGTTGATAACCAAAAAGCATCCGAGACATCCTTTTTCGAAGCAGGTTGTTCACTAGGCCTGATAGCAACCAAAGTAGCACCTTTTAACACAACCCCATCAGGCAATTCCAAATGAGAAGCATACCAAAGCCTCATATTCAAAGCAGGGACCAGCGTCCTTTTCGAAGCAGATGAAGCCGATAACGGCTTCACTCTCAACTCCTCAAGCTGATCCCTGTTCATACAAAGCACCCCTTGTCCATTCGCATCGGTTAAAACCAAGCTATCCAGCGTCTTATGCTCCGCAATTATCGGTTGAAGCAAATAATGCCTTGCTGATGCTGCGATTAACGAGCTAATCGTCCAAATAACCCTTAATTTCAAGCCTCCATTGGTATAAAACGAATCGGGAATACTCCCATTATCATCGCCGTTACCAACATTTGGACCACTGGTGATGTTATTGTTCATGCAAAATGCGCCGCTCCCATACTCCGATACATGCAAATGCACGTTGTTAATAATGGAAGCAGCTCCCAGAATGACGCAATTATCAAGGGTTGATCCGAAATCGGCCCTCCATTTCAACAGAACTCCATCATCAATCCCTAACTCACCGCTGGGTAATTCGATTCGGAGGAAACGAATCTCGTTGAAATTTCTAAGTACTTGCGTCGGGGAATGATGGGTGACCCCACCTTGGTCCAATTCCCCATCATCAGCACCACCGGGACCAACGGATAAAGAGGAAGAAGAAGGGGCGTTAAGGGTTTCGTTGAGAGTGGGCCGTTTTGGGCGGAGGAATTGGCCCAAAGCTAAGATGGGTTTAAAAATGCCTCCGAAAACGAGACGGAAGAGATTAGAAAAGGGACCGGAAGCAAGTGATTTGTCGGAGGAGGCAGAGTGGGGACAATCGTCGTCAGAAATGACGCAATCGACACGAACGACGACGTTTTCGACTTGCGGGACGAGGGAGTGGAAACGACGCGAGACAACGCAGCATCGGCCGAGAGCTTTAACGTCGCCGATTTTGTTGAAAACTAAAAGGAGAAGAGAGTCAGGAAGACGGTCAAAATGATCGATAGGCTCCGGATAGATTCTGTGGATCGGATCTGAACGAACTGAAGACATTCTTTTCCCTCGTCTTTACTTTTTGCACGAATTCTCAAATTATTTGTTTGGAAGAGGAAAGGAAAGGGGAGTGGTTAGTTGATAGATCTCGAGGCTTGTTTTTAAGGGAAGGAAAGGGGGAGGATTTTGATAGGAAAGAAATTTGATGAGAAGAAAAGTAAAGGAAAGAGGGAAGGAGGTTGTGACGTCGTTGTTCGTAGGAGAAAGAAAGGCGGATGGAAATAGGGGGATGAGATGGATCCACGGTTTTTGTCTTTACAGACAAAGGAAAGAGAAAGAGAGATGAAATATGAAGGAAGCGTTAGAGAAAGAAAAGAAAAGAAACAAACCATTGAAGCTTCCTTTGCTTCTCTGAATTATTGTTTGATTAAATTTGGTTTTAGTGCATTGGGTTTTAATTAATTTATTAGTTTAGTCTTTAAAATTAATTTTATGTCTACCAATAATGTTTTTATTTTTATTTTTATTTTTTCAAAAAACTATTAAAGAAATTAATTTTATAAATTGATCTAAAAAAAAACTTAAATTTTATTACAAAAATGTGATGGAATCCAAACTAATCCTAAAACAACCACATGATTTTGGCATCAATTTGTTTTTAAGTCACATCTCGTTTACTTTCTTGTTATAGGGCTGATGTGATTAAGGATGCTAAAGTCGGTAGTTAATTTATTAATTCCTCTTTCGGTGCCCATCTCTATCTTTGCAATGTATAGATAGGCTGCTAATTAAGCATAATTTAATTCCTTTTTTTTTTTTTTGGTTATCTATAGTTTCAAATGGAATTATTACATGCTTAATTTCTCTATTTCATGCAATGTCCATTTCATTTTCTAGACTAAAACAAATGCATGTCTATGGTTCTAAAAAGGTATTGCTTTACTTGACCAAAAGTAAAAAGTTTGTGCCAAACATCCCTCAATTCAATGATATGAAAATTTTTTTATCTTTTAAATTATGATTGAAGTTTGAATTCAATATCCTCGATTTTGAAATTGATTTCAGTATTATATAATTAAGGGGTCACAATATAAAAAAAAAAAAAAAAATAATTAGGTTGGGTATTGGTTATTATCTCAAATAGTTCTTTGGGAAGTCTCTTCACCATGGTACAATACATGAATAAAGTATAAATCACCCAAAATTAGGTAAAAGCACTATCCTTTTATTTTCTTATTTAGTTTTTTAGTTGAAATTATCATTAAAAAAAAGTAAAAAAAAATTAAAAATGAAGAAGATGGAGATAGTTGGTGTTTTACCTACAATGAAAGTTTTTATTTGGTAAAAGGGTAAAAAAAAACCTTCTAAATTAAAATTTAATAATCATTCAAATTTATCTTTTTTTTACGATTAATTAAATTTTTAAATATTTATTTTCATTAATTGAGCTTTTATTAGAAAAAAAAGTTAACTGTTTCCGTCTAATCAAATGTTTAATTGGATGAAAATAAATATTAAAAAATTTAACTGATTTAAAATATAAAATTCAAGATTTGATTGATTATAATAAGACATTGAGAACTTAAATAATTATTAAAATTTTATTTAAGAAATTTTTTTATTTTTTGTCTTTATATTTTAATTGTTGAGTTTTGCTGCATAATATTTGAGTATGATAATATTTCATAAGCATGTGGCATTACATTTCATTTCTGCTATCAACAAATTAATGCACATTTTGCTATTCCTATATAACTTTAGTTATTTTCTTTTTTAGATTCAAAGATCAATATGTCAATGTGATCTAGGCATGGGAAACATATCTTTTCTCTGTATGTAATTTTTGCATGCATGAAACTCTAACTTCTAAGAGCTTTTGACTAGGGACGGCAATCAACCCCGTCCCCGACGGGTTTCGGCCCGACTTAATCTTATGGGGTCGGATTTTTTTTTTTGAATTTCGGTTTTCGAGGTCGGGTATAGTTAGGGAATAATTGAGATCGGGTCGGGTTTGGGTATGCCTAAAATCCGACCCGATCCGACATTATATAAAAATTATTTTTTAATTAATTAATTAATTATTTATATATATATTTATATAATGATATTTTTAAATATTTATATTTAAAAAATAATATTTTATATTTTAAAAAATAATATTTTATTAATTTCGAGTCGAATAAGATCGGATACGATTTACATAGTATCGGGTCGGATCGAGTTCGAGTATTAAAAAAATCGAATAGGATCAAATTCGGATATGCTAAAGCATAAAGTCAGGTTGGATTCGGGGCGAGTAAAACCCGTCCCGAACCTGACCCGATGTCATTCCTACTTTTGACAGATGCTTTGAACTTTTTAATGATACATCAAGCAAGGAAATATTAACACCAGCCCCTCTTGCTCAATTAAAAACTAGGGAAAAAATACCAACCGAAGGGGGACAAAGTGCCCCTCTCAAACCCCATAAAAACCTCCCATTTGATTGGATTGACGGCTCTCAAATTTGGAAGAAATAAAGTAGAGATTAATGGGCATATAAATGGGTTTGGGGCAGTGGTGGGAAGGAATTTAATTCAAGAGATAAAAAAAAAAAAAAAACAGTTGAGCAATACAAAAAAGTTGTAATAATCAAATAAAATATTAGCAAGTCAAGGGGGAAGAAACTTTGCTATAGCATGGGCAAAAAATACCCAATTGTAAGCTGTGTTTGGCATCAAATTGTGCAAATGATAATTAGTATTGCCCTATGCCCATTTGATTGCTCATTAATTAAACTTTTTAACTACTCATCATCATTGTTCAATGGGTCCCTTGTTTTTTTGGAATGTATAGTGACCTTACCCTCCAAAAGGGACCTTTAGTTAAGAATTTGGGATGGTTTAATTGCTTTACCCTTTGTTTTTGTGACAACTTTGATGATCATCTTAAATTACATAAATGTGGCACCCAATTAGCATAATTGTCCAGTATGGCCATGATAGATTATTAGGTAAACAATGTTACATTGCACATTTCCCTATAATTAATGTTCGCACATGATGCATTTTTATTAGTTTTTCGATACATCGTTATTTGAAATTAATGATGTTATTAAAAATGGGTATTTCAACGTACATGTTATCAACGCTTGAGGTATCATGTACATGTACATTCTTATAATTCAAGTACTAATTTGCACATTTCAGTCTCAAAAAATTGGTACTTTGAGACTGGAAAACTGGAAATGGAAGAACATATTGACCCATTGAGAGTTGGAAGAGATACTTGAAAGACTGGTCCTCCCTTTCTCTGTGTTCTTAAGATTTAGAAGGGGCCAACCCAAGGATTATAATAGTCCAAACGAGCTTTATGATATAGTTTCTGATAAGGCTTTTGTTTAGTTATGGGTATTATTATTGTTAAAGAATTCTCCCCAACTTTGGTAATGTTGATTTAAGGCAGAAAGGAATAGAGATTATTGAATGATTAATTATAAAACTATGGAAGCATTGAGAGTGGGTTGGCTGTTCTGTGGTCCTCCTTGATTCTCTAGCCATTATAAATATGATGTAACGAGTCAAGGTAATTCCAGGGCCCAACATTCGGTGGAAAAATCTAATTTCATGAATATAATAAGTAAAATTACAATCATAGTTGAATAAATTTCATTATATATTAATATAAAATTATCAAATACTTATCAAATATGTAATTTAATCATTATAATTTTTTAGAGTGATCATTAATATCAAACAATATAAAATTTTTAAATCTTTTATTTATGAAAGAAAAAATCTCATTGACGATCTTGTTATTTTTTTTTATATCAAGACTTTATAATAATGAACTAATCACAATCAAGTAAATCAAGTAAAAATTTGAATTTTGTTGAAGTTAGTTATGAAAAAGATTTTTGTGGATGCCACCAAGGAAGATATTCCGAGGGTAAATCTCTGACCAACTCTCAATAAGTATCATGATATTAAGCACATTTAGAAAGATTGAGGTTTGGGGTTTGAATTTGTGTGCACAAGGTGTGGGTGAACAAAAACAAACAAGAGAATTATTTATTTGTTCATTTTTTTATAACTTAGCCAATGAACAAGGGAATGTTGATCCCATGATGGGTTGGTTGGATCGAAGAAGGTTTTTCTCACTGTCTATGCTTGAAATTTAAAAAGCAGTGACAATTATTGCCTACCAGATTTCTTGATAACTCTGGCAGTTTGATATTGTCAACCTGCTTCTGAATTCTGATAAACAGCATCATTATATGTGAAATTATGTAGTGCAAGCATATCTGTTAGATTTTCTCTGTTTGTTTTGCATGTTCCTCAAGGTTTCAAGTTGGTGGTGAGCAAAACAAAAGAAGGATAGAAAGAGGGGGTTAGGATGCGATAGCCTGGAAAGAATGAGATGAAATGATCAAATATCCAAGTACCAGAAATCCTCTTCATTTCAACACCCTGGATAGACTCAATCTAGAGCTTGTTGCTTAATGAAATCAGCAGGAAGATTACAACTTTGAAAGATGATAATTAATAAAGATATTTTTTCTGAAAATGGTGCAAATATTTGTCTCAACCCTATCATGGACTCGACCCATATTGCATTGCATTTGGTAATTCTTGTATCAACCAATATCTTAACCAAGCCAATGGCAAGGACAGTGTTTCTTGATCTAAACCATGATAAAACCTGAAACTTCACTGCCAAAAACATTGAGAGACCGCCCCTTGGCCCTCATTCATGATCAGAAACATCAGTCCTCTCATTCCTGCAAGGTCAGGTGAGACTATGCAGCCTAATCATCATGTTCCCACATTCATTTCTGTCATTGTCAGGTAGCTGAAGTGAATATTTCCGTCACCAAAATTATTATTAAAAGGAAAAAGTCCAGAAAGCATTTTTCTGGACTAAGGTTACGGCTGAAATTTTGGCATGCAAAAGACTTGATCTACCAACACAGAAGACTTCAACAAATACTTGTAAAGGTTTAGTTTTTTTATACTCAGGCTCTTTTGCAATGAAATTCAAAAGGGTTTCTACTTTCTAGCCATTTAAAGCAAATGAAGATTTGACGTAAACATTTTTTTTTGGGTGGTTAGGGTATCCCATTAAAAATTTATTCAGCCCTTCTGGCAGGAAGATAGATCCTTCTCTTTAGTAATTTTAACAAATTATTACTTATTTCGGAAATAAAGCTCGAAAAAAGAAAGGTTAAATTTGTTGTTATCATGTTGTCTCCATATCATTGAGATTCCACCTGTCAGGTTTTCAGAATCAGACCAGCCTTAGATTCTCTATCCTCATTTGCGAAGGGTTTACTCACAATAATACAATCTGAACAGCTAAGCCTCTTCCAACAAGTGTTCCAGTGATTGGCAAAACGATAATGAAGTCCAGCTAAGGATTGTTTAAAAAATAAGGTCTAAACAATATTCAGATATAATATAGCCTGAGTTTTCAAGGCTTCAAGCTGGGTTTGATACAACATAAGAGCACAAAATACTATATAGAAAATGATGTCTTTGGTTTTCATAATTACATAACCACCAAGGATTCTGCATTTGTCTCCCTAAGAAATCAGTAAAGAAGAAACACACATGCATGGATAAGTCATTTATGGACACGTCCGCGCGCGTACACATGTTTTTTTTAATAAACATTGAAGCTATGCTACTTTAGAAGGAGACCCACAAAAAAAGCAAATCTCTTGGGGCAACAACTTCTTCAGGGCCAGTATTTTTCACTTTATCAGGTGGCTAACTACTTGTCTAGATCAACTAACCTAGTTCTTAATTGACAGCAAGGGAAAGGATTAGAAAATGACAGTGCTGCCCAAAACAAAAAGAGAAATCAAACAACTAATGATTTCCTACAAAAGAAGATGTCGCAAAAAAGAAATGATATGATCAAACAGTTCCAAGATCTTACATAAACATGTCATTGCCAACAATTGCAGCTCATTATCTGGTCCAGGCTCTGAAAATGAAAGCCCCTGACTCCAACTAATTACACAAATGCAGATAACAATAAAGTTGTAGTTCTTTGTACCATATGCATGTAGCAAAATTTGATTCTCATTCTCACCATAAAGTTGGTTTTTACTATCCATTTTATTTTTGGATATACCAAAGGCATTGCTGATATTAGATAGCATATAATTTTCATTTTTGCAACAATATTCTGTCATTATTGAATTGTTTCTGAGCACTAAAATATAAACCATTCATCATTATCCGAATAAGAATGAGAGATCCCAATGTCTTTAATTTATTAAAATGAAAAGAGCATAATAGATGGTGAAGACAATGGAGAATCCATATCCAATGCTGTAGCATATTTAAAACTAAATTTAAAAAATAATTTAAAGATCTTTATCTGAATAGTCGTACAAGTTTCGCCCACAACGATCACAAATTGTAGCTGTAGTTGGAGAATCTTTTGGCTTGGCCTTCTGCATATTTGCTAGATCAAGTTCCAGAACATCTCCCAGAGCCTTTGATCCTTCTTGGAGCTCATCCAGACTGAGAATACAGGTTTAGGTCAAAAACTATCACACATAAAACTAGACAACATTAATGCTGATTAAGGGCTCTTAAAAGGGTGGCAACATTTAAGTAATAGGATAGGAGAATGATTGTGTCTTAGACCAATGCAAGTAACTAGAAAAGCAATACATCAGGGGTAGTCGAAAATATTTGATCCTATCATATTCCCTAATATCTGTGATTATCATAAAAAAGACTCGCTAGGACAAACAAAAAGACTTGTTAAGACAATATAAAATCAGGTTAAATATAAGTGGATAACAAATCAACTATAAATTAAGACTTAAAAAAGACAAAAGGAGAAAATGGCGTAAACTGCATCACAAATAGATTTAGTTCAAGCATGTAGTTTCATAACCGTGTAACATCATTAATTTGGATGTTGCAAATGCAAAGAAGAAAAAATAATTTGTGTATATAATCCTGAATAATATCATTGAGAAAAAAAATCAGTGGACCCCTGATTAGGTAATAAAATATGAAGAAATCCCCATTTTTAAATTGTAAATACAATTATGAGATAAAAGGATAAGGAAATGCTTTAGCAGGTAACCTAAACTTCCAGAAGAAAACAGCTAAGCTCATGTGATGATAGAAATAACTCCTCAATTAAAAGGGTAAAGAATAATCATTAACTGATGAGAAATAACTACAAAACATCTAGAGTTATTGAGATACCTTTTTTTTTATTTTTTTATTTTGTTCCTTCTAGGAAGTATTACTAGGGATTAAAGCAAGTTTTTGGGGCAGTGATTGTTTGATGGGTGGTTGTCTAGGCCTAACACTGTGTATAAGACAAATAACAAATAGACACTAAATAGAGCTGCCCAACAGATGCTAAATGACAAAAGCATTTAGCTGAGAATGGTCAGAGTTATCACTAGAAACAGAAAAGTCTGGAGCCATCCTAGTTCCCCACTTCTAAAAGCAGCAATTAACTAAAATTCCCACCGCATGCAGGGTTACATTCAATAACTTAAATCCAAAAAGGGAAAAAATTATGAAATAGATTTGTTAAATGGTAAGGGGGAGTATCTAAGCAACAGATCTAACCTCAAGTTTGTCCCACTACTCCAAACGAAACATGCTCAATGAAGTTTGCTTATGCCCTATATTTTTAATAGAAAATACAGGGTGGAATGTATGCGGGATCTTCCCAGCAGCCCTGTTAAGATCATGCTATGAAATGCAAGGCCCATACCAGAAACTTTGAGAATTAGGACCAATCGGTTTTTAACATCAAGCCGGAGCAGCATCACTCACAATCTATCTACCTCATTAAAAAGTACCATCTCTGTTCACATACCCTAAATACGTTTTATGGAAAAGATACTAACATATAAATATCCACATCTTCCAGACATTTGTTTCTTTGATTCAGTGGTATAGGATGCTTGCAAAAATTTGAACTTCAAAGGACAGCGGACACAAAACTATTAGGTGCTCATCAGACATTCCTCCTTACCTAATGCAAAGTGGAGGAGTCAACCGTACAATTGTGTCATGTGTGGGTTTGGCAAGAACTCCTCTTTCTTTCATCTTTAGACAGATATCATATGCCGAAACAGGGAACAATGTCCTGCTATTGAACTCTACAGCAGTGAATAAACCCCTTCCCCGAACTTCCTTGATGTAGTTTGGAAATCGCTCCTGAACCCTAAGCAGCTGACGCAAAAGTTCTTGTCCTAAATGGGCAGATCTGCGAAATAAGAAATAACATAAGCTGCACATTTTTGGACTGAAAAAGGACAGCAGAAGGGAAGAGATAAGAGGAAGAAATAGATGAGCAGTAGCTATGTATAGCAATGCAAGCCGGATTATACTTGAAGCAAATTTATTATTAAATTCCAGTTCCCTGAGTCAAATTCAATGTAAATTGACTAATGATGATTTTTATAAATCCTTGAGATATTGATCCTAATGGAAATTCATAATGATAAGAGAAATTTTTACTCTGCAAAGTATCACAATTTCTTCTATCAGATTGTGATATTGAGAAGACATACCATGGTCAATTATGCTGCTAAATTATTGCATGTTATTCAGACTGTTAAGATTCAGATTCTTCTTTAGCTGTTGGGTTTTAGTAGTTTTAGGATGTCGAATTCTCTCTCCCTTTTCATCTTGCCTAATTTTTCATTTATACTAATTGTAAAACATCAGAAAATTTTCCTAAGGAACAACATGATTTTCAACTTTTCTTCTTCATATTTAATCTTGATAATGCATTAGTGGGCAGGAATTTTCAATACCTCTCGGCAAGTTTCTCCTCCTGGATTACATCTAGCGAGGCAATGGCCACTGCACTGGCCAAAGGATTTCCACCAAAGGTGCTAAGAACAAACATCAATACGAGTGCCGTTAGCTTTTGCAGAACAAAACAAGTGTTCACAATTAGTACAAAGATCAGAAAGACACTTAGGCATTGGAGACAGAACTAAAATGGAAAATTAAGAGCTTTTGCAGACTCAGTCACGCATATCATGAAAGAAAAACCACCAAGTTTCTTTGAAGATAAGTTGTCTAACGATCAAGGTGACACCATTAAGTGAAGATTGCTAGGGATAACTACAAACCTTCCATGTTCTCCAGGTCGAATGCAAAGCATTACATCTTTGTCAGCAAGCACTGCACTTACAGGTATTACCCCACCACCCAAAGCTTTTCCTAGTATCTGAATAAGTCAACCAATATGAAATCTTCATAAGCATACTAGAGAAGTTTATAAAACTGTGGAGTGCATTGACTCAAAAAGAAAGGCAGCTTGAAATAAAAATTAAGTATAAATTATAAAACAAAGCATATTCAATACATTGATTTAGTAGTAATAATAGCAGTAATGCGAGCAGTTCCACCCCAGGATGCTGTCATTCATCTTGCAAGTTGCAGTGGTAATCTCAACATTCTAATCAAACTTAAAAGCTTTCTATTTTAAATAACAAACTCTAACAAAAGGGAAGAGAAGAATTAGCCACATAAAACAATCAATCCATAATTGAGCAGAGAATATACATCTCTATTGATCCTCAGATCAGAGAATAAACAATGTAAAGAAGCCACAATAAAACTCCATTCTCTCAATCACATCTCCAGTAAAATCAAAGCAAATTATGAATTATGGATTTCAGTTTTCCAGTCTGCTTATCATAGCTATGATGTAATTGTTAAACAAGAGAAATCTATTTGAGAAACAATTTATACATATCAAGTATGTGCATCTATGTTTAAAAATTAAAATTTTGGCTGCCTTTCTAGAATATCTGCAGAGATCAAAGGGCATAAAGTTGTTAACCAACAATCATAAATTAATTAAAAACCCTTTTAGCATATTCCCAAAACTTATTTAATGGTATAAAAGATAGGAACCAAATACTATTATATTCACATGAAATAGAACAGGAATTTCATCAAAACCTAGAAGTTAAATAGGGCCTTACCACAACATCTGGACGAACTTTTTCCCAATCACATGCCAGCATTTTTCCAGTGCGTGCCAGGCCACTTTGTATCTCATCAGCAATCATTAGAATGTTATATTTCGAGCAAAGATCTCTGACAGCTTTTAGATATCCTTCTGGAGGTATTATAACCTATCAATGTAAAGGGTTAAAAAAGAGAAACATTGTCAGAAGAATTTAGGGACGAAAGCAATAACTACTGACCAGTGCTTGATTTGAAGAAAATGTTCTCCCCACACATACCATGAAAAAGGAAAAGAAGGAATTTTTATTTTGTTGTTTTGGGAATCTTCTGTGGTCTCTGAACCAATTTGATGATTGGGTTATAATTCTGTACACTAAGTAGAATTCTATTTCAAAAAGGACTATCTGTGTCCATGGAAACCTAATTGGTAGATAGAACTCTCCACCAAAGAGTTACCAAGTTCAAATCTCCCTTCCTCAAATTAGCTGTCAATGTACCAATCATGCAACTCTATAAGATAGTCTGGATCCTTATAATTATAAAGAAGCTAAAATGAAAAAAAAAAGAGAGCTAAAACTCTCATAAATTGCTAGTTAAAGTTAGCAAGATCAAAAGTACTATTTAGCACTATATATATATAGCCAAACAAGGAAAAGATGAACACACTCCTGGCTCACTAAAAGTTCCCAGATCTGCTAAACTAAATGAACCAAAACCTCGAAAAACACTCAAGCCCATTCAAACTACTTCACAGCCCCAACCACTAAACATTTGATTATAAACTTACACCAGCCTCTCCTTGAATAGGTTCAAAGAGAAATCCTGCAATTCTGTCTCCATGTTCTGCACTCATAAAAGAAATAAGTAATTTGTCAGAATAAAAGATACACTCAAGTCTCATGTTCAGCAATTCTTTTTAAACAAAAGAGATACTCTCATTTGCATATTTCATAAAATCAAAGATGGGCAATTGGGAGGGGGTGAACCATGTAACATCTAGAAGAAATGAGGCCTCTTAAGCACCTAGTAAAAAATAAACTGAAATAAAAACCATTCAAACCTTTAAAGATCTTCTCAAGAGCAACATCATCACCAAAATCAACTTTAACGTGACCAGGCAACAGTGGCCCAAATCCTCGAGTCGCCTCATTGTCACAGCTCATAGAGATGACAGCCAATGTACGACCGTGGAAGCAGCCACAACAAGAGACGATAATAGCCTGCATATCCCCATTTTTTTTACTCAAACAGAAAAATGAGAAAAAAAAACTTAACTAGGTATTTTATATACATATATATATATATATATATATATATGTCTTCCTGATAAGAATACCTACCCTGAAAGAAGACTAACACTACACAACACTGGCTGCCATCCAAAATCATGAGTGCTTTGCTAGTGAATCAGATAGGAAAGGAAAACCTCAAGGTTTCTGTTTCCTAAACTACTACCTTTTTCCTAGTATATTACTAAAGCACTAATACATGATATCTATAAAAAACTACAGTCAATGGATGAAGCAAAATAATAGATACATGCAATCAGAAGCACCCCACAAAAACCCCTAAAACAAGGAAAAAAAATGTACTGTTCCAATTAATGGCCTTACATAATTAAGGGGATTTATTTACCACTTGAAGAAATGCCAGTTAACAAAGAGTGAAAACATTTACCTCATCTTTGGGAATTTTTTTCTTCTCATAACCCCATTTCCTTGCCAACTTCAGAGCAGTTTCCACTCCTTCAGCACCAGTGTTCATGGGAAGCACCATCTCATAGCCAAACATACTTGTCAGATGCTCTGTGAAAACTGGAAATCTATCATTGTAGAAGGCTCTGGAGCTGAGAGTGAGTCTTTCAGCCTGTTCTTGGAATGCTTTCATGATCTTTGGATGACAATGTCCCTACAGTGGGATTCCATGACAATTAAACTAAGGACAAAGTTAAATTCAAGGTGCCAAGAAAACTGCAAATCATGGATTTATTTTCTTCTAATCCATCTTTTGACTAAGTATGGCTTTTGGCAAGAGGAATTCCCTCCACCCTCTAACTCCAATAAATAACAAGAGGAAGAAGTGCAGACTAATAATACACAGTAAAGAGGCACTTAAAGGTGTAGGGATACTATAACATAATTTACACACTATTATACCTGATTAACTGCTGAGTAAGCTGACAGAAAATCGAGATATTTCTTGCCTTCTGGATCCCATATTGTTGAACCCTTTGCTTGAGAGAATACAACAGGAACTGGGTGGTAACTGTACTTGAACCAGAGAAGTGATTACCCTAAAGTCTATAATCAAAAACAGGCAATAGCTCACAGTATAACATGCAAAAAATCCACAAATACGCACTCAAAATCTTTTAAAAGTTAAAAAAAACTGTCAAAACAGAGTGCATAAAACTTTAGAATATGGTGTAGACCACCAAAAGGTTAAAATATTCAACATCCATCTTGGAAATTCAACATCTACTCTGAATAGATTACCAAAACGTAATTAAACTAAAATGAAAGGAAACTTCAGAAAACTGTAATCTCCCCATGACAAAACCTCATGATTTTCATTTCCCCACATTGAAACTCAAAATTCTTGAAGGTTCTCACTAAAAATTCATTAATGTAATCAACTGAGTCAACATACTCTGGCACGTGTAATTAATCATCTAAATAGATCAATGGATAACCAGAATAGACAAGTTCAAGAATTAAACCCCCAATGAACTTGGACAGCGTAACAGAACTACGAATACAAGCGCACTTTAGAAAATCGAGCACACAAACGATTGAACCAATCTATATTATAGAAAAATTCTTCTCAGATATTCAATTATTCTAGCAGGAAGGATCAACCAAGGCTAAAGCTTGAAGCTAAGAAAGCAAACCCGAAAACCCAAAACATGATATAAGTGATAGTAGATATGGTTCAGATCAACATAACCAAAACCCAGAAGCCAAAACAATTAAAATAAAGGGGGGGGGGGGGGCTGAATTGCAAGAAGCTGAGAAAGATTAAGCATAGACAGGGTCATTAAGCGTAAAATCAAATAAAAAAGAGAGAAAGGAGAGAGAAAAGAACTAACTTGTGGGCACTATATTCATATTCAAGGTCGATGAGGTGGTTAGAAGAGGAGGACGAAGAAGAGCTGCCTTCAGCCACAGAACCATAGCCCCTTCTACTTGATCTGCTCACTATGCTTAACAAAGACTGTAACGCTTTCCTCGTTGCCGCCATTTTCCGGTGACACCAAAACAAGAAAATATGTTTCAATTACTGTGATTCCTTTTAAGACTTGGAGGGCTGGCTTAGATGTTGTTGTTTGATGTTACGGTGCAAAGCTAACTGGGATTTTCTCTCTTTTTTTTCTAGGATTGTCGTTTTGCTGAAGTTTTTTAACGGCGGTTGTGGTATCCGTGATAAATACAACTCTCCCTTCCAAATCCCAATGTCTCTCGGTTATCTAATATCCCAGCTTTGTAGGAATCCGACAAAAGCATCCCATTCTTGTTTTGAAAAACTCAATTACACTGTCGAAGATTATGTAAGAAACAACTGAATGAAAAGCTATGAACTTTAAGTTTTCAAGAAAAGCTATAAAGCTCGTATTAAGAACTTGGGTTTTCTTCAAATTTATTGATCTTCCTTTATAATCATGCAGACAATAAGAAGAAATTGAAAAAGGCAAGACTTTTTCTTTTTGGGTAAAAGCTAAGAGAAAAGGATAATAAAAAAACAGCAAAGAAAACGAAAGATAAGTTTAAGAAAAGGGAAAAATGAAGTCTTGGAGTTGATTACAAGTAAGATCCCATCGAAAATACTCTATCTTATCGCCGCATGTGTCAAAGTTTTTTGTTGGTGCAAGTAAATTGGTGGCCGTAACGTAACAGTCAACCAATCACATGAAATAAGAGCCACTCTGAGCCCTCCCTAACGGGCCTGCATGATGGCTTGTTGGTATGCCCTCTGGGTTTGGATCCGGTTCTGAAGCCTCTAGCGTGGGTTCTCGTTCCCATTACTCATTTCGTTATGATTTATTTAGATGGATGAGATTAAAATTAAAAAACAATTACTGTAATTGCAATTGAAAAAAAATTTTAATGAAAAACTTATACTGAATAAATCTTATTGAAATTGATATTTGGATGCAATCGGTAATGGTTGAAACTTAACTGCACCTCCAATGAGGTGCAGCTATATCCAAACATAGGCTTATTGCAACTATTATCAATAAAGAATGATGGAAAAAACACAAACAATTTCCATCAAAACGATTTTCATCCCCATAAGATCAAAAAGAGCATTTCATCACAACTTTTCACATTCTAATAACTCTTTCATGTGCTCAATAACAAATAAGGATTCAAACCAAGAAAAAACAGCTTTTTAAGTTTGAATCTAATCATACAAATTCCAGCTGAAGCTCCAACTATCACCTCTAATAGTACCACTAAAATGTCTTGGCATGTTTATACATGTGTCAATTAGATACAGCAGACTGATACCAAAAACTATACCCTCATGCCTTAGGTCAAGGGTGGTGTGAACTGTGAAGGGTTGTTCATACCGTCCAGGGGCATCATTTCAGCAGAATGAATATACACTTGCTAAAACCAATGATCAACCTAAAGAAAGTCCTTGACAACAGAATAATATATAATTAACATTGATTTTCATTCTCTAAAGATAGGTGGCTAGAGAAGAATTAGTGATCAGTCCTAAACTAATATGCTGCAGGAGACAGGAGACCATATAATACACACTAAGAAGCCAAAGGTTGGTTTAAAAAAGAAGAACTAGAAGAAAAGAACTGAGTTCCCTATTATAGCACCCAACCATGAAGTAAAAGATCGATTGGCAGATAGTTAATCGACACAGAGCATGCTAAAATCACAGAATAAGTTGAGATATGGGCATATGGCACTGACAGCCAGAGTTTCAACATGACACAAACTGGCTAGCAGTCATTAGAAGCCCCAAAGTTTTCAAACTGCTGCTGGATGAGACTGAGAAATGGGAGTAGGTTGCTGGTGTTAAGCACTGAAATGCTAAAGAAATCCACTAAAAATATCCAAAGCTTAGAAAATTGGCGCATGACAATAAAAACAGCAATGCACCACATAGTTTTCTTGAAGAAGAATAAACAGCAGCTTTACTTTGTTATCAATGGCAGGGGGGTGGAAGGGTACTGGTCAGAGGAAGAAAAGAAAGATTGAAAACCACTGCAAAGAAAAGTGCAATGGAAAGAAGGGAAAATGTGTTGTCTGCGGAAAAAATTCAACAACCAAAAATATTCATATTAGAAGCCAGAAGAATAAACATGATGGTGACACAGCCCACCACTTGCATTTATATATGCATGTCATTCTAGGAAACAATATGATAGTCATGCATCACTAATGATGCTCATGAGCTACACAACCATTAATATAGGTATCTGATACCATAATATAAGGAATTTGCCAACAAAGTATAAAATGCAGTGATTCCTTATCCCTAAAGCTCAACTGATTTTTTATTTCAAAAACAAGGCCAATGAAATGTAACCAAGATATTCTTGGCATGGGAAAGGTGACTTTAGACAACATGCATTTCCTGTTTGCTAGGAAAAGTTCCACGAAGGGCATCTCTATTCAAGATCAGAAAACCTCTTCATAAGCCACGTCCAAGAGCCAAAAGTAATATAATGATATTTCAGTTCAAGATCCAAGGAAGCAAAAGAGTGTAGAGTGAATAAGATAAATGCAATCATCCTCAAGCAGAAAACAATTCCAGATACAGGAGTTATACTGAATTCTATCAGACATGCTGTGAATTTTTCGGCAATAAATGATAATCGAGGTATCAAGAGATGCTCAGAAATAAAATATTTGTATGGTATAGAACACAGTGTTCAGTTTTTGCATCGATCAGTTCATGATACCAGGAACATGGCACAAGATTCAGAATAAAAAGTAAGGGAAGGAGAATGTGCTTCACAGAATTGTCAGTAGGATGATAGTCTATTGAGCAACAGAACAATAGAAGGAAAGGTAGACATATAATAAATAAACATACTATGAATTTATCACTTACGGTCATTGAAATATTTCTAGGAGTGAACATTAAAATCAGAGTAAAACAATATTGGAAATAAGGACGCCGTACTAAGATAAGACCTGGAATAACAGTTCTCACAGAAAGAAAGATCCTAAAAAGTTCTAAGATATCACAGATGGAGAATAACTTAAGCAACAAGGACGGAACCTAGCTCCCATGAATGCTAAACCAGCAGCACGTCTTCCAGAATAATCTTGAAAGGCATTCTTATGGAAGAAACACAAAGAGTTGGGTTGAAAAAGACTAGAATAACAAGCCATCTACAAAAACCAAACTTAAGGGGATGACCGAGAGGAAATATTTGAGAGAGAAAATTCCAAGATTTTAACTATTCACCTTCAACTATCAAGAATATCTTTAAGATTCAAGTGGCCATTATAAATGCCTGAATCAAGTTTTCAGCTTCACGCTTCTGCTGCGGAGTGCCAGTTATAAGAGCCACACGTTCCCCTCGTGAGGATTTGGATTCAGAAATTTCAATCATTGCCCCTGATATCTGAAAGAGAGGAAGGCAGTGTAAGAGTGCCATTCAATCAAGTAGATTCCAAAATTATTGTGGGGGAAAAAACATGACAATGTCTGGTGTCATGTCCAAAGTTAGGACTAACAGACCATTGATACCATATTAATTTTCACAAGGACAGTTTATCAAAAAGCATCTGCCTAGAAGAACAACATCATAAGCATACATAAGCTATGAAGCATAAACTGATTTCATAAAGACAGATCACTTTTCCTCCTTTAATAATATAAAAATAATAGCAGTAAATGACACAAAATATTCTCCCAACTAACTGCGTAAGGCATCATAGTTAAAAAAAACTGCCAAACAATGTTGAAGTTATTCAAATCCTTATCTTCATTCATCTCAATGTTAGGATTACTCTTTAGATTAATCATCAATAAGATAATATAAGGTTGGGGGTCAGGACTGAAAAATGATAAACCAACCTTCCTTATGTTGGCTAAATTGAGCCCTCCTTTGCCCATCACTTTACCAACTGCATTAGGAGGGATCAATATTTCAAGACTTGAAGATGGAGGCAACCTGTATGAAATCAATAAATGGAAGAACCAGATTCAAATTGAAGGTATAAATGTCAGAAGAAAGACCTTAAGCACAATATCTGAAAAGCATGATATACATACCCTCCATAGAGCTTCGATGAATATGAGGACATGGACCCATAGTCATTTTCCCCCATCTATTAGAGAGGATGAAAACACAAAATGCCAATGAAAGAAAATTAAAACCAAGATGAGTACATACAAATTCTATATGGCAATTTAAATAAAAACAAAAAAAACAAAAACAAGAAAATTGCAGTGAAACATGGGGGAGGTTATGTGTCAGAAACAGGTAGCCAATAACTAAAAACTACAAATAACAAAAAAAAAAAGGGCCCTGAAATCACATCCTAGCTCAGAGCTACCGCAAATTCAATAAATGAAAGAGAAGCTGAGAGCAAGCATGCAAGTGAGACAGAGAAACAGATTTTCATTGATAAAATAAAAATTCTAATTCATCACTAGCTATTAAATAAAACTAAACAAACCCCACCCCCACCCAACCCAATGAAAAGAAAAGTCTTAACAACATAAAAAAATTAAGGCATGCTCAAGTGCTTATATCGAGAGGCAAATCAATCAACAATCATTTAAAACTTCAGCAGATCAAATTCAAAGTCCATACTTATATACTAGCATATATATTGTTTCAGGAGAAAAAAAGACAATGGTGATAAAAAATAAATTAAAGCAGCTTACTACAGGCATGCCTGAAATATAATGCAAGAAGAATTGAGGTCTATCCAAGTTATCCTTAGAAAGTGTATCAACTGTTTATTAAACCTTAGATGAGTACCAAAAGATAAATATGTGGGATCTTCAAAGCAACATGATTATAAAGATGATGCATACAGTTGACACCAATGTTGAGCAGGACATGAATAAGGGGGGGGGGGGGGAATAGTTATGATGGTAGCAGTAACAACAATTCCACAATTACATACCGGCAGGGTTCCATATCCATAGAGGCTGCTTGAAGAAAGCACACCAAGGCCACTTCCACTTTCAGCCCTTTGATCAAAAGCCAAAGAAGCAACTGGAGGAACAGAAGACAAGAGGGATGGCACTGAAAGACTTACACCACCTGAGTAGAGAGAATCCTCTCCTACAGAAGGGTTATGACCACTGTCCTTTTCTTTCAAAACATCATCTCGGAGCCTTAGAACAATCTGTATAAGTGCATCTCTTACACTACTAACTTCTCCAGCAAGCTAAAAGATGTAGAGTTAGCATAAAAAACTGTTCAAAAAGAAGGAAAATGAAAACATCAAATCTTCAGAGAGAGAGAGAAAGAGAGAACTAACCTCAACGAGCTCATTATTGGCATCAGCACACTTAGGCTTCTCCCCTTTTGAAATACAGACTTCAGCTTTAGTTCTCTTCCGAATTTCATTTATAATAGAACCACCTTTTCCAATAACACAACCAATAACTTTAGATGGAACAAGGAGCCTCATAGTTACAGTATCATCATCTTCATTATTAATCTTCCCTTGCAGCAAAAGAACAGCTTCAACAGCCATGGATTTTAAATCATCAGGTGACTGTCAAGTCAAACCACATTAACACATGAGAAAACCAAAATTATCAAGCAATATGATGAATTGAAGATAAATTTATACTGGAACCCAGACCAGAGAAATTGATCTAGAGGCATACCTCTGTAGCTATGACAGTGATAATACACTCATCACAATCAGCCTTTGTATCATCAACCTCAATAAGAGCTCCACTAGCCTGCCTTATACTTTTGATAGTACCCCCTCCCCTGCCAATGACACGCCCAATCTTGTCATATGGGCATAGTACTCTGATTATTAACTCTGCAGGTCGAGAGGCACCAGCAAAACCAGAAAACACAGGAAGAGCAGATGAATACACAGGCCAGGTACTCCCTGTATTGCCATATCCCTGAAGATCTGGCATATGTTCAGCACCCAATATAGGTGGAACTGATCTAGAAGGGACAATAAGATCTGGATTTGGATATAAGCCCCCTGGTGGATAACTAGGGACATCTGATGGGGTAATGATGCTTGGAGCTGGAGGAGCTTCTGCCACCGTTGTCTCAAGGGGGATTTCTTCTCTGGGACTGAACTTGTACATGATTGCAGAAACAGCAAAAAGTGCTTTCTTAACAGCCTCCGCTTCACCAGCTATCTATTCACAGGAGAAAGGAAACATCTAAAACTGATCAATTTAGCAAAGAAGATAAATAACAACAAACTGACATTAAACCACCATGAAGAGAATATCCTATATGAATATGAAGGCAATGCTTATACTGCAGATCAGAGTTATCTCAATCAGACTTGAAGATGAATCTAGTAGTAGTATTGGCTCACACACAGCTTGCACATCAGCCTAAATAAGCTAATGAACTTAAACAATGATTAAGGCTTCAACTGCCACCGTAACAAGGTGAGAAATGATGGTTAAGGTGCATATAATGTCAACAGTTGAGGTAGATTTAATTCCTGGTAACAAGCGCAACCTGTCTATGACATTATCTACATTTCATTTTCAAAGTATAGGCATCATGGGATACATTGAGGACATCAAATTTGAGTAACACAAAAGTAAAAATCCCCACAATCAATTGTTGCTGAATATAATACAATCCGATGTTTGCACTAGAAGGCATAAGGCATTCAAACACATCATCAAGCATGCCAAAAATTTAAAAAAAAAAAAAAAAAACTATATGCAAACAACATAAACCTGAATGAAGTTGTCAAAATCCATGGCACATGAATGGCTTGGATCACCAGCATCCTTAGCAGTAACTTTAATGTTGGTCCTTGTCTTGCCCCTCAGTTTCTTAATAGTTGCACCAGCTTTCCCAATGATGTTTGCAGATTGGCTAGATGGTACAAGAATTTGACATTCCTCCCCATACTTATCTGACCGTTTATTATCAGAATCCCCCATGACAGACACAGCTTTGGCAATTGCAGCATGAACTCTAAGAAGAGCATCCTGAGCAGCACATATCGGTTCTTTGTCATTGAATTCATCGTCTACCTCAACATCTTCCTTCTCCTTAACATAACAATATATTGTAATAACCCTATCCTTAGCACCAGGATAAGGATCAACCACCTTAACCTTTGCCCTTGTCTCCTGCCTAATCGAATTTATGACTTTACCACCTTTACCAATGACACTTCCAATCACGCCATCAGGGCAAAGTATTCTATAAACAACCAGTTCATTATTGCTTTGTTCATCTCCATAATTCAATCTTCTCTTCTGATTCCTACTATCCCAACCATTATCTCTTTGGCCTCGAGAGAGCTTAGCACTCTCACCCATTGTTTTGGAATTAAATTCAACAGCTGAAACCATAAACTAAATTTAAGTCCAAAGGCTACCAAATTAAGTTTGAACATAATGCAAGCATATATCGTTAACATATTTTAAGCTTTCTTTACATATCAAAACTATCTGCTTGAGTTCTCCCATTGCTTTTGACTTTCTATCGAATTCTCAACTACTTTACAAATTTTAAAAAGAAAAAAGAAAACATTAAAAACCCATAAAAATTCCAAAACTCAAAGAAACATCATTTTAATAAGACACAAAGATACCCAAAACCGAGAAAGGATCGGTTTTATCAACCAATATGACAACTACAAACATATAAAAAAAAAAAAGAAAAAAACCAAAGTGAAAAAAGAAAACTATTTTTAGATTGATTAAAACTTTGTTTCCATATCAATATTTTCCATTGAAAGACGGAAAAAAAGTGTAAAACCCTAAAAAAAGGAAAAGCAAAGGAGAGAAGCGGAAAATAGAGATTTGAAGGAAAACCCAGTTTGAGGAATGAAGTGAGAAAGCGTACCAGACAAAGATTCAGATAATGAGACAATAAAAACCCTTTGACGCAGAACAAAAGAAAGGGAATAGACAGGAACAGGGAAAGATGAAGCTGTGCCCCTTAGTCGAAGTTTCCTTGGATTCTCAGTTAACAAGAATTTCCTAGTAAATTTCCTTTTTTGCTATGTAGAAATTTTTTTTCACCACCGAGCAGCGGTTTTCAGATATATATTTTTTAATTTTCTCATTTATAAAAAGAAATTATAAAAACAGCCTTGGATCAGTTAATTGAAATCTCATATCCATAAAGCTATATGCTTGAGTTTAATTGATTTTTCATGAAATATTATAGCTTTTCTAAAGATTTAAAATTAAAAATGCAAAATTTTAAAATAAAAAAGACATAAATTTGGTTAAAAGATTAAAGGAAATAATTTTCATAATGCTAAATGTTCAATATATGATGACTTTCTCCTCTTAGCCCAAGTGGAAAGTCATGTAGGCGAGGATTCAATCTCCGCCGTGTCTCTTCTCCATTGTACGGACATTAACCCCTTTGAAATAAAAAAAAATTATGATTAAACATTTTAAATGATTGTTTAATTTAAAATTAAATATTTGCGAATAAATATTGACGTTATTAAATTATAATAAAACAAGATTTATTTATAAAATTAAAAATATATATTATAAACTTCGTCAACTCAAGTAAAATATTGAATTATTTAACGTACATATTATTTTATTGATGTGTCAAGTTAATAATGTATTTTTTTGCTAATGTGATATTATTGTTGTCCACATATTCAAGATAATAAAATATTAATTTAAATTATAATTTTAAAATTTTAATTTAATTAATTAACTTTATAAAAAAGTTTATTTCTCAATCTTTTTCTCATATTGACTTTTTCAATAAACTTTTATATCGGTCAATAATTTTGCTTCCTTGCTTATTTCTCGTAAAAAAATCATAATTATTTTTTTTATTTTAAAATTTTAAATCAACAAAAACTCAACAATTCAAATATTATAAATCTCATTCACAATAATTAGATTTGTAAAACTATAAGGGTTCAACTCTGAAATAAAATTACAAAGTTTTGAATCAATAAATATTCTTTTATCTTTCATCCATAGCAAAGTTATGATTATTTTGATTCAGCGTAAATTTTTTTTTAAAATCAAAACTCTAAAATAAAAAAAAATTATCTATTTAGAAATCAAAGTTTCGGATACGTTTAGTTACAGGAATAAAATGTTAATTTTGCTTGAATTCTCTTTTGAACGTTTGTGAAAAAGAAAATGAGATTGTATTCTTGAGATGTTGGTTCCAATTACTCTATAATCTTTTGCTTGTGGGTTTTGCTTTTAAGTTAAATTTTTTGGGATAATTTTGGCATTAGATTTTTTTAAAACTAATTATGGGTTTTGATTATTACTTGAAATTATATTTTGATTTTGATTGTTGATTAAAATTATATTTGGGTTTTAATTGTTCATTGAATTATATCATTTTAGTATTTTTTTAATGAAAAATTCAAAATTCAAGTAAAAAATATTAAAATATTTTTAAAACTAAAAGAAATTTCACGTTATTTTTATTTGTTAAACTTATTGGCGCTTATGTTTCACAACCATATTTTCATATAAAAAAATTATTTATTATTATAAATTGATAACGTTTAATTTTTATTTATATAAAATAAAATAACTAAATAAACGTTTACTCTTAAGCATTTAATCTCAAATATTAATAATTATTATATATTTTTGGGCCGAATTAATCCATTCCAACTGGCCCAAAAGTTAAATCCAAAAACCCAAAATCTCCATCGGTTACTTCTGTCCCCATTGTCGTGTCTTTCTCTCTCTTTGTATGGAGAAACCCCCAATCGAATCATGCAAGGTGAAAGATTCAATTTTTGTACTCTTAATCTTCTCCATCTCTCTTAGGTAAGTTACTGTAGCTTTTTCCTTTTTTTTTTTTTTCATTTATGTACTTTCTATTTTTAATTTAGCAAGTTATGCTTGTTTTGTATCTGTTGCTTCACCTAATTAAAAATTTCGTCATTTTCTGTTTCTGGGTTTAGCTTTGATTGAGTGGTAAATTATTGTGCTTTTTCACTTGCTTGGTTTTCTTCGTATGCTTTGTTCGCTCGTTTCTTTTATTGGTTTCAATGTAATTGGTTTGGTTATTATTATTGGGGTTTTGGGTACTGTTCTTTTTGTGATTGTGGAGTTGGACTATTGTTAATTACTAAGTCATTGAAAAGCATCTTTTTATGGATGTTTTCATTGATTTTATGAAGTGGGTTTTTTTACATTTTCAGAAGTTTCATTGTATTCCTATCCATTTCAAAGTTGATTGATTCTATGAAGTGGTTTTTTTTTTTTAATATTTTCATAATTTTCATTGTATTCCTATCAATTTCAAGGTTTGTAGCAAAGCTTTCTCAACTTCCTGCATTGGCAAATGTAGTATTTAGATGAAAACTAAAGTGTCTTTCCAGAATTTCCTTTTCCTCTGCTACTTGAATAGTCTTTATTCTTTCCTAAAAAATTATGAAGTATAAGGTTTAATTTTGTTCTCTCCCCTAGAGTTTTTACTAGTTTCATGATCATTGTACCATCTAAACTATTTCACCAATTTACGCTTATGGGTATCAACCTCTCTTTGTGCTTTTGTCATTGTCATAGTCATTAATTCTTTCAAAGAATAGAACGATTTTCTTTTATAAATATTTGCTGTTTATAGAGTTGTTCTTCTAATAGTTTATAGGGGCCTAATTGGTGCATGGTTGATTTTTGTTGTGCTCAAAAGTTATGGAAGATAAATAGGTTTATCTGATGAAAGGGTGCTTCTAGTCATTAGCTTGTTAATGCATTTGTGATTTGACTGTCTTGCCAAACAAGATAATAGCGTATATTCATTTTCTATTATTTGCACCTTATAGTTATTGATTCAAGGGCACTGGAATGGAACAAGAAGCAGGAGAATCCTCAATTCAATTGGGGAGCTCAGAAGGTTCTAACTCAAGCAGCTCAGATCCTGTAACACGGGTAAGGAAGCTGCTGTTTCACCGTATGCTGGTGGGAATCAAAGACGGCAGGTTTTTCTTGGGCACTTTCCACTGCATTGACAAGCAAGGAAATATCATTCTCCAAGATTCAATTGAGTATCGTAGCACCCGACGTTCCTCTCCATCCCCAATGGAGCAACGATGCCTTGGTCTAATTCTCATCCCTTCCTCTTGTCGAATCTCTTGTCATGTGGATTGCTCCGTCCAGGAACAATTGTCACTGCTGAAGGTTTAAGAATTGAGACTCTGTTTCCATAAAATCTCTGTTTGAAAGAAATTCAACAACAGTTTTTCCTGATTTGTAATCATCCTATAGTTTTTTTTTCCTGGAGTAAATGTAATTGCCTTGCTTTGAGTAATGGAAGGGATTATGATTGCTGCACTATAGTGCTTTCATGGTTACTGCTTGAGTATTAATATTAATTATCATTACTATTTCTTTCTCAGCATTTCGTGTGCACGCATAACCTTTAAATTTGGAATTTGGGTTATGGCTAAACTCAGATAAAACTGATTATGCAAATTCTCTTTTCCGACGCGAAAGCCAAAATATGAGGCTCATCTCATATGTTGACAATGAAGAAGGAACTATTGCTCATGTCATAAAAATTTCTTATGATAAGCTTTTAAACTCGTAAAGCCCACATTTGAACTTCAGCGATTGGGGCAAAACCCACTCCGAAAAATCCCCCACTCTGGGCTGAACACAGAATACTGTTGCCGAAAACTAGAACCTTTCCCAGTTTCCACACAGTGCACACCATTTCTTTTCCGGAGGAAAAGCTTCAATAAATGCAGGAATCCAGCATTGAATCTAATAGTAGCATAAGAGGGTTGAAGGCAATGCTTCTGCTGAAATCTGAATATATAATTAAAACCCAAACAAAGATTTAAGTCGGAGAGCCTGGGGTTTTTTTTGGTGTGAGTGTGTATATTTCTATCATCATATACACGAAAAAGAAAAAACTTAAACAAAATCTGAAAGTGGAAATAGGGATGTATCTTTAAAGTACATTGAGAAAATACTTCCAAAATTTGGAGTATATACTTGACTTCTTCTTTTACCTTGAACATTTTCTCTGATCCAAAACTTTTATCCTCCATTAATTCTAAAGATTTTTTGTTTCTTAGATGTTCCATAATCCATCCATTCTATATCAAGAAAAGAAAAACATGTAGGGTGGCGTGCAGCCAATCCTAAAGAGTAAAGACATAGAGGTTAGAGCGACCAGAGCCAGAGCCACAGTGAGAGAGAGACAGAGAGTCGTTGAGAGAGGCAACTGTAGCTCTGCAAAAGCAATGCTTGTTGTGTCGACTTCAGGGATAATACTGAGGAAGAGCCATGTCAAATCATGCTTAAACCTAAAACCCTGTTTTTTTTTTTTTTTTTTTGCTTTTCCTTGATTATCTATATTGACCCATCTTGACAATTTGTTCCTCTTATGGTAACTCTGTCTCTCTTCTCTCATATGCCCCGTTTTTAGATGCAAAAAAAAAAAAAAAATCAACACTATCCTTATCTCACTCTCCCATTCCTGGAATGCAAATGCCAGACAGAGACAACTTAGGGTTTCCCAACAGCAGGCTTTCACTCACTGACACAAAGGGTGAAGAAATAAACTGGTAGATATTCCTTTACTTTTCTTCTTTTTCCTATCAATATTTGCTCAACAACTGATTATAGGAAGAGAAAGCAGACTGCGATCTCTTGGTTCTAAATCTACATTTGGTATTTCTGAATGCTTATATTAGTGGGTTTTGGTTCTGTTTGTTTCTTGCTCCTCTCATGGCATCTCTTTCTCTTTTCCTTGTTGGGTTCCTTGTTTTATCTTGTGAGGCGATTGCAGTGCATAGAAACTTGGATGAGAGTAGTGAAATTGTGATGGAAGAAGGGGAGCTTTTGGGGCTTTTTGATGTTATAGGATCACTTCTAGATGAACCTGGTTGGGCTGAAGTGCATCCAGAGCCATGCACCGACACTCCATGGCCTGGTATTGAATGTGAAATTGGTCAAGACCCTCCAATCTTTCATGTTACGACTATTCACATTGGCCCTGACGTTGCTACCCCACCTTGCCAACCTTCTGCTAAAATATCAGATTCCTTGCTCAAACTACCTTACCTGCGAACTCTCTCGATTTTCAACTGCTTTGTAACTTCACCAGTTACACTTTCTGCTTCTTTATTTGGAGCATTGTCTTCCTTGGAGCATCTATCACTACAGTCAAATCCATCTCTCTCTGGAGAGATTCCTTCAAGCTTGGGGAATATTTCTAGGCTAAGGGTCCTGAGCTTGTCACAGAACAATCTACAAGGAAATATCCCTGGTGAGCTTGGTGGATTAGTCAACTTGGAGCAACTTGACCTGAGTTACAACAATCTAAGTGGTGAAATTCCTGAAGATATTGGAGGACTGAAAAGTTTAACCATTTTGGACTTGAGCTGGAATGGCCTTGAAGGGCGGGTACCATTTGCTTTGGGTCAGCTTCAACTTCTTCAAAAAGTTGATTTGTGCTCAAACAGGATTCATGGGAGGATAACTCCAGATTTGGGAAAGCTAAACAGGTTGGTTTTGATTGACTTGAGCCATAACTTCATCAATGGGCCAATCCCTGAGACTCTCTCAGGTTTGGAGCAGCTGCGGTATTTAATATTTGATTACAATCCCATAAATTCGCTGATTCCTTTATTTGTGGGGTCCCTCAAGAGGCTTACATCAATCAGCTTCTCAGGATGTGGGTTAATAGGCCCAATACCCAACTCCTTATCTTCATTAAAGAATCTCACTGCTCTTTCTCTCGACAACAACAGTCTCACAGGGACAATTCCTTCAATTTTAGGGTCACTTCCAGATCTAGACCACCTTAACTTGAGTCACAACAAGCTAAGTGGGGAACTACTACTCTCAGAAGAGTTCATCAAGAGACTTGGGAAAAGGCTGGATGTTAGAGGAAATATTGGGCTATGCACAAGCTACCAGCTATCCAGGAAGAACATCTCTAGGTATCTACAAACCCCAGCTTGCTTGGGAACGGAAGGAATAGTTAATAACGTAACTTGTCCTGAAGAACACCCGGACGATTTCAAAGGAAGGAAGCCATATTGGAACCATGGCCAGATCAGTTCACATGCTCCTTCCCAAGATCCACAGTTCATTTCAACATGTTTTGTTCTTTTTCACATGCTTTGCTTTTTGTAAACATTTCTACTAATATCCTGTCAACATTTATTTTGTCTAATGAAAATTAAACTAAGCCAAAGTTGAATATGAAAATGAAAAAACTATTATATATAACTATATATGATGTTTGCTATGGGCATTGATGGGTCATTTTCTAGCTGGAAAGATGCAGAGCCTACGGCTACCATGTTGGTGAAAATATGCAGAGGGGCATTGACATAGTAGTTGAGGTGAGTTTACATGATAAGGGGCCAAAAAGTTTTGCATCTGGCTCTATCTATCTTGGTATCCAGTGACAAAGCTCCATCTCTGCTTGCTGGGGTTCATTTCCAGCAGCCTTTTAGAAAGAGAAGCAAATGTGTGTCGTATCTGCTGTTGAATTGAACTGCATTTTAGCCTTTTGACAGTGAAAAAAGATATGGATCTCTGTACTTGATCTTTAAGAGAATGAGAGATGGAGGGTAATGTCTATGGTTTATTTAAACATCCCTGGCAAAGGCTAAATTGGTAACATTGTTTGATCTTATCTTCTTCTGGATATAAATAGAAGAAAAATCACTTTTTTCTCTGTGAACTTTCTAACACTAATCACTCCTGGAATCTTGATGTTTTGGCTGTTAATCTCCGACATTAACTCATTCAATCAATCCAGGAATCTTGATTCATCATAAAAAGAAGTTAATGTTTGCTCATGTCATTGTGGTAGCGGTCAAAATTTTGGACCACAAAAAAGAGTTTTAGAATTTGAGAAAAGCTTGATGATAAAGAGAGAGCTCCACCAATAAGAACATCAATGCGTGGCTTTGAACACTCACGAATCCGACTATTCATGATTAATATTGCATCACTATGCATACAGGACAGAGATGATATGAAAATCAAACATTTACAACGTTTTTCTCTACCTAATAATCTCTATTTTTTGACTTCATCAATAAGTTATATCTTGTACATTTCATGTGCAGTAACGTTTTCTTGACTCCCTTAATTATCTTCTAGATTTTATGTGTAGTAAGATTATTTAGTCTTGGGACAACGGTAATTATTTCTAAAGTAACTTGTTTAGCATGAAAACACAAGAAAAACATGTGCAGAATTGAACATATGCAACACAAATGCATACATGAAAGCTTAACTGTTTAGTTTCAATAATTAAGATTTAAATTCTGACAGTTTCAAGTAACAAAAAAAAAAAAAAAAACTTTAATTGTTAGAGCATTTGATTTTCATATATCAACTAAACATAAAAAAAGAATATACTTATTATTATAATTAGGCGCGTTATAAAAGAAGAACATACCGATAATCATAAAAAAAGAATAAATTAATAATCATAATTAAACGCGTTAAATCGAATGGATTTGTATAAAAATATCTTCTTGTTTCTTCAATTAGAAATAAGACAACATAGACCGGCCTAAAAATATGTCACAATCAATTATAAATCTGTAAATCTAGAGTGTCACATTCGCCATTTGGTTTGCTTTTCTTTTTTGTTTTCCCACGGGTTGGCATAAAAATTTTGGACCTTCTGAATGATGTGATTCAAGCCCCTTTCTTCACATTATCTCCAAGTTCTCAACATCACATCTTCCGAGCAGTTTCCTATGGCATTTTCCATGACCAAGACAAAGAAGGTGAAGTCCAGATCACGCACGGCTGGTGAGAAAACATTTTTTTGGAACATAGTTTCCTTGTAATTTACCATCTACACGTTTTTATTTTTTGCATTATTTTCCAACCCAATCTGATATACAAATTCATGTTTGGGTATGAACTTTAATCGAGCACTCATATTTTAATGAAATTGGAACTTTTGCAACCAATTAGGGTTAAAATAGGAAGGACAGATTCTAAATATTCAAAGTTCAAGCATTATTAGTCAATAATATAAGGATTTTGTAACTTGAATTTGATTTGTTTCCATTATTCTAGATTTCTAGTCATAATAAGACTAAGCTTATAATTCTTGTTTTTGACTGTATTAAATTTTAGACCAACCCAATTCTAATGTTTTGAGTCCAAGAAACAACTTCACTTTTTTCCAAGTTGAAATTAGCATAATGTTTTGAATATATCATCATATAATTTATAGAATTTATATAGTTTATTATTTATATGATATATATATATATAAATAGTAGAAAATTAAGTTATAGAATTTCTTAGAAAAATAATACGGTTTAACCAAAAAAAACTACCAAATTGTCAAAATCAAAAGGTTCAACATTAATTCTAGTTGAAGCAAGATGAAAGATCTGTCCATAATATATCAAAAAAACAATACAACAATCAAATAATTAAACTAGAATGGGCACCAAAAAATCAATTAACAAATGTAAAATTGATGGTTCTTCGAGCTACTAGCATATTTCATACATAAATTTACAAAAAAAAAAAAAAAGAAAGAAAAAAAGAAAAAAGCTTCCCATGTCCATATGTATATAGCCATGGGCAACCTCCTTAATTTCCTGGAATGATAGATGGTAGTAATTGGTAGCCAAAAAGATAGATCAGTTCCTTCCATTAATCCACTAATGCTGGTAAGGAGAGGCAGCTTGGATTCTATTCTTGCGTTTTTGGAGGAACCTTTGAAGAGATTTCTTCATGGAAAGTCCAGCACTTGGGCTATATAGCTGAGGTGATAGCGTTGGTGAAGCCGGTGCTGATCCTGTTGGAGTTTTTATTCTTTCATCCATGTTTTCTCGGTTTGCTAGCATTAGAATGGCTCTTGCCTAAGGTTCCATGTACACAATTTCATTAACCAAACAAACAAACCCATGATATTTGTATATCATCAATCTAAAAAATTTTAAACATTTTGAAAAATAAGACTTTAATGAACGTAAATGAATTGCCAACAATCCTATGATTTATTTGATAAAATATTAAAATTTTAATTTCAGTAATTAGAATAATATAGAATATCATATATATCTCCTTTCATGGTAAAAATTTGTTTTCTTAATAATTAAGGTTATAAGAATTGAATTTTGATTACTAGAACTAAAAATTCAAAATTTTATGGATAAACCATGCGATTGTTTGACAATAGTTTTGGTTATTGATAAGTTGTCAAAAATATCTTATTAACCACGAAAGTAGAAAAAATTGCATATCAAACTCAAACTGCATGAAATTGTGGTGCTTAAAATTGGAGGACAAATCTTGCTTGTGCTTTATATTTGAATTTTGCATTGAACTCCCGTAACTTCGGTGAAGCAAGCATGCTGATTTTGTATACTTGTTAACATTTCCAAAATTACAACACCAAAAAATTAAGCAACCATTTCATTTATGCCAAGACCAACAGAAAACTCAGCCAAATTTACGTAAATAGAAAAAATAATTTATTTATTTCATGCGACCATCTTTAAAAAATTAATATTCAAGAAAATTGAATATAAATTCAAACACCTGCAATTTTTACGTATACCCGGATCATGATCTCTTATATATATATATATATATATATATATATATATATATATTTCTTCAGTCAATTATATTAATGCATGAATAATTTTCTAAAGTTTCAACTAACAAAAGAAAAGAGGGGAAAAAAACCAAAAGAAAAGAAAGGGAATTGAAACCAAATTGTTACATACCTGGAGCTCTGTAACATCACAAACACAAACTCTTCCATTGTAGAAAATTGTCAGCTGTTGCTGTTGGTTTTGTGGGCTTTCATTGCTCTCTTCCACCCTTCATTCGCACAAAACAAACAATCAAAATCAAACACTCTGTAATATAGAAACAAGACAATAAAAACAAAAACAAAAAGTTTTGAAAAGAAGAGAAGTGCTTACATGTCGTGACGGTCGCCGGGAAAAGAACCAGAAGGAAGGAGGCGAAGTTCCAAGTTGCAGTTTCGTCTCATGTTATACCCTTGTTTGAATCTAATTGGATGAGAAAATAAGGGTGGTTTTGGAGGAGAAGAAGAAGAAGAAGAAGAAGAAGAAAGTGGGGTTTCAAAGAGAAGAAGACATTGATAATTTGGAGGGGAAAAGTTGAAGAAAGGGTTATCTTATATATAGAAGTGTGTGTGAATGTGTTATGGTGGGCATCAACGTTTTTGAAAGCTATGTTAAACACGTAACGCACAAAAACGAGACACACACAAATTAAAAAAATAATAATAATAACAAAAAAAAAAGCAATCCAAGCCTTTTTTTTTTTTTTTTTAAATTTAAGCACGTGGAACATGCATTTTTACCTCCAAAATTCATGATTTTCCACAGCTGTCTGCTTCCATATCCGTTGTACAAAATCAATGTGCTTTGAAGTCGGCATAACTTTTTTTTTAATATATAAAAATCAATAACTTCTCTCTTTTTCTTTTTCTTTTCATTTTTTTTATTATTCTAATTAGTGACTAATTTTAGTGAAAGGGATTTATGGTTTGAATGAAGGGATTGTTTTCGTTTGGTATTTTGATTGTGGTAGTCTTTTCAAATTAGTTGCTTATAACATAATCAAAGTTAATTGATAGGTTAATCTTTTCTTTGGTAGTTAGTTTTTATTAGATAGACAGATGGAATAAAAAAAGTTATATATATGGATATATATATATATATATATATATATTTCTTATTATCAAAAACTTCTTTACAAATGAATTTTTTTAATAAAAGAAGTCATAATTTAAAAATAAAAAAATTATTGATGTTGATTTATAAATTTTAAATTTATTAAATGTTATTTTAAAATGTTGTGAACCAACTTGATGAAATTGAAATATTTATAATGTATCATCTTATATAAATAATTATAATTTATGGTAAGATACATAAAATTTATTGGAAAATATGTGCTAGGTTATTGTGTCAATAAGATTGATAATAATTTTAATTAATTACTATTGATATATATATTATGATTAAGCATAGGGTAGAGTCCAATTCAAAATTAATTTCCATGTAATACTTGGAGAGACCCAACAAAAATGTTAGATAATAAAAAAAAATAAAATTTAATAGATGTGAGATTAAATTTCTTAATATATAGTCAAACTGATCAAATATATATTTTTTATAATAACTATTTTTTCCTTAAAAGCAAATAAAAACTTTAATATACCATATATGGAATGACATCATTCACAACTTTTTCTCTTTTAGACATAGAATGTGAAATTCAATTGTCCAAAAAGGAATATGTGTGTGTGTGTGTGTGTGTGTGTGTGTGTGTGTGTGTGTGTGTGTGTGTGTGTGTGTGTGTGTGTGTGTGTGTGTGTGTGTGTGTGTGTGTGTGTGTGTAGGCAATATCAATTTACATCAATATAAAATTTTTTAGTTTTATATTTTTTTTAATCATTAATTTTAATAGATCCAATGATCGAAAGAGACAAGTCAAAAAAATGATTTAATTTTATATGTTAAATATATTAAAATTAATAATTAAAAATTAAAAATTTAAAAAATTTACATTGATGTAAGTTGATCATTCTTCACATATATATATTTATTTAAATATATGATGTGGTTTGCATTTTTTTTTTTTTGGTCTAATTTACTATCTTCACTTTCATTCCAGACGAATGTTGAAATTCAAAGGATTTGGTTCAAATGATAAAGTTGAAGTGAGATTTGAGTATACATTTTAGATTTAAACCATACTAATCTTTATGAACAAAAAAATAGAAGAAAATTTATTTTAATTTTTTAAATATCATTAAAGTGCATAAAGGAATATGACATTATGACAAATTATTCAATTTCCAAAATTTTTCCCAATAAAAGTTTATACATAATATTTATTTTTTTTAATGTAGAATATCTTATAACATTAATTGAAGTTTGGTTACTGAGGCCTCAATAATTGGCAGAATCTCACCTTTCTCAATTTAATTATATTTTTTTAAATGCATATAAATTACCTATAACATCCAAAACTATGAATTAGGTTAGCCCCACTTACCCTTTATCCATTTGTTGTAACTTTGACACAAAGAATATCATGATTTTGGACTATAACTTTAACCAAACAATCAATGTTAAAATTTTTTATTCATAGGAAACTTTAACTTTAAGAAGAAGGAAGACATTTCGTGCGTTAAAATTTAAACTTCAAACCTGTAACACCCGACATAATTAATTGAGCCAACGCCCAAAATCAATAAATTTGTCAATATAAAATCAAGTATGCTATTCGATTGTTATTGACTATGAGCTAATAATTAAGTATTTAACGAGTGTTTTAAGAGCATTTTTTAAAGTTATTATATTAAATAATTTATTATTCAATAGATTAAAAAGTCATAACATTAATTGTCAATTACCATATTTAATATAATTTATTTTAAATAATTTTAAAGAATGCTCTTAGTAAAATCTAATAATTAATTAGATATTGTATTTTCTTTTAATCAAACTAGGGATGAAATTTGATTATGCCTTTTCTTTTTACATGAGAAATTAATGATTACAAATAACACATTTAATACATAGAGTTTGTAAGGTAAAGATCATAAATTTTTCAACGGAAAATAAACTAAAAAACAATGATAAAAGTTTCACCTATCATCATTGATGATCAAGAGTTAAAAAAAAAAAAAAAAAAGCTATACACAACTCTTACCCTAGTATATACGAACATAGATTAATTCATGAATACGGTATATTATTAATTATATTGTCAAACAGCTTAATGAAAAGTATTTATATTTTTAAAATTTTTTTCTAAATTTATATTATTAATTTTATGAATTTTTATAATTTTTAATTAATCACATCGTCATTCATAAAATATATAAAAAAAAGATCGGATAATTAGATATGTATGATATTCTTTACCTAACTTTCTCGTTTTCTTTTTCGATCATTATCTTTTTTTTTTTCCCTTATTTCATTTTTTTATATATTTTTTATTGACTTAAGCATCGAATAAATTTTCGAAATATTACTTTCGATAACCTCCTAACCTTTTTCTTTGTGATAAATTTGACATTCTCTTCATCTAAACTTCTAACGAGCCCTTCGACTACTAGACCAAGAATTACGTCTACAAATATAGCTACCACTTTCCAAACAAAGATAATTTTCCGTTAATATATTTTCTAGAAAGCACATTAAAATTTCCATTACCTAATTTTTCACATGTTAGAAAGAAAAGAAAGGGGAAGTTGGAATTACAAATATTTTCACGTGGCCAAAAACAAAACCATTTGACTTGTGGTGATTGATGTGGAAAAAAATGGTGGGTTTTTGGCTTTTGGATGTTTGAAGATTTCCAATTAAACATGGGTGACCTATAACTCTCAAATTTTCATTTATAGCACGTGATTAATGTTGTTGTTGTTGTTGTTTTTTTATCACGTGATTCTTTTGGGTTTTTGATCTAAAAGTTGGTGGTGGTTTTGTGATAAGGTCCTAAAGAGAGGCAAGCAAAGCAAGTGTTTGCACTTTGTAGTTCACGTAATATGATTACACAACTCTTTTTAACATCCGGACAATTGGCAACAACATGGTATCCAACATCAAAAGTACTCTCATTCTTGGTTAACCTATTCTTTGAAAAAAAATTTTTTTTCCCATATTACTTGGATATTTTTATTAAAAAAATGGAAATATTTCATCAAATTTAACTCTTTGATTTAAATAAAAAAAATGAAGCTTTTTTTTCTTTATTGATCACATAAAACCTATCTTTTTATTTAAATATATAAAATACGTTAAACATCTAATTTAAAATTAATTGATAATAAATGAAAAGATCAAACTTAAATATAAAAATTTTAAATTTAATAAATATAAGATAATATCACTTAAACATAACTGAAACAACAATATAATACGTGAAGAAACTCATAAAAATATTAGGAAAAAATCTTGTATTCTATTGTGTCATCGGTTTGAAATACTTTAATAGTAAGAAAGAAGTTAAACTTAACAAGATCTTACTATTTTTGAAGTTTTTTATAAAAAATATATATTTATACATTGAATTATCGATGTATATACATCTAAAGTTAGACAATGTTCAATTTCACATTTTTATTTGTGTGTAAAATCAAATAAAGTAGGTGTGGATGAACACCCAACCTCAATTGCTAAAACTAGAAATCTTTCAAAAAAAAAAGATGACAACTTGATTGTGAAAAGATCATAAACCAAAAAAGAAAAGAAATGCAAGATTGCATGCAAATTGTGGACATGCTAGAAGTAGAAAATTTGGGAAGATAGTAAAATTTAAAAAAAAAAAAAAAAAGGAAAGGAAAACCCACGAGTCTTTCACGTGTTGTTGTAGGGCGTGAGGAGCACGACGCAATCACATGGGAGAAAATGCTTTTGTAAATGCCTGATGATTACCAATCAAAACAAGTTTACAGACGCTCGATTCATTGTCAGCCAAATCATCGAAGTTGTTAGGTGAGATCATTATGATGATTCTGACCACATAAAATTACCACCCCTTCTTTAACCAAACTGTCAAATCTACGGCTCCAATGGCTTCTCATCCTTCATTGCCAAAATCATCGGACGAATAAGGTTTAGTCCCATCTTTGTATTTTAAAAAAGATTTTAATAAAAATATATTATTTTTAACAAAACATATGTAGTTATGAACCAAGTGATTGGGGATTTTTGTGTATTGGACTTTGAGCTTTCACTAGAGAATATAAGGATTGATGTCAGAGTTGTTTCTATATATAAAGAATTTTATTTATTAAGATGTTATATTATTAAATATATATATATTTTTTTGTATTTGAAAAATATATTATTTATACTAATATATTCAACTTAAAAGACCTCTAAAAATAATATAAGTCACTTGTGTGTTTAAACTTTTAGTAGATTAAAAAAATTATTAATTCTAGAAGATTAATAAGACTATAAAATCTATTAAAATATCAATAGTTGATTCATGATTTCTCCATGCCCATGATCATTTTGTCAATTTTAACATGGATAATAATAGCATTTTACTATTAGTTAGTCCTATATTTTTCTTCTAAGTGTCATATTAAAAAAAGGTAAATTTAAGATAGTACATAAACTTCTAAATTTTACGAATTCGATAAAATTTAGATGCATAAAATTAAAATATTTTATTTCACAAGATAAAACAATAACATAAAATTAATTTATTATAAGAGATCGAAAAATTTTAAAAAAATCATGTGTAATTATCACGATATTAAATTTTTAATTTTGCCGGTTAAAATGACAAACATGCTTTGTTAATTACTTATAAAGTTTGTTAGAACCATGATTTTGAAACCAATTGATCCCATATTCCGTACATTAATATTAAATTAGTTTTTCGGTACAAAGTTTATACATAGCCCATTTGATTCTAATCAATTTTGAGTTAGTCAAATTGTTTCTTAGTGCTTTAACAAAAAAAAAAAAACCTCAAATTTTCTCAGTATGTGACGTAGGATGGAATAGATCATCAATTACTAATATTATATTTAAAATCACATTCTTAATAATAAAATAAATAAGTGTACAAGTTTTCTTTTTGTTTTTCCTTAAAAAAAGTTCACTTTTCACCCGTATATTCTTTAATCTATCTATCCCTTTCTTTTGTGATGATAGGCAATTAGGCATGCTTTTTTTAAAAAATAAAAAAAAACACTATTTTTATTTTTTATAATAAATAAGAGGCATCTTTAGTTCATTTAAGCTCTTTTAATTATTTTTATTAATTATAAATAATTTTCATAAAAAATTGAAATTTAAAAAAAAGTCAAAAGATTCGGAAAGGAGTTCCATGAAGCCGACGAGGAAGTCCGAGCACATAGTTTTAAAGCCGGCTTAATGGTAGCCGTAGATCTGATTATCTAAAACAAGATTAGTCATAAAAATTATAAATAAATTTAATAAAATAAAAAATATATTTTATATTGATATAAATTATAATATATAATTTTTATATAAAATATAATAAAAATATATAAATTATTAATATTTTATATGATATGAATATATAAAACATTTAATTTAATTAGAATCAGGTTGAAACACCCAACCGTAATCACTCGTCACCACATAATTCTTTGCAAAAGGGAGCACCCCGCTTTTTCAGGAAGGAAAGTGGCATCGTCATGCGGCTGGAAAAGGATGACTGCTTATGGGTGCTCGTTAGACAATGGAAAGTTTGGGGAGGCTCTTACTATTTGCAGTACAACATATCATCTGGGGTCATGAACTGCAAGGAATGGTCACATCTTAATGAAGCTCCTTACTTGCAAATAAACGGGAAAGTGATTAGGCAGAAGGGTTGCAGTTAGTTAAGTTCAGTGTTCAAAGTATTTTCATTGGGGAAATTGTCAGCAAAAATAATTGCAGAAAAAAGCTGCAGTAGGACAAAGTATATCATATCATGAAAAGTATTAATTCATATTAACCTGAGCCAAACAAGACAGATCTTGTAAGCAGGTTTGGTTTTGATAATAATATTACCCACTGCAGCTTTCACAAGAGAGCTTCACCCCAAAAATAGATTCAGGAAATGCATGCAAGTTTATGTCATAACAATGCCAAATGCAAACATGTATTAATTCATATTAAATCCAAAGCTCTAAATGGCTACTAAAGTTCCCGAGAAACAGGAGAAAACTATAGACAATGATGAGAAATGTTTTAACCTGAGAACCAAAAATGGCTTCAAAATGGGTAGTGCCTTTCTGTGTGATGGCATCATGAATAATTTGTCATCTATACTTCTCTAAATATAGAACGGAACTGGCTGAGATTCTGTCAACAACATGGTAACACTTCTAACCATTCCACATTTCTCTTTTTAATTTTTTTTTTTTATGTAAGTTAAAGAATTCATATATCTTTCTTCCTACTCATTTTCAGCTTTCATTCAAGGGATTATGGCTAATAAATTTCATAAATGTTTGCACATTTCGGACAGTTCTTGCCATCCAGATAGATCTGTCTATATCAATAATAGAAAATTCAAGTAATAAACTTTGCGGCCATCGGGGGAAAAATCACTCTAAGAAAGAGGCAAAACATGCAAGAACCCTTACGAAAAATTGCAAAAAGAAAGACAAAGTTAATCGAATTACAGAGTTGACAATAGCAAATATCACATAGGCAATTTAGGAGCAAGATTTTACCACCTCCTACAAATTCCATGACAATTAGCATATCACATTCTGATACCACACTCTGAATAGATCATTATTTCTTCTTCTATTTGGCATGCAAGCCCAACATTCTTTGTAACGAAGAACAATGGGAACAAAGTGAAGGAGAAACAGTGTCACCCTACATAAAGGAAAGAAGAAAAAAAAAAAAGAAGCTAACCCATAGCATTCAAGACCAGGGCCAGTTAGCATCTCTCCATACAAACAATCGCTCCCCATGATTTCTCTCAGCCACAATTCCTGAATCACTTCCTCCAACCTGCATGAATTCCTCTTTGTTCTGTCCCATTCCTGGGACAGCATTGCAGTTTTCTATCATGCTTCAAAGCTTCCTCCCTGTATGATGGATTAGTGTACTTTGAGTGTTGTATGAATGTCACATTTTTCCACCATAGCTTTAGAGCCCTGAAAAACATGGCAATTAATATGAACACACTGATTAACTTCCAAAGCATCTAGCAAATGCATTTCAGTCCAGCTCTGGTAGAATGAATTGACAGGGACATATCTGCATAAGAAATAAACTAATCTTGAATTTCTAAGCAACTTCTGTGCTTGTCATGGTGTATGGTAACGAACATTAAAATTGAACCTTATGCTACAGGCACCAAAATGCACATTTGTTCCCACTCAAGATGTCAATTTATATAACTAGTTTATACTATGTTAAGTTTTGCAAATTAGTGCTGATACATCAACTTAGAACTCAGATAAGACTGAGTATAAAAGTAAGTTGCAATGCAGGTGACAAGCCCTGAGGCCTTGAGGTAAACGCGTGTACTTGACACTTGAATAGCTTAGTTGATACAAGAAACATAATACTCAATCATGTTATAAACCATGAGAGTTCAAATAAACAAGTGAATATGCTTGTGAGTAGTAAGTATGGTCCTCTTTAAAATTGAAAGCAGCAGTTCAATATGTAAGAAGAAGAAACCAAACTGCCCTGTAGAATTTGCTAGATTGATGTGACTTTTAGTCAAATTTTGATGAGTTATATTACGAATGTACACTAGCTTCATTTTAAATTTCAGCAAAAAATTTCCAATTTGGGGCAAATTCAACATAGAAAACACAAACCTCAGCAATGCACTTCTTCAAAACCTTAATCGTAGATAACTGTCACAATATTTCAATCCATTTCATCAATTCTTTCAAACAGTTGCGATAAACAGCGAAAGAAAATTCAGCAACTCACACTGGGCCGGCGGTTTTGGCAATCCTACAAGCTTTGTTGCCGGAGAGGTGATCGGATTGCACGCGAGGAGCGTGATCGAGGTCGAAGAGAGCATAGCGGAAGGAGTACGGAAAGAATGGCGGACGGGGCGGCATCGCTCGTGTCATACGGTGCCCTCGTAGAGAGAAACGGCTTCAACTTGGGTGGTGGAGAGTGGAGGAGGACCACGGTGGTGGAAGGGGAGGAGGAGAGAGAAAGCGACGGAAGATTTCCATTTTCCCGTTAATCGGCAGTTGACGGTTGGAGATTCATTTTTTTTTTTTTCGGATTGGATGATGATGCCACGTCGGCAACCGACTTCATACTCACTTCCATCCAGTCAGATCTCTCCACCTAACCCAACAGACGGCATGTCCGTCATCTGGCCTTTCACTCCTACACACGTGTCCGTAATGCATTTGCAATAACAAAACGTCACCGTTGAGAACTAAAACATGTGGTCGCACTTCTTTCTTCAAAGAAATCGCCCGAGGCAAACAATGAAATAAAAAATACCAATGAAAGACCCTCAAACTCTCCGCCATTTTCTTTTCCTTTCTCTCATATAAATTTCAGTCTTACCTTCTCCACTTCTCCCTCTTAATTCAATTCCATTTCTTTGAAATTTAATTTCATTTTTCGATTCTCATTTTCTTTTCGCGGGTGCAAATCCAATGGCTGCGATCTTCCAAGGAGTTGGAGCTGCTGCAGCTTCATCACCGTCCAATTCTTTAGATTCCAAGAAATTCCTGTTCTCTCCTCATAGATCCTTCTCTGGTTCGCTGCACTTAAATTTTTCTTCCATTTTCTTTTCTTTTCATTTCATTTTTTAATAAGTTTTCCTTTTGAAATATGATTTGGTGCCATGTGGAAAGGGGCGAGCTTTGTAGTGGTCAGATCTGATGGAAGCGTGAACCCTAAAGGTCGAAGGGCTCAACGATTGATTGCCAATGCGGTTGCAGTAATGATTTTTTTTTTCTCTTTCTCTTTCTTTTTACGTTTTTATTTTTATTTTTTAAAATTTTGTGTTGTTACTAAATTTGATTGTATTTTGTTAATTTTTTAGACCAAAGCTGACAGCTCTGCAGCTTCGACTTCTTTAAACCAGGGTATGGTTTTATTTTCGTTTCAAAGTTAACTTTCGAATTAGCATTACATTTTAGTCAATTGCTCAAATTTTGTTAAATACGGGTTTTAAGAATGTAAAAGCCAATCAGTTAATTGTATTTATATCTCATGTAAATATGAAAGATGTCGATTTTAGTACTTCATTAATAGCATTGGTTGGCAAATATTGTCAAACTTTGCTGCCTAGCGACATTAGTTGAAGATAATATCAAATTCTTTTATTTTTCTTCTTATTGTTTTATTTTAGAATTTAATGTATTTAAACTTGAATGTTGCTTAATCACCTAAATATATATATATATATATATATATCTATTCTTCGGACATTTTAAATACGATAGCGTTACCATTGATATTTGATACCATAGTTTCTAGCAGGCACGATTCGGCTGATATGTTTGTTTAGATAATTTCCTGTTTGAGATGCATGCTTATTGAAGTCTTTAGCCTCAAATTGTGGTCTAAGGTTTCTTGCATTTGATACCATTCATCACTTTTGTAAAATCAATGCAGTCTTTCAAAGATGAATTTATTTGTCAGTACCGCTATGTTCTAGTTGGCTTAGTCTTTTTCAGTTAGTGCCTTTATTTTGACAAGCACTGTTCTTTTCTGTTGCAATGCTGCAACCCTTAGTGCAATGGCTGAGTCATCTCAGTCCTACTGTTATCAAGTGGGTGCCATGGACATTTGTGTCAAATATTGAATGAAAAGGGCTTCACTTGAGTTTGGAGTGTATGTATGTATACATGCATGCATGCATGCATGTGTGTATGTGTGGGTGTATGTATGTATAAATGTCTCTGTTTTTGTGTGTTGCATGGGAGTTATGTTGCATGGTCAAATTTCTGCATTCATACTTTTTATCACTATCATGTCCTTTTTTATGAAAAATATTAGCACTATCACATCAGTCTCAATTATCAGTGATATGTTTAATTATATCTATATTGTATCCCCAGGCATGAGCTTTTACATTTTGAAGCTCTACGAGAGGGCTTGGAAGAAGAAATGGAGAGGGATCCCTGTGTATGTGTCATGGGTGAAGATGTGGGTCACTATGGAGGCTCATACAAAGTGACCAAAGGACTGGCTACAAAGTTGGGGACCTTAGGGTTCTTGGACACCCCTTATAGCTGAGAAACTCCTTACTGGCATGGGAATTGGAGCTGATATGACTGGTCTGAGACCAGTTGTTGAGGGTATGAACATGGGATTTCTCCTCCTTGCTTTTAATCAGATCTCCAACAACTGTGGTATGCTTCACTATACATCTGGTGGCCAGTTTACCATACCGATAGTCATTCATGGACCTGGTGGTGTTGGACATCAACCGGGGGCTGAGCACTCTCAATGCCTTGAATCATATTTTCAGTCAATCCCTGGAATCCAAATGGTTGCATGCTCAACCCCTTACAATGCCAAGGGTTTAATGAAGGCTGCAATCAGAAGTGAGAACCCTGTTACAACCTCAAGGAGAGAATCCTAGATGAGGATTATATCTGTAATCTTGAGGAAGCTGAGATGGTAAGGCCTGGAGAACATGTCACTATTCTAACCTATTCAAGGATGAGGTATCATGTGATGAAGGCAGCAAAAACTTTGGTGAACAAGGGTTATGATCCTGAAGTAATTGATATTAGGTCTTTGAAGCCATTTGATCTTTACACTATTGGGAACTCAGTTAAGAAGACACATCGTGTTCTTATTGTGGAGGAGTGCATGCGGACTGGTGGTTTGGTGCTAGCTTGACCGCTGCCATTACTGAGAATTTCCATGATTATTTGGATGCTCCAATTATATGCTTATCTTCACAGGATGTGCCTACACCATATGCTGGAACATTGGAGGAATGGACTGTTGTTCAGCCTGCCCAGATTGTGACAGCCGTTGAGCAGCTCTGCCAGTAGTTGCGATAGCAAAAATAGTGATGGCGTAGTTGGAAGTTCTGTTGGTCTTGTCATGTTTTTTTGGAAACCAGCTCTGTTGCAATTTTTTTTTTTTTTTTATATCTAATTTCGGTTTGTTAGAAATTTTGTCTCAGTTGAAACTTGGAAATGTTCATCGAGTTGAGGCCTTTTGTGTGGCAAGTAAGATCTTCTTTAAGCAATAGTTACAGGTAAGAATACTGGAAAATAACTCTTTACTTCCAGTTTCTCTTTCACATTATTAAACACATGAGATAAAGCCATGTAATTCATTTCGTCATAATTTTTTTCTGATGGAATGTGGTATGGCAAAATACTCTCATATATTTATATCTTTTTATTGTCTCTAAATTCTCAGTTTTCATTTTTCTTTTAATCTTCGTTTAAACTTATTCACTTCATATCTGCTGCTGTCAAGTTGCTGCTTTTGCCCCAAGCTCCCAGGGACTTGGCTTCGATGGAAGTGGAAGATTTAGCACTTAGTAATATATTAACAAATTGCTTGTTTGCATTCTGGCTTAATACCATTGTTGCAATGAAAGGTTCATGTTTGCTTGGCAATGGACTAAAACTAAATTGGCTGAAACGAGAAATCTAATCCATTTGTCAATTATCACTTCTTGATTTTATTACATAAGGATTAGTGGTTTTTAATTACCTTTGAATTTACTTCATTTGCATGACATTGCATTACATTTGTTGATTGTCTTTGCCACAACATTGTGCTTTTATGATCGATTGTCATCACACGAAAGAGTTAGAAATTCATTTGAAACCAGGAAATTGGTGTGGCTTGAGTAAAAAGATGAGGAATGTGGGTTATGAGTGGGTCAGTTATGTATGGCCCTGGGGAGAGAATCCTGCAGACTGTAGAGTCAGGTGTCAATTAAAAGTCATCTGCTCAGGAATATTTTGTACGGCCAACAAACTAAGCTTGCCCCTTTATAGAGTTTTCTTTTGAGCAGAAGTCAACTCATGCTTAATATTGTTGGTTCCTTTTTTTTTGGCAGTAGTCTTAATGTAGAGCTCTCTGTTCATGCTAAAATTAGAACCCTACTCAATTATATAAGATCAATGAGAAGGCTGAATGAAATATTGTAGATTGAGGTGAACCTTCACATGAGATATTTTATAGTTTCTGTAATCCGGCCACAATTACTTGAAAATGTTGAAAGCTGTAAGCCCTTTCTTTGGGATTGTTAAGTTTGGGGAGGGAAAGGTGAAGTATGGCTGCCATCGTGCCATTTCCAATCCATTGCCACAAGAGCTGGACCTTTTTTTTTCTTTAGGATTATGTTTAGTGGCTTTCAGCATAGCATCTGAATGTTTCATACCCTGGAAAGGTTCCTGCTAAGACAATATACTAGCCAGAGGATCTTGGCAAAATGAAACAGCCTAGGGACTTTGAAAGCTAGCTGTTGCATGAGTAACAATGTTTTTCAGTATGGTGGTTGGCACATGCATAATCAACAATGTGTCCAGCAGTCCACGAAAGCAATCATTACAGAGATTTACAATCTATTGTTTTCTTGATTGCATTCAAACCTACCCATGTGGAAGACATGAGGATTAATAAAATCAAATTATCAATAGACGGCTGGAGATTTCCTTGTGAGATAAGCCATGATTTTTGTCTGAAGTCCTAGTGGTGGTTTTCTCAATCCAGATTGATGAAGATGTGGTTTTCCTGCCTTCTTTCTGTTGTCTTGATTTCATAAAAATCTATGGCGGCACCATATGTACGAATATCATCATTAATTGTTATTGTCAAATTAAAGATGAGTTGATCTTGTTACAACTGACAATGATGCAATTTTGTTGCTTGATTTTCACCACATACATGTGCATGTGGGCATCTGGAAGGAGCAGCACCCCATACATCTCTCCCCACTTCCAATATACTTTTAACTGGCTTTCCCTAAGCATTTGTGGTGCCATTGCTTCCAGGGTAGGAAACAGAAGCTGATACTTGGTTTACAACTCTGGACGCTTTTCCTAGGCTCCAATGTTATCCTCGATTTTTTGCCTTTGGATTTTTAGCACCCAAGTAGTTTTTCTAATTACTTGAGGAGCCATTAATATGTAGTAGTTTGAAAGTTTTAGGATGGATTGCAAACAATATGGGCTGCAATTTTGGATGGATGGGTAGGCCCCATCCTCTATATCTATCTATAATAATTACATATACTAAATCTAATACTCTCAACACCATATGAGTGGCTGATAGTGTGGAGAATATGCAGCAAATCTTTTCTTCTATTTTCATTTCCCAGAGTGTGCTCAAGCACATGTTCACCAGCATTTATAC